GTTCCTAAATGTAAAAAGTGTAAAATACTAAAATAGAGAAATTCACCCAGCAATGTTAAAGCAACAAATCAGATTTTAATTCCTAAGTGTATGGCTTATGCCCATAAAACATATTAGCCTACTAAATTGAAACCAATTTCGACAACTGGTATTTGAGTTACCTATCACGCAGACAGACAAATGAAAGAATAGCTTCAATATATCCATTCTCATACTTTGTTCAGTGGGAAAGTAAAAAAATCTTTATGCAACATTAAGACTATGATAGACAAATTAAAAAATATTTACTAGACATTCATTTTTGAGTGTGCAGATTTATCATCACTTAGCATTCACATTCTATTACCCATCAGTGAATAACAATGTTTAATTTTAGTCTCTTGAATCCTCAAATTTCTCTGCTACATGCTGATTAATTACCCATAACAAGAGCTCAATTTAGTTTGCACTCTTCAAACGAGTAATGATTCTTTGATATGAAGCTATAACTAGAGTGCGTATAGTAAAAAGACCCAACAATGCACTTTCTTCCGAGATATAAACTCATAAACTCCACATTCAAGATTTCATAACAATTGAAAATGAAAAATCAATACGTCTGATTGTAGTTTGTAGCGCTGACTTGGATATATGGGTATTTTATTTAAAATGGTCAAGATTTGCCATCAATGCATTTTATATTAGCTTGTTCCATATGATCCCAAATGATTCCATTCTGAGTGAAGATAATTTTGTGTAAGTCCTACTCGAAAATCAATGCACACAGTTATAAACTATTAACTGTTTTTAATGAAAGGCTTTAGCCAAAGGTATGTGAATTTTTTTTAGTGTTTCTGTGTTCCATTTTTGGAAAAAATACTTCACACTTTAAAAAGTCTATTTACTTACACATTCGAAGGGGTTATCTCGCAGTCAAGAAAATGAATAAAATAGAATTCAGAGCAATCCCTTTGAGATAACCCCCTAAGTTAATATTCTCTGACTATGATTGTCTCAAGCAGCCGAGTATAAATTGCTTAGCAAGATTTAGCAAACCTATTTGCAATTTCATATTCTGGATAGACAAAGGTATAAGATTTTACAGGAAATTTATGTCTGAAACCCGAAACACAAATCAGAAATAACATTTACAGAAATCGGATATAGCAAAGAAAATAAAATCAGAGTAAAAACTAACAATCAAAGACTGAATTATGTTTTTCAAAACTCATTCACTTGTTTCAATGGAGGTTATTTTGGTGGTGATATGTTTGCAACTTAAGTTTTCGATCAGTGCTTCAACCTTTAAATTTGGTCGCTTTATGCCATCAGACAAACATGAAAACGTCAAACAGCTAAAGGTGAGTTTTTCTTATACTTTCTGTTTTGTGTTACTAACTATGGATATTAATTAATTTAGTTTGATTTGCGCATATCTGTCAATATTATGCAAATAATTTTCAAAAATGGATGGGGGTAGAAAGAAAGATGATCTGTTTAAATAATATCCCCTTCACCCTGAACAGTTTAAGAATTTTTGGCAAATAATAAAATTGTGTTCTTACTAAAAAAGTTAACACGTGCTATGAAATTCAAAACTTCTAGATCTGTAATGAGAACTTGAGTTCTTGAATGAATGTAATTTAAATTATTTCTTTTGTAATAAAAGCCCATGGGCTTTATTTCAAAAGTACTTTAATGAAAAGTCTTACTGGGTATTTATCTCAGAAGTAAATGTAATGTAATGTTAAATGAAAATCTTCTGAGATGGCGAAATAAAATTGAAAGTCATGTCATAGAATCGGTCCTCAATAAAACTGATATACAACAGCACATATATTTCTGACCTATCAATACATATAGGCTCTCCAGAAGAGACTTGATGAACCAAGCAACATTTAATGCTTCCTTATTTAACAAGACATGGAGAGACAATCACACTTATAGACCCAAAATAAGATATCACTGTTGAGAAATTAATAGCTTTTGGACAAGTATATGAAATATTTAATCTTGAAAATTAGATTGCGAAACTTTGCACTCGTATAACTACATACCTGTACATATATAATATACAGTTCTAATCAGATATGAAATATTATGAATGAAACATCAAGCCAATGTTTCTAACAATTCTATTGGGTCTTCAAACAATTTTTCTCTTACATGCATTTTGAATTACAAAGAAATTATTGAATTAAATAAATATTAACTTGTTTTGAACATCATAATATTGTTTACTTACAAGTCTGGCCTTATTTCGAGTTGTTCATCAGTCTCGTTTGATAACATAATATATTTATAGCAAGTTAACAAGGGCATTAAGGACCATTTAGATAACGTAGAGGTTGTCTTGGGTCAGGGCATTTCATATTTCAAATCCAGACTCTTAATTATTGAAAAATATAGAATTTTACTTAAATATATAGAAATAATTGTCACAGAATTATTTAAAAAAATAAATATTCAGACAAGACATCCATAAAACTATCATTGTGTCCAACATTGAAACAAAGATATTTTGAAATACTCCTCCCACCATCATTTATACAAGTATTAAAGTTGCCAGATACCTATACCAATAATCAGTGTTCAGTAAAACCTGTCTTAGTGAACACCTCTCTCTAGTGAACACCTGTCTCTAGTAAACACCCTTCCTCTTCACATTGACTTCTGTATTAATTATCCTCTATGTAATGAAGACCTACCTACAGTGAACACATTTTCTCGCAGGTTTCACTGTACAATCAATATTATAAAATCAATAGCTTCACCCTGTTGAAAATTCACAAATAAGATGCCACCATATTTGTATCCTGTCAAAAGAGATTCTAATATTTAGGCCTACTTATTTTGACACCTGTTGGGGAAAAACCTGTGAAATTACTATATACTCAATCTAAAACATGACTCCTTCCAGGGCCGAGAAACCAAAGAGAAGACAAAAGCTGTATATTGCGGTGGGATGTCTGATGAATGTGTGTCTCAAGAACACTGCCAACAGTTCAATGTATTCCTGCGTAAATGGCAGCCATGCCAAAAAGATGCAAATAGAAAACATTGTGTGTGCAGATCTGATCTTGGTGACTCATCTTTGGATAACCCCAATGAAGATCAGGTCAGTACAATAAATCTAATATGTCAGTATAATAAATCACCATCAGTCATAAAGTCAATACAATAAGCCAGTCCAATATGTCAGAAAAAATAAGTCCATAAGCCAGTGAAATAAAATGCAAGTACAAGGTGACCAAGAAAAATGCAACTCTCTAATTTTGGAAGTTTCTCACTTTTCCGTGAAATATTCTCTATTGTTCACTGGTGTACTTGTACATCAATACCTCAAAAAACAAAATCACATTTTCAATCTAGTTATGCTCACATGTCAGTTTTACCAAATACATGTAGGCAAATTATTCACAGAGTTGTTTGTGGACTTGTTTGACAAAAATTGTTCGTTTTAATGTGTCAATTTAGCCCATAAACTATACATGGCCAAAGGGGGTTCAGATGACCCACATATTTCATTTAAAAACCAATGTGAAAATCAATGGGATTTTAAAACCAATGGTACCATCGGAAAGCTTGTGAAAAACTTTTGTCAAAAAGTAGGTCTTATAGGGTAAAATCTTCCAAAACAATGTTTCTCCATTTCAGTGTGGCTATGGTATCTCTAAGGATGGCTACTGTGGAGGGAGTGAGTTCCCATGCTGTGGATACAATATGTGCAGGAGGTCTGATAACACTCCTTGCAGATTATGGGACACCTACACTGAATGCAAGTGTCTCCCAGTCAATTGGTAGGACACATATAAGTGCAAGTGTCCATCATTTAATTGGTAGAAATGACACACAACCAGATCCAAGGCTTTACGGGATACCAGATGGTAGTTTCTAAGCACTAAGATGTCAGCTTATAGAAACAAAGATGTCAGTTTATAGAAACAAAGATGTCAGCTTATGCAAACAAAGATGTCAGCTCATACAAACATGATCCTAGTAGTGACAATCCATAAGGTCTAGAAATGCTTAGGGCAACTTTTGAAGCGCATCAGTTGAGAGATAGCAATGACATCTTTACCATAAAACACTTTATATTCTTCTTATAAGTTTTACAACCTCTTGAGATGTCAATAAATCTTGACGCATGAGAAAGCAGTATATGTCAGTAGAAATTGACAAGTGAGATGTCAGTATTTGACACAGAGATACATTCTGACGACTTTCTTTGTCATTATACATTTTAATTAAACTTTTCATTGACTGAACTCATATAATATAAAATGCGTAGAATTGTTCTAAAAGATCAAATACTCCAATGAGAGTGAGTTGGGACAGTTGAACAATGAGCTCACAATAACATAATTTGAATTATTTATTTTTAATTGAAATTTCCATCATGCAATATTGGAGAATGAACAAATCTGATGAGGATCAATGATTGAAACTGGGAAAGAATCATGCAGCCACTGACACTGAAAGATATGAATAAATTTTGATAAATGAGCTTTTGTGTCTATATTTCCTCAAGCTCAGATTTGAACATCATTTTTTGTGATGTGAGACTTGAAAACTTTGAAATTAATTTAAGAAGCTAAATATTTGGTGTTGAAATATGAATATTTACAACATGTACACTTACTATATGTACACTTACTACATGTACATTCACTTCATGTATTTTACATTATAATTAGTTGATGATTCAGACTAAAGCGAACAAATGTTATTAAATTGATATTAGTGGTTGCTTAAAAAGTCATAAAAAAACAACTCAATTCTGTAAATCATGTTGCTTAAACAAGAGAATATGAATTATTGATATGTATTTTTCCAATTTCGGATACTTATGATTATATTTTTATTCACTTTTGTGGTTTGCAAATGAAAAATATTCACCATAATTCATTTTTTTATCATATATAAAGTGAATAAAGGAAGATCTTTATCACGTTTAATGAAATAAAGCTCATAAAAATGAAAACCTTGCTTAAATATAGATCTAGATTGATAGTACTTACTTTCTTTTGTTCATAATGCGCAAATCTTTGGTCCGGCCTGCATAATCAGTTTTAAGAGTTTCTTCTCTGGATATTCCTGCTTTAACTCTTTCCTCTCCAGAAATATTAGTATTAACCCTTTCCTCTCCAGTAGTTTTGTCTTTAGGCTCACATATTTGGTTTTCTTCTTTAGTGCTAGTTTCCTGAGTGTTTTCTACAACAGTGGCTTTCCTGAACCAGGTGTTGTAATTTGGTTGAAGTCTTGATAGAGTACCTTTACCGAAGAAACCCTGGAATAAATAAAAACATTGTCTCCAGTGCTCAATCCACTTGAAATTTTAAAATCAAATAAACTTATTAAATATCCTGAAGGGAAGAATTTGAACCACTATGATGCTGCTTTGACAGAATCATAAAACAATCGGTGCAAAAGCAGTGCACAAAGCATGTTTGCCATGACTTAATGTCACTGAGGTTCAAAATGGTTACACCTTGAAAATCCTGGTTAAATTTAGGGGGGGGTGGGTCTATCGGGAAACATGTTATACCATATTTATAAATACTTTAGATATGTAACTTGTATTGTAGAGTTTCTTATACGTATTCCATTATAACACTCCTTGCCAGGCAATTCCATTTTTGGTTGGTTATCACAAACTCTTGTCACTTGAGAGCCCCTCTAGACAATTTTTAGACTTTTTAGTTCCCTGACAAAAAGTGACAACTTATATGGCCTATACTGTAAAAACCCAAATTTCTGCTGACAATTTTTTTTACTATTTTGTCATTCTGAAATGATACATTGCCATTTTTCACTGTTTGAGAAAATATCTAAATGAATTCACACACATTTGAAAGTGAACTCACAACTGCCATCTATCAGTCTATGGCATGGGCCATTTTCCACCTCATATTTAGGTCATAGCTTCCATGGGAGAAAAGGCCCAAATGACCTAATTCCATGACCTATCTCATACCTTAACTAAAATTGTAAAATGGCCCAACCTGATTCACCCAATTAAGCATAACATGATTATACAAATTGAGTGTAGAGTACTTCTAGTACATGAACATTTCAATATTGTTGAATCTGCTCACACAGTAAAATTGCAATACACCGTAGTTGTATATTCATACAAAATCTTGGAAGTATCTATCTTGGGTATCAATATTTTAAATGAAGGGCCCTCCTCATATAAAAATGAAGGTCATCCCAGACCCAAAGGATAGATTTAACTATACATGTACATGTATTGTAGTCATGCCTTTATTATGGAAGAAATCCCAAGGAACCTACATGCAACTTTCAAGCGTTTTTCTCTTACTAATCCCAGAATATCTGCACTTTTTTCCATATTTGTCAAAAATAACAAAGGGCTGATAAATTGATGGTATGCCATTATCAACAATCTTTCCAAAATTATAACCATATTAGGAGCAGAATGACAATCTTGGGGTACAAGTCCTTTGCAGTATGATATAATAGAAATGTCATTCATTGAATTTAATAGAGATTCACTTGAAAATGATTCCATTTTTTCTGATAATGTGTACATATTTTCATCTTATCATACACTGTTGACAATTCATTTCTTGCAAATATTAGAGAGATTCCGCACATAAGTGAAAGTGCAACTTATACGTATACGTATACTTTAAAGGGTCATGTCGAACTATTATATCTACTAAAATCAATTTTAAATTGTAGTTAATGGAACATAACTATTCCCGATAGAGAAAAGCTCCATCAACTAGAGACTGAATGCACTGTCATCTGCACGTGTAGATTATGCACATTATAATTAAATGCTTGCTTCAGTGTCCTAGTAGTTGTAGTGTATTATAAACACGATCCTTTAAAATGAGTCATGATCCTTTAAAGTGAGTCATTACATAAACAAGTTGATTATTTCAAAGTTTTCATAATCAGTATAAGTTCAATGAATTTACAAAACGGTATATATTCGTAGATGATAAACGTATTCCGGAAAACGTATACAGTTGGATCTCAGTATAAAGCTTTACCTACATGTGTGTGGAACAATTGATCGCAAGCATTTTTTTAAATTAATTGGCTGAGTAGGAACAGTATCCAATCAAATACTTTAACCATCAATTTGAAACACCAATCAAACCAATAGGTTCTAGCAATTCCTGGAAACTACCCATTCACTAGCTCAACAAATGACATACAGGGTGTTTCATAACGAGCTCCAAAAAGTCAATTTGAGAAGAGATGGGTCTATAACATATGTACTATATATGAGCCTATTTTATTCTAGACAAACACATTTGGATCAACTAAACATGCTACAATTCAAAAAGTACAAATGGCATCCCTTTGACCTTTATTTATTACAGAATATCTTTCCTGACATTATGAAACACCTTGTACGTTTACTTCATTTTTGGAATTTTTTTCCTATCAAGTTGCTATTCGGATATCGTTTGCCTCACCCCCTCAAGCCATCTTTATTTGACACATTAAAATATCAGAAATAGCACGGAAATCATTTTAGAATACTTCTTTAAACAGTACAAGCTGTCATCATTTGCTTGAAGCTACAAATATAAAATAGATGAGACCAAAAAAGATGTGTAGTGGATCAAAATTGACACAAAAAGTTTGATATCTCTGGATTCAGTTGTCATAAAATGATGTATAATGGCTCTTTAGAAAGGCCTTCTTATGTATTTTATGTAAGAAGCCATAATACAACATTTTATGACAGCTGAATCCAGAGATGTCAAACTTTTTGTGTTAATTTTGATCTGCGACACGTTTTTTTAATCTCATCTATTCTATATTTGTAGCTTCAAGCAAAAGATTACAGCTTTTACAGCTCAAACAAGTAATCCAAAGTCATCTCGTTGCTATCTGTGATATTTTAATACAACTATTATAATGACTAAGTACTATTTCATATTTTTAATAACACTTTATAGTGCCCTACCCCTAGAAAAATATAAGAAAGTGGGCGTCATCAATTTTATCTTTTTGCAGCATAAAGTTAGAAACGTGTATCAATAGAAAGCAAATCAATGCATTCAAAACATCTTCAAATGTCACTTGATATTGTAATTCATTTATTACTAGAATATAGGACTCCACCTATTTTATATGTCAGTTTTCAATTTAGTACATGTTTCATAATTAAATCTAATGTATTCATGCTAAATGTGTCAAATAAAGATGGCTTGAGGGGGTGAGGCAAACGATGTCCGATTTGGCTGAAATTTTTTTGTGCGGTCCCTACTAACCATAGATCATAATGTATGAAAAGCAACTTGATCAGAAAAAAAGTTCCAAAAATGAAACACCCTAATAAGTATATGTTACAAGTTGTACTTTCACGTATGTGCGAAATCTTTCTAATATTCTAGAAATCTGCTAATCTCTGTTTTTGTGATTATATTGAGGCAACAAATAAGCATCAATCAGGGTTTTTAGTTATATGGAATCTAAACATTTTCTCTTTGTATGGGTATCATTATTGATTGTTCTGTACATTGCCTTTCTTTTTGAAATATTCATATAGTGCATTTACCATTGTTATGGGGTTTGGAAGTCAAACAAATCTGTATTTCTTGTTGAATATGATTGCTTGTTTGCAGCCTTTTCTTGCTCGTCACCTATGACTAAATGAGAATGGACAAGTTGATTATTATCTGTTATGTTGATCTTACAGTACATTGTATATAACGCCAATATATCCATTAAATTTTCTTTTTTAGTTTTCAAGAGTGACTATTGTTTTAGCACATACTCGGCCTAGGCTCACTAATATATTATGAATATCAACACCTTCAATATAAAAGTCCATTGAGTAAATGAATTATGCATTCTGTATGTACAAGTATAATTATTTTTAGAAAAACGAAGCTTTAGAATACAAGCTATCAGAAGACAACATATTATTATTATTAGACAACGTTATTTTTTAAATAAAGTCACATTGAATAATAGTGAAAGAAACAAGTCAATTGTAAATGAATAATAGAGGGATAAAAAGAATACATTCACAGCAGTTTCTACATATGAAATATGTCAAAACGTAGTAACTCTTATTTACTGCTTTATTCAATTTCACACATATTGTCTTATCACAATTAAATTCAGCATATCCTCATATGTTCGTATAAAAAGATTAAATGCCAAAGCTCTTTTATCAGATGGAAAAATAGTAGCAAAGGTGTGAGGTTAAAACAATTAATATCGTTCATAGATCTTGTAAACTGTATCACATTGTATTCTTGTAGTAGGCATGCTATACCCCCCCCCTTGTTTAACTAGAACTTGTGAACTGACATATCAGAACTGCAAAACTTCTAGTCTTATTTCAACAATTTTAATATTACAAAGTATGTGAACTGCTCAATATTGTATGCTAACATCTTCTGTATCACAAAGACACTATGCTAGCAGATTAATGGCACTTGATTAAGTAATTGTACATATCAATCTTTAATTGGGCTGGATTATGGCCCAGTAGGTCATGACCTAGTCAGGGTGAAAAAATGTTTTGTCAAATATTGGAAATCACAAGGCCGTGATCACTTTGATTTTTTGCCCTTTAAGCTTTTTGGTCACTCAAATGAATCGTATAAACTTGATACCAAGATATTAAGGTACGTTATGATACTATTTTTAAAAAAAAATGGTTCATGAGAAATTGAGATAATTAAGAAAACTTCCCAAATTCTTCACATTGCTATTGCTCCATATTGATGTGGATGTCAAAAAAGAGACTGACACTGGTGTGTAGATATTCAAATGAGCTAGAGTATCATGCCATCTTTAATCCTTAATTTTGATTAATTACAGAGAAATATGCATGTAGGTTACTAGGTCGGGCCATTTTACAACTGACCCATATAGCGGTGGAAAATGGCCCATGCCATAGACTGTCTATGAAACATTATCTCTCACAATATTCATGATTAATGTATTCACTCACTGAAAATTAACTGAAAGAGATGCACCACACAAACACATACAATCAATGAAATGCCTTAGCCGAATGCACATTAAGTTTTATTTAGCTGTTAGTAAAATAATTCTAGCATTTCTGTACTAGAACTATCTCTGATAAACAGAGAACAGACAGTGATTAATGTGTTGCTTAAAGTAATGGACCGCACACTCACATTCAAGACACTTACCATTCTATACAGGTAGTCAATATCTCCAGAGTGTTTAATGACAACTGTATTCCCTTCAAGCTGCCCTCTATAGTAATACCATCCTTGATTGCTGGTCCGTTGCTTGGTTAATGTTGCTATGGGAACAGGAAATGGACTTTCTTGAGTGACGAATACACGCTTCTTACGTGATGGTTTATTAAACTTGAAGTCAATGACTTTATTCTGATTCCCTAGAAACATAAAATTAATCAAATGAATCACAGGTGATTCAAAGTCCTTAAAAAAGTCCTCAAAATCCCTGAAGTACTTTAAGCAAACAAGTAAATTAAGTAATGGCGGAACCAGGGATCGAATCCAGGACCTATTGCGTAAGAGGTACACGCTCTACCGCTGAGCTATATGGGTGGACTCATATTTATATTTTTGGTCTACATCAATACCAATCTTTTCCAAATTTTTTCACTCTTCAGAGATGTAACATCCAGATTCTTACTGAGTTACTGAGTTTAAATTCAAGTTTTCAAATTCGAGAATTTGTGTAAGGGATTGGTATCCATATGGCGAACTGAATAGAACACATGTTTCTCATAAACCAGTCATCAAAAAATTCTGATTTTTTTACACATCGTCAATCTAGTGATCATGTTATGAATGGTAACAGTTTAATTTGAAATGTATATATACTTTTCTCTATATTATTCTAGAAAACACATCAAACACTTCTTTTGTTCTTGGTATCTAATTTTCGCATCATTACATAAAGGACCATGTTTTTTACAGAATGTTTTCAATAATTGGTTTTAAAGAAAAATAATGTTGAATTCAATTCGCCATATCCATACCAATCCTTTGTTCAACCTTATAGATATTTTACTCCACATCCCAATTTTATCATTTTCGATTATTTTTTATAAAACATCTGGAAACTTATTTTGTGAAGTCAGGAAATAGCATTCATTTTGTAATTATAACGCCAAAGGTCCTGTAGACCATTGTTGCTTGATATATATCAAAAACATTGACTTGTGCACATTGGTGGCCTTGCGCCTTTTTAAATAGATCTCATATCTTAGAAGCATATCCACGCCCGGTGATCGTAAAAAATGGATGGAGGGGGGATTAGGCGATTTCTGCAAGAAAACTCAACAAATTTGGAAGATTTATTTTTTCAAGAGAAAATTTACAACTGAATTGTCAAATGAATAGGCGCAGTGCATGGCAAAACATGTTAGGTAATCTAGTATTTTTTTTGAACTGATACCCTTCAAAGATATGAGATCTATTAAAAAAGGCGCATCATCACCAACGTGCAAAAGTCAATGTTTTTGCTATAAATCGGGCAACAATAGTCTACACAACCTGTAATAAATAGGTATAAGGGACGTTATTATCACAATACTAATGACATTGCTCACTTTTTAAATTTAATTTCCATGCGTTCTACAAAAAATAATCGAAATAAATTAATTTTGGATGGAGGGGGGGAGTGGATGGAGGGGGGGATTAATATGTCTTTACGATTGAACAAATTCACAAGAACTCGTGTATTTGAAAAAACTAAACTCAGTACCCCAGTAAGAAACTGGATATTATATCTCTGGAGAATGAAAAATGGGAAAATTAGGAGTCATAAGAATAAATTCAAGCAGCATGTCTTATCATGTCTTACATACACGTGATCCCCCCCTCCATCCAATCCCCCCCTCCATCCACTATCAATTTATTTCGATTATTTTTTGTATAACGCATGGAAACTAACTTTAAAAAGTGAGCAATGTCATTAGTATTGTGATAATAATGTCCCTTATACCTATTTATTACAGGTCTGGAAGACCATTGTTGCCTGATTTATAGCAAAACCATTGACTTTTGCACATTGGTGATGATGCGCCTTTTTTAATAGATCTCATATCTTAGAAGAGTATCAGTTCAAAAAAAATACTAGATGACCTAACATATTTTGCCATGCACTGCGCCTATTCATTTGGCAATTCAGTTGTAAATTTTCTCTTGAAAAAATAAATCTTCCAAATTTGTTGAGTTTTCTTGCAGAAATCGCCTAATCCCCCCTCCATCCATTTTTTACGATCACCGGGCGTGATATCGGTTCTAAAAAAATCCTAAAGATCTGGAACACATTTTACCATACCGTGCACCTATTCATTAGGCAATTCAATAGTAAACTTTCTCTTGAAAAAAATACATCTTTGTTGAATTTTCTAGCAGAAATTGCCTGCTCCCTCCCCTCTGTCCCATTTGTCTGATCACAAGGCTCTGTTGCCTGGCATTGACTAATTTGGTAACAATATTCATATTTTGAAAACTAGAACTAAGGAAGCTTGAATTTTACCATAACACTACCCTTAGCCAACTTCATTTTAGCGAAATTTCAGCTCAAACTTGTGACAAATGCATTATGCATACGCTGGTATGAAGCATTATAGACACTAATTTTGGTAAATATGATTTACGGTGTATACTTTTCTGCAGTTTGTGGGAGTTTGGGCCATTAAATGTTAAAATTCAAGAAAATATGCCAATTATACGACTTATCAATTATTTTGTATCAGCACTATAATATGTATCCAGCACAGACGTCAAATACGTTCTTCGAGCGGGATAAGATATCAATACCAGGATTGGAATCAAGATCCAAGTATTTTTCAAGAGCGCCGACTCTCGTTGGGCTATTTATCCCTATTGACTCAGTTGTTCATATAAATTTACGTACCTCAGATGTTTTGTAATCGACGTAGATAGAAAATATTGTTTCCTAAATTGTTCTGAAATGCAATTTATAATACTAAATGTACTTTGAACAGGTCGACTGACTAAAAAGACGGGCCTTTGGCAAGGTTTCGTTCTCATTCTCAAACAAGACGTGACAATCTTAAAATTCCCGGGAAGTTTACCCTTCTAAAAAATTCGACCTACTTTAAAAAATGATCGTTAAAAATGTATTTCTTCGTGTTTCCTACCGATTAAATTCGACATATTTTATGAGAAGTTAATTTCTAATGTAAGAATTCATTCATGAGATAATTATTAAGTGATTCGTAATGAACCATAGAAATAAGTAATTACTCATTATTTTGCAAGGGACTGATCTTTAGCGATCAGAAATTGTTTATTCCACGGTTGCTATGCAGCTCATTGAGAATTCCTTTTGAGAAGTGACATATTTCAAAACCCCCCCACCGCTTTCATAATCGTAATTGGGCTATTTATCCCTATTGACTCAGTTGTTCATATAAATTTACGTACCTCAGATGTTTTGTAATCGACGTAGATAGAAAATATTGTTTCCTAAATTGTTCTGAAATGCAATTTATAATACTAAATGTACTTTGAACAGGTCGACTGACTAAAAAGACGGGCCTTTGGCAAGGTTTCGTTCTCATTCTCAAACAAGACGTGACAATCTTAAAATTCCCGGGAAGTTTACCCTTCTAAAAAATTCGACCTACTTTAAAAAATGATCGTTAAAAATGTATTTCTTCGTGTTTCCTACCGATTAAATTCGACATATTTTATGAGAAGTTAATTTCTAATGTAAGAATTCATTCATGAGATAATTATTAAGTGATTCGTAATGAACCATAGAAATAAGTAATTACTCATTATTTTGCAAGGGACTGATCTTTAGCGATCAGAAATTGTTTATTCCACGGTTGCTATGCAGCTCATTGAGAATTCCTTTTGAGAAGTGACATATTTCAAAACCCCCCCACCGCTTTCATAATCTTCATCGTCAAGTTTACGAATACCACATGTCGATGTGATGTTTTAATTGATAAAAGCGAATTCCTAACACATTTCTTTATCTTATTGTAAAATAGCAAACTATGAAATAGGTTTACTCGCTAGAAATTAACATAATATTATTTGCAGCGATTTTAGAAAATTTTGAAACCGCCATCTTGGTAATATTGATGACGTCATCGCCATCGGTCAAGGTCAGGTCAAAAGTCATCCATCCTGCCATTTGCCCAGCGGATTCTTACCAGTCGACAAAAAACGATGAAATCACGTTAAAAATAAAATATACACTTTAAAATTGAGGCTGATTGAATATGAAAAGACTCCATTGAATATAGTTCAACAAGTTAAACCCAATACCACGGCTTTCATTTATAATCTGAGTGTTCTTGTTGCCGTGGTTGGGTTTAACTTCCGTGCTATGCTTTCATTGGTTGCAAATTCTCACTATCAGTTATTAATGAAACGCGCATGGAATTCTATGCGCTGCCATAGGCCATCATTAAAATTTTTTGCATCAAGGGCCGAATAGGCATGGATGTTAAACCTAGGACGGGCCACAAGAAATGTCAGATAAGAAATAAGGCCCAGACTAGGTTTAAGGTTCAGCTGGAAAGTAACATTTTGGTAAAAAATTGCTATACCTGCACATGTTATTTTCTGGTACATAATTAAGTATGAAGACATGTGTGTATTTCCTTGCTTTTTTCAGGAAAGTATCATTACACTGTCTACTTTTAGTAAACCTGGAAACAGGTCAATGGTAGCTCCTGTGTTGTCTGGAAACTTTGAAAGAAAATTTGGAAAAACAGGAAGTGTGAAATATCAGAATTCCCTGGAGTTCCCTTTGAACGCCTACCAGATATTCTAAAAGAAGACAATGTAATGATACTTTCCTGAAAAAAGCAAGGAAATTGATACATGCCTTCATACTTTATTTTGTACCAGAAAGCAACATGTGCAGGTATAGCAATTTTTTACCAAACTGTTACTTTCCAGCTGTACCTTAACTCCGTCATGCCTAATCGATCATATATGATCGATTTGACGGGTTTATGACGTCACCCTATAAAGAAAAATCTTACCAAAATAAGTCAACCTTATCCAAAATCTCATCCCAAAAGTGAAAGTGCAATCTAGATTGATAAATATGGGTAAAAGATACAGTCAAACCAAATTTAATCAATTAGTATCTGGGCACACTCGTCTAAATGGTCATTACTGCAAGATTAACCCTGAACTATCATCCCCAAACTGCATACACTGTAACTTACCAGAAACTGTCCACCATTTCTTGTTTCAGTGTAGCAAGTACAACGCACAGAGGGACATTATGATAGCAGCAATAGACTCTATTCTATTGGGAGCAGATTTCAACCCAACCATCGACATACAAACAATCACAGGCCTCAACGACAACATTGACCAAAAACTTAACAAGGAAATAATAAAGGAACTGAATAAGTTCCTACTTTCTACAAACAGAATTTAATGAAAAACTAACCCAGAGATAGTGACTCTTTACCAGAAATGAAAGATAACTTCCAGAGATAGTGACTCTTTAACTTGTTGAACTACATTGAATACAGCTGTGCAATTTACAGTCACCAATATGAGCTAATTTCGGAGAGATTCGGGAATTAAAAAAGGTAACTTCATTTTTTTCATTAAGGATTCTCAACTTGAAGAATTTGGAATCCCAATCTCCTTTCGCCAGAACATTCTTTTCGACTGTGGTATCCAGTTTGAATAATGGCTGCCAATCCTTCTTGTCCAAAATGTATATGCACTAGCCTCAGATTTAAATGGAATGATTCATTTTTTCTACCATCTGAGTTTTTATACTAGTAATATTATTAGAATAGTTGCTGATGTCCTTCAATTATTGAATTTCAATAGAGACTTTTGAATTTATGGATCAAGATAAAATTTGAATATCAATGAGGTTACTAAAAAAAAGCTTTTTGCAAGGCCTGAGTGCGCCGCTAACATGCTAAATAGAAGAGTTAGCTGACGTTTGGGAGTCTGACTTACCTTCTAAAGGTTAGAACCCGAATCTTAATGAAACTATATCACCTTTGTTGCGTCGATGATGATGCATAAACATAGCATTTGATAGAAATTAGCGTAAATGCTTTTCCGACTTTTTCATTTTTCATCAATGTTGACTTCCGGGAAGGCGTTGTAGTTATCACGAAATAACGCATTGACCCTTGAACTTTACTTTGTTGACGTGTCAACCAAGCATGTCTGGTGTGAAAATTAAAAGAATATTAAGCAATGTTCTACATCCGCCAAGCTAAGTGAAGTAGTCAATATTAAAAATTACCAATTTCAAGTGAAGTACGCAACGAACGAAACTGCGTGATCTACACTCCCACTATTGGTCTGAATGAAATGCTACGTAGAAATATGAGCCGTCTGCTGTATTAGTCGATTAATAGAGAAAGACCTGTTGGTGATGCTTTATAATTTAGACCAAAACATTGAAGAACAAACGAACCTGTAAATCGTGAAAACAACGAACAAATATTCGGTTTTCACATATGTTCGGTAATTTTTTGTATTGAAACTTCCGGAACTTACAAGGAAATCATTCATTTTCTCGATCCATGATTTACCTCTTGGATGTTGTGGCAAATGCTCCATGGTTGACGGAACAAAGGTGATATGGTTTCATTAAGATTCGGGTTCTAACCTTTAGAAGGTAAGTCAGACTCCCAAACGTCAGCTAACTCTTCTATTTAGCATGTTAGCGGCGCACTCAGGCCTTGCAAAAAGCTTTTTTTGTTTTTTTTTACGCATAATGAAATCAAGATAAATATGGTCATTACAATATATTTTTTGATCATACTATACCTGACATTATCGTGAATAGGTTTATCCAATCGTCTGAAATAGCTAAAATAGTTTTCAATTAAAAAAGTTTCACACATTTCATGGGCGCAGACATCTTGGATTGGGAGCATAAGTTCCCTTGTTTTCAAAACATTGATATTGATCCAATTTATGCACATAAATAATAGTTTTAACAGAAATGCCCTTCATATTCGATTAGCCCAATCATATCACCTTGGGATCAGCGATATTAGTTGCTATAAAAAGTGGTTTAGTACAAATTTCATTATTGAAAATCCACAATCAACTAAGACCTGATATCTTGACATGTCACGTGACATAAAGTTGTAAAGATGAAGAAGAAGGTTCAACAAGTTATCATCCCAAGATGCTGTTCAAACACTTCAGAAAGTGTTTGAAACTAACTTTAAGATATGAGATAAAACATGTTAGGTATGTATATAACACTTATATTCATAACACACTTCTATTTTGGGTGTAAAGTTGTTATAATAGCTAGAAAGCATCTGAACTCAATTTCCATGGAAACATTTTTGGGATGTTCAAACATCTAAAAGTAGGTCAAGATCACAAAAGAGTAGGTTTCACATCAAATTAATAAAGTAAATGTTTCAAATCAAAAAATGATAATACTTGTGAGTAAATTACATTTGCCGCGAATATTTCTATCTGTAAATCAATTTGATTGAGTTATTTTCATAAATCAAATACAAAAACCTCAAGCGGAACAGTTCAATGTTTGGATGGCAAATATCCAATGATTTACTCACTTCCTAACTGTTATTTCAGATTATTTGGGCAGGGTTCACTAACTATACTATTATGAATCTATAATTGATATTAGGTACATATAAGAGATATCTCCCTATAAGTGAAACACTTTTCAGAGTCCCAATATCACTGAATGTTAAATTAACCTCAATAAGTAGAACACCTCCCAAGTGGAACATTTCAGAGTCCCAAGACAGATGGTTAAATAAACCCCAAAGTGAAACATCCCAATTGAAACACTTTTTAAAAGGTGTTCCTTTTACAAAGGTTTTATTGTATCATTTATATCTATAATAAGACATTTATCAGTACATATCATACAGTTATATAAAATAAAGTAAATGTATTTCCTATTTATTTTTCAGGATCCCATCACAATTATAATATATCCAGAGGCTGTGACAGGATATTTGTTGTCTTGACAACAGCTTATAGAGCTTCACTCATCCCCTGTGAGCTAATCCATTGAAGAACTATTATTATTTAGAGTTATGGGTGATTATAGAATAACAGACATGTCAGAGGTGCTATTTATAGTGTTGTTGACACTATTTTCCTGTTGCTATGGTAACCTAAATTCAAATTGCCAAGGCAACACAACATCATGCGAACCATTGGAATACTTCACATGTTTAGGAATTGCTTTACCATATGAATCAACCTCATTACAATTTGCCAATGATTCAAACAGCCAAAAAGAAGTGCAAGAAAAGTTAACATTATGGAGCGGTTTACAAAATGTGCCACAATGCTGGGCAGTTATCCAACCAGTACTGTGTGCAGTATATATGCCTAAGTGCAATGGAACGACTGTTGAAATGCCAAGTCAGGAGATGTGCGAGAAAATACAGGAGCCATGCAAGATTGTTGAATCAACAAGAGGATGGCCCAGTTTCCTACGATGTAATGCCCCACATTTTGTGGAGAATTGTGCTGTAAGTTTGTTCTTTTATTTTAATTATCGAGAAAATATGTTCAAGCAATGTTGAATAGTATGCATTATAAATACTACAAGATATTACGAAATTGTCATACGCTATCCAAGAAATTATGTTAGGAGAATAAATATTATGGTTGTTCTTGATTAGGCAATATTTTTTGAGAATATTAATTTCTGTTCACCCATCCCCCTCCCCTTTTTATACTGTATTTCTTCAGCCATAGTCTCATATTTTAGAACAAAGGGTTTTTGCACTAAACCAGACTAAAAAGAATAGGTATTGTAAAACCTGTATAAGTGGAACATCTTTGGTACCCCTAAAAAGTGTTCTAATGGGAGATGTTCCACTCATAGATGTCCATTTAACATAAGTCAGTTGGTCTTGGGGCTCTGAAAAATGTTATTTTAATAGAGGTGTTAAATTTCTAGAGGTGTTCCACTTACAAATTTTAAATGTTTGGAACTACTTTGAATCTAAAAAATAACCAATCAAAGAACCATATTGAAACAGAATATGTAAAAATAAAAACATTTATACATGTTCTAACTTTTGTATACTTTTTTTTTATTTTTTTTATTTTAGTTTGTTTTGTAGTTTAGCTATCATATCCGTGGCCTCTTATATTTTGATGCTTCTCTGCCATGATATTTTTGAAAAAATTAACATGGCTGTAATTCCCTAAATTACAAAAGGCCACAGCTTTGCTGCACATTATACATAACTATCTGAAATATACAAAAGTTAACGTCATTTGATTGCTTATTTTTTAAATTTAAAGTAGTTGCAAACATTTAAAATTTTATTGTAGTTGTTTTAACTATCTCTTGACATACTGACAATCTTTTATGGGGGTTTCATTCATTTTAATATCTGTATCAAGTTTAAATTAATAAACTAGAAAGGCATTGAATGTATTATGGCTTTTTCAAACATTGCTCCTATCAGTGTTTTTTTCACACATATGTTTGAGCTCCTTCTATGTTCCCCCATGACATTTGGTTTCACAGTGTCTTTCATACAATCACTCTCTCATATTTTATCATGGTATTAATCAGAGCAAAAATAGCTTCATGGCTAAAGACTCGCTCCAGACAGTATTATTCAAAGACTTGGTATAAGAAAATTGCAGACTGTGAACTAGATTTGCTATTACAAGTATTTTCGATGAGATATAATAGCAAACATTAAATTCCTTTAGGACCCTTTGAACAGTAACTGCAAATTAAAAATCTCTGTGAGTTAAAGAAAATCTAATTTAATGATTGATTCAAAGTACATTTTTTCGAATGTCTATATTGATACAATATTTGTTTAATGTTGGATCGCGTTTCAGAATAAATCCCTAATTCATTTCTTTATATTTACTTTGCCATTGAGCACTCATTCTCTATTCACTTTAATTCTATTAAACATATTTCCTTTTTATTCAAGCGCTTTCTTTTCTTTACAACTTTATACATTTGTCACAATGTGTTGTGAATAGGCGCTTTTGCATTGAAATGCTGTAAAAATGTTTTATTTATTAACTTGTAGCCAACCATCATTTTTTATAAAAATTTAAAGGCATGATGTGTCTATCTGGTTTTATGCATTATACAGTTTTCAACTACTGTTTTATAATGCACTAAAGAATGGATGATTTTAAAACAAATAATTACCTTAATTCTTCAGATTAATTCTTTAATTGTATTCTCAATCAGAGATGAATCTTATTTTCCTTGTTTAAAAATGTTTAATACATTTCTGTTAAGGGAGGCATGTTGGCTGATTGAAACCAAATAAATCTAATCTTATCTTAACTTTCTACTGAATCTAACGAGGCTCGAACAACTGAATCTTTGAATCAACATGACCTTATCTTATTTCATCCTCGACCTAATCCACTATTTCCCCATCAGTGTTTTACATGTATTGTCATTATGTTGATACATGTACATGGTAAAAGAAAAAGGCTGGCTGATATTTTTGATGGGAATGTGATACCAGGCCCAGGGGGCCATTAACAGACGCTTCTTAAAGTTAGTAATTCGTAAAGTCCATTGTTCCTTAACTGTGATGTCATTATTGCCATGGTTACAACAATTGGTTTACGAATTTGTAAATTTATGAAGTTTCTGTTAATGACCCCCGATTAAGAGGCATCTCCTGAGAGACACAATAAGAGATAAGTTCATCATTGATTGATGGATGGATCTTATCTAGTATTTGTAGCAATATTTAACTCACCAAGATCAAAAATTGGAGAGAAACAATTATAGCTGTAAGCCTATTGTTCAGATGATCTCTAATCTTAGACCAGTTGATCTCTAATCTAAGACCAGTTGATCTCTAATCTCTAGGTGATAAACATAAACATAACATTCAATACTGTAATGTAATTATCTTATAATCTTTAAATAGCTTCTAATCCAAATCTCCAAACATTTCAGACCTCCAACCCAGCGTCTAAGTTACAATTCAACACAAGTGCCACATGTGAGAAACCCCTTGTAAAAACCTCAAATCCAGATAGCTACTACGAGGATGTTGCAGGCTGTGGAATACAATGTGAGAACCCCTTATTTACAACAGACGAACATACAAGTACGCATATATTCATTGCAGTAGCTGCTACCTTATGTGTTTTGTGCACACTTTTTGCATTGGTAAGTAAAATATTTTTCACTTTACCATATCAAAGAACAGGTTTTTAGTATATTTTTTATATTTTTTAAAATCATATAGGATGACAGGATTCTAACTTTGTATTGAAATTAAAGCAGGATACTCTGCTTTTTTGTTGGTATTTTGATATACCTTCAGCAACAATAACTTCTCTTTTATTTATTGTGATTTCATTTTCTTTGTATTATGCATTCTCAGAAAAGGAAATATTTTGGTAAGTAAATGCATGTATACGGAATAATTAAGATAGTCGGGTAGAATGAAAAATCTGATAAATTAACTGGGACCTTTTAGACTATCTTGCATCATGGTTTTCATATAATGTCACAAACAACCAAGGTTACAAAGATTATTGCCCTTTCCTTATATAAGAGACTTTCCAAACATGTGTTTTGTGTATTTTAACTGACACTCCATGTATTGTTCCATAATGTATATACATAACAATATTTTTTTATTATATGGTCCATGTATTTAACATGTGCTCCATGCATTATTATATGCTCCATGTATTTAACATGTGCTCCATGTATTTAACATGTGCTCCATGTATTTAACATGTGCTCCATGTATTTCAGGTGACATTTCTTATTGACTGGAAGAACGCACACAAGTATCCCGCAATGATCCTATTTTTCATCAATGCATGCTTCTTCATTGGAAGTATCGGATGGTTGGCTCAGTTTATGCCAGGTGCCAGGGAGGATATTGTTTGTAGAGCAGATGGGACCATGAGGATACATGAACCTCAGATAGGGTACACAACAATTATACTTAATGTTATCATGGTACAACTTTTATGTCACCATCAGAAAATATAGTGCCAACTTTCTTGTAGATGGTATTTGGTGGTTGGCATTTTGGTGGTGGCATTTTGCATGTTAATGCCTTGTATAGTATTACAATAGCATCATTTAAAAAAAAAAATTTTTGAAATTACAATTTCATATATTTTTGTGAAACATGCCCAAGATAGTTTAAAATTATGTAATTATTTAACATATTTTAGGTCTGGTGAATCCGCCTCATGTGCCGTCATATTTATCATTGTTTACTTCACGCTGATGGCAGGCATAGCCTGGTTTGTCATCCTGGCATTTTGCTGGCATCTGACATTTAAGGCCCTTGGGACACCACAAGACGTCATGGAGGGCAAGATCTCATACTTTCATATCGCTGCCTGGTCATTTCCTCTAGTTTTGACCATTATATGTATGGCAACATCCCAGGTAAGGTTTTCGTTGTTGTAAATTGTACTATTTTCCCAAGGACATTGAATTTAATTGTACTGTAACATGATGATTTTAGTGAACTAATATTTTGATTTTATTAAGTTATTTTTGATAAGTCTGGATTCATCAAGTTATTGAACATGTTATGGATTGTGAAAATTGTGCTGTTTACAGGATTTTAGTTGCTGGGCTTAATACATGAAATAATTCAGAAATTCATTTATTGTAATACAAACTACTTTTTAAAGCATCTACACTTACCATGTTCTTAGCCCACATTATGTGTGTTTGGGTTTCATATGGGAGTGCATGAACATTTCAAACATTCATCAGTCGCCATGTATTATTTTCTAGGTGGATGGAGACAGTCTTAGTGGTATATGCCTTGTGGGCAATCTGGACCACAAGGCACGTGCTGGCCTGGTGCTAGCTCCTGTGGGAATTGTCATCATCATCGGTGGAATCTTCATGTCATCTGGTATGTGCTTTATCCATCTTTTTGTAGTCTTGTGTCACATCCCTGATTTTCTTATCTATTTGCCTACCCCATTTTTAGGTGTTTATTTAGGAAGGTTGCACATGAGACAAATGCAAAAGTTCAGTTTACTTCAGGTTGTTGATGTTTATTATCTGAGAACATAAAGTGTTTGTGAAATGTACCAAATGACTTGTCATCCAAATTCATTCTTTATCAACCGGTTTTTAGATTTGGAAACTAACTGAATTATTTAAAGTTGAGTAAAAGAGTGAAAATAAACAGACTGTCTTGTTGAACCAGTAAATGGCCAAATTGGCTGAGGTTATGCACACAAAAAAATCCTTATAAGCAACCACTTTTTTAAATGCCAGAGACATCATTTCAGGACTCCATGCTCTGTGTAAACTGAGGAGAGAGAGCCCAGGGTTCATAAGTGATAGGGCCACTACAAAGATACGGAACACTATCCTTAGATTAGGTATGTAAGGATATCTTGTAACAAATTGGTCAATTTAAATAAAGCAATCAAACTAATTGCCAGGGAGCCTCAGAGGTATCTTATGGTAAAAAGTATGATGTCATAATGTATCAGAACACTACACTACATCACAATACTGCAATGTTTCCAGTTAGAAATCACAGTCGAAATATTGCCATCATAGAAAGATCAAAGGATAAAGGTGAAACTTTGTGGGGACTGCTAGATCAAAGTAAACAAAGACCAAGCTCCACCCTATGTTAAGGGCCTTTCTAAAAATCAGCCTGGAAATATGACTGCACAGGTTCTTGTTCTCATATTGGCAACATAACAGGAGTTCAATAAATAGAGGATATCCTATGATTTATGAGTGATATGATTTTTATCCACGAATGGATAATATGATATCTGCACGAGCGAGCGTAGCTAACTGTGCTAACTGTGGAATAATACAGACATTGACTTGGCTTTTGTTGTATTTTATCATCATATACTTCACTTTCAGGTCTGTTTGGAGGATTTGCATTGTCATTTGTAGTGATCACCTTCGTTGTTCACGTTTATATCTTTGTCAATGCGGCAGAGTGGGAACAAAGCTTTAAAGATTATGTCATGTAAGAAGTAACCTTTTAAATTAAAAAATAAATGTTTAATACCAAGTATCTCCTATACTCTATGCTAGACATTTAAGCGACAATGTCTTCTTTTAGTGTATGGTTTCTGGACAAAATTATCTGGTGTTTCTTTCTTTTTTGAATTTTCATTGTATACTTTGGCTATATGATAAAGGACAATTTAGTTTCACTAGCGTTGAAGTCATCTTGAACAAAATATACATTTATATGAGAGAAAAATATAGACCTGCACTGATAAACATTCATCTCTTGATCAAATTAGGTTTTACAAATTCTGACATAACACTTTGACTGTTATAGATGTGAATCAAAATGGGTGACACAAATTGTGACATAATACTTTGACTACATTTTAGATGTGAAGCCAATGTTGTTGTTGCCAAGGCTGTATCAAACACCACCATGACCTGCTCTATCAGCAGTAGACCAAGTCTGGTTGCTGTGCAGATGAATATATTTGCTTACTTTGGAGCTGGTATAGTGATGAGTTCATGGGTGTGGACGAAACCTACCCTGGAAGCATGGAAACGTTTTCTAGGAAAGTAAGTACAAGAAGCCTGTATTTCCAAATAAAATCAGGAGATTTTTGATCCGTATCCCAAAGGATTTAGTAATTTCCTGATTTTGCAATTTGTTATCAGCTTTGAAATTGCTAAATTAATATGAAAGAAATATACATATAACTAGAAGTACTTTCTTGAATTAGGATCAGCATCATAATCAAAAATAGTATTAATCAGGGAAAATGTGACATCATCACGTCTACTGAAACTATATTGATCTTATATATTTTTTCCAGGTGCTTCCGCATTACCAGTAATAAACCTGTGAAGCTAAAGAAACACAAAATGGTCGCCCAAGCCTTCGCTCAACGTAGGGAGATGAACAATGGCCGCCTGTCAATCAGCTTTCACAGCACTCATGATGATCCTATGGGTAAGATTATATGACAAATTGTGTGCAATGTTTACAAATTATACTCATCACTGTTCATGGGTACTAACCTGATCTCATGTTACCGTGAGCTTGCTTGGTGGTATGGCTAAGTCACAGGCTATATGGCATGTTGAGGTCTAATAAGTACCCATGATTGTATGCGGTACTAGTATATGGAAAGTAAAACTTAAATGTGAACACCTTTTAGCCCAATGTTTTGTATCTAAAGCCCTTTAATTGAATTATATAAATACACAAAGCTAGAAGGTTCCTGGGGGTGTTGGACGCAAGTCCTAAATATCATATATCATTTTTGTGTAGTTAATCATTTGTCATGCTTCTTGTTGTTATAGGTATGAAGTTTGATCTGAACAGTGTGACATCACATGATATGTCATCAGCATTTCATGCCAATCTCCACAAATTGGTACGACGTCGGGGTGGCATGATACACCCAGTTGCTGGCACACTACGACGATATTCTGATTCAGGTATTCAGTCAATTTACTTCCATCTTCAATTTATTTGAGCTTTTTAGTTTCTTCTCTTTGTAAATTGCTTCAACTTGTAGAGGGTGAGCCAAAAAAGATAACCCAAACGATTTTTAATTATTCGGTAATCCAGCATTGATTTGAAGTCATATTTGGCACACTTGATTCAATGTTCTTTCATCTAGTAAGTTTAATTGGTTCCCAATTTAATGGTCACGATTTTATGTCCATTTTACAAAACATGCTCTAAATGACGAAACATGTTTATTAATACTTTCAAAGGGTTACACAAAGCCATATCTTGTCCTGTTAAAATTCCTTGTAAAGTCCTCCATTGGTTCTCATTTCCTTTGTTATCAATGTGTTTTAGATGTACAGTCACTGAAGTCCTTCTCCCAACAGCTACAGGCGAGGGTGGAACAGCAACAAGAGATGCAACAGCAGCAGGAGGACAGCAACAAGCGAAAGAAAAAGAAGAAAAAGAAACGTGGAAAAGGACGTGTAGCTCCATTACAAATCCCAGAATCATTTCTCGCAGCGCATGGTGGATTAATACATAGTAGACGGAGGGGTAGTAATGGACGACGGGGAAGCAACACGTCTGTTTTAACTAACCAATCAGCTCATAGTATTGCTATATCTGTCAATGCTGGTGGTCAGTTATCATCTGACAGTGAAGCTATGGGATCAAAGCCTCAGTTTCCGCAAGGGAAGCGGGGAAGTAAGGGAAGCGTGGATATAAATCACGTCATGGGGTACTCGATGTTTACTGCTAGTTCATACGTCCCTAACATGGGGATGCACTTACAAGATCTCGAACAGACAGACAATGAAATTGAAAAACAATGCAAACCAAAGCAAAATACTCACAATCAAAAAACAGCTTTTGGTAGACAGAAAAATTCAGCGGGGAAAACAAAACCGGCAAAATTGACAGTGCCACCTGCTGGTCTGCCAAACCAGATTGACTCTGCATCAGACATTGAGTCAATACACCCCATACAAGGAGCTAAAATGGGCTTTGTAAATCCAGCATTTTATCCAGAAGGGACTATGGGTGCACTGGGATATGGGTTTGAACAAGAAGGGGATCAAGGGGGGAAGAAGAGAGAGGGCAAGGACAGAAGTAAGCTATACCCTCCTAGTGTTGTCCTAGAGGTGGGACAGGACAGTGATGCTGATAAGTCCTCAAGTTAGGATGTGGAGGAGGAATTCTCAATCTCAATTCATCATCTAAGTTCTATTTTATGGGAATTCTCTTCATTTTATGTCACCACCAGAAGTGGTGATATATTGTCACCAGCACAACAAATGGTGACATCACATATTGTTATGGTATCAAACTTTTTGTGGACAGTGTTCGGCATTGCATTTGGCAGTCCGCATTCAATAACTGTAACAAATGGAATGTGGTGACATTTTGCATGGTAATGCCTTGTAAGATCTGTTCCCAACTTGTAGCCACAAGGGAGGCGAGGCGCGGATTCTGTAATGGAACATCTGCATTTATATGATACTTCATATTAGTTAGTATTATTTTTTTTCAATTTACATATGCTTTTATATGTTAAATGATGAATCTCTATAAGTAATTGTACTTAATTTGTATTCTATATGCAATTATGGGATTATGCAATTCATGGAATACTCAAACCTGAAAAATACTCGTGTTTATACATGCACATGTATACATATTTTTGTACATACAAGTTTACATTTTTAGTAGCATAATATGACTTACACACTAGCTATATTACACACAGTACTGCTGTAGTATTTAGAATGGCTAGTTTAGTCTCAACTTTTATAGTCCATTGTTGTATCAAATAGAGCAAGTATTGGGAATGGGGCCGGAAGTGTATGTAAAGCCACACAGATATAGACAATTTGAGTATTAGTAGAGGTTTGGCACATTTTTTGGCCCAATATATCTAAACTCTAACGCATTCACTTTAGATTTATGTATAGCAGTTCAATTGAATCGAGATCCGGATGCGGATATGTTTTAGCTATACCTGTTGTGTAAAGCCTCTCTATTGACCACTCCAGTAAATTGCTCTTTTATGGCAATTTGAGGGCCAAAGACTGAAATGGTAAGATTTTGTTCTGGAACCGAACTGAAATGTTGTGTTTTTTTTCTGTGTTCCGACACGAGTGCCTCATTCCATGGGTCAGAACATAATCAGGTATCCATGACACCTCTAGAAACTGTTGTGTAATCAACTCTGATCAGAATTTTCTCTTTCTGAACCCACTTGGTGATATTCTTCTTGCAAGAAACCACTTCGAAATTTTTCTATAATGAACATTTGTGGAAATATTTTTTCTGGCAAGTTTTAATCTTTCAGGGCTTATATATTATACAACATTGGTTACAATAGATATTATATTGTACAGTATTAGAGAGATTATGTTTCTTATATGAAATAGGCAAAATCTAGATATCCACTTTTATAGAGGTGCTGATTTATTTAATTTAGGTGCTTTCTAGATGAGGTGCTCACACCAAAATAAATTGAATAAAATGTAAATAAGTTATTGTACAAGTGAAACTTAAATAGATTATGTAGGCCTATATTAGGATTTATTTCAATATTAGAATATGGTAGATTTTATTGAACAAGTTGTACATTCAACCTATTCATTAGAGAGATAAGATATTTTTAGAAAAACTATTTTAGTAATAGTACAATATACATGACATGTATATGTTGAATTTTCATCCGATGAATTTTAAATAAAAACACAATATAAAATTGGCAATATTGAACTATTTAGACCATGTAACATATTATTTTGTTAATTAAGTTGTTCTTCAAATTTTTATATCATATGCTGATGCAATATTTAATATGGTTCTGCTACTGAACTGGTTAACAGTAGATTAGCAGTGGGAGTTTCTCTTGCCGTCGGATACTTTGCCAAGGTCCACGTTTACTTCTAACAAAGTACTGTATAATGCTTTTGAGAATTTCTAGGGTTTTATTCTACACTACAGCCAGATTATGAATGGAAATAATCATCGGAATCTCTGAATGCGTTTGGTTTTACTCTTAAATTGTTGCTTAAATGTCATTTTCATGGTGTAACCTGTGTACTTAAAAACAAGTACCTTTTTGTTGTTATAGTATATTGTAATGTTATATTATTCTATGTAATAAATACATATTATTTTGTAGAAATATTTATTCATTGTTTATAGTTAATTCTAGAGTTAAGGTAGTCTTCAAACAAATGGCATCTGTCAGCGTGATATTTGTTAGCAAGCTTTCATGTAAAAGACACCTCAGCCTACCTTAAAGATTTAGGTAATAGTAAAGGGGGATCGATTGCACAGAAAAATTGAAATATTTAGAAATATTCTTCTACTCTCAACTGTAAAGCTAGAGACACCTACAACTCAATAGACATCACACATTGATATTGTTAACATCAAATATTTATTTGTATCTACAAATATTCAACATGTTATATTCTCTACTCCACATTATCCACATCCAAACACTCCTGTCAATCAAACTGCATCTCCTGTGGTACAGGGTTCCCTTCCTCTCCCCGACACTTAGAGTTCACAAGTTCTCTTCGTATTTCTGGTGTTATCTGTTCATGTACATGTACACGTAATAGTTCCATTAATGAGTCTTTCTGTTCACTTGATAAGTCCTCCTTGTACCTCTGTATAAATGTCAGTAGACTTTGGTGCCATAAAACTGGCAATTGGCGCTTGTCATTCACAAACCTGAAACCACAGTAGAACTTTTTAATCTTCAGATGATATACTTCAGTTCTGGGTGCAACACTTTTATCTATTGTTCATGGTATCACAATTTCAGTGTTCAATGTCAATGAAAAAATAGGTAATCACACATTCTAAATATTTGCCAATTTGTACAACTTACTATGTTATATTTCAAAGTGATAAAATACATCATGTTGCTGTCACAATAAATCTATCCCAAAAACAATTCCCAAATTCATGACTCACCGTAGAAAATGGTACACCACTGCATCAATCACTCTGAATGGGAGAGCATATTTTTTGTCTAGTAGACTTCTAAGGAAGATACTATTGGCTCCATTATAGTCCATTTCTGCTATTTTTAATAAAGCTGCTGCTGAGTGCAGCATTGGTATTGAGTTCTTGGCCAGTACACTAGCCACGATTATTGCCTCTCTTAGTGTGGTTGTGCCACTCTGAAAATAGAAATCATTATCATTATTCATGTTGTCAAGGTTATGAGGACTGGTACTAGATTAAACAAAATAAAGTTCTTAGTATTCAGAACTTCCAAATTGACCTTATTTATTATGTTCTCTATATGGTTTTTAAAAATCTTTTGTTTGAAACATCTTATAATATCAGAACTCATTATGCTTTGATAAATGTAGGCTGCAATATTTATCGTATTTCTGTAACCTTATTTGCAAATGTCCAAATATCCACTGTAACCTAGTAGAATAGACTCTTAGAATATATTCATGAATTTACCTCACAAAGTGGGAGCAGAATTCCTTTAAAGAAGGCGGCTGGCTTGAATAGAGATTTCCTTAGTGCCTAAAACAGATAATGAAACATTAAAAAAAATATGAATAAACAAGGCATTAACATTCAAAATGTCACCACCTGCCATTTGTTACAGATGCTGAAAGCCAAACACCAACCACTGCCACAAAAATATTGGAGACAATAACAATACGTCATCACTTGTGGTGGTGATAAAAAATATGTATCTAATAATATTAGAAATGTTAGAAATTAAATAATGAAGCAGTAATAGTTTGGAAAGAAATTGGGTGAAATTAACATGCGCATAGTTAAATGTAAATCATCTTTTCTCGAACCATGTTATCTAGCTCTACAGATAAAATATGCTTGTTTCATCATGTGATGCATAAATGCCTTGGTCTACAGTAAAAATTAGTCACAGTTCAAAAGGCTGATTTAAGCAATGCTTTGACTAACTAAAAGTACGCATTTAAAGCGTTTTCTTTACAAAATATCAGTGCTTTATACCTGGTAAAGATGGAAATTCAACTTTTTGTACTCTGCTATATCATCTCGTATTCTAGGGAGAAGAACCAAATTGAAGAATCGTTGCGCCATCTTTGCATTAAGGTTTGAAGCGAATATTCTTGTTGCTTGGTACACAGAAGCAGCTGACCATTCTTCTGGTTTTGTTAGGTATAAAATCTGAAAAGAGCAAACTCATCCATGGATTCTTGTTTCTGCCTTTATATAGCAACATTCTAATAAATAACTAGAATAACAGATTGTAACAAGGAATCTAGATCCAAACTTCAATTGGCTATTACTTCTTTAATATGTTTTAATATGTCATAATATGTAAGTCTCAATTGGTAAAATAAAAAAAATAAAAAATCACTCGTTCACAATATGCTTTTTCTGTAATCTATATGTCGTATGACACATCATCAATATTATCTACTTGGAGGACAGGGCTACCTGAGTCAGAGTGTAATAAGAAAGACTTAGTTTATTGCCACAATTGGATCTGTTTATACATTTACAATAATATACAGGTTCATGCCTAAATATACTGTATAAAACATTCTACTTGGATAACCTTAAAATGACCATACTACTTATAACATACCTGTTCCCAATTATTTAAAGCTGGAATAATTTTGAAAGCTTTTGGTAGTTTTCCACTTCTGTATTTAGATAGGATATCTGATATTTGTTGGTACATATTGATAACTCTCTCATCAAGTTGCTGCATATTCACACTCATATTGTCTGAAAAAGAAGCAACATATGTATATGCCGGAGATTGTCAATTTTGGAAGTTGGTGCTTTTCATCCATAATATGTCTGGTTCCACTAGGACAAGACTCATATTGAAAACAAAGTGTTCTTCTTTGGAGGTGTTCAACTTATAGAGGTTCATTTAGCATTAAGTCATTTGGTCTTGTGACTCTACTTTACAGATTTCACTGACAATTTCAAAAAAAACATGGCAAAATGTCACCAGCTAGTTATTTATCATAAATGGTAACATGAGTGTGAGCATTTGTTACAGATGCAGACTTCTAATCTCAAACTCAGAATCACTGTAGGTGGTGAAATAATCCATATTTCACTTGCATTAAACCAAAGTAGCAAAGTTGGATGCAATGCTGATCATTTCATTTGGATGAGCTTATTACTTTACCAATCATGCCCCAATGTTTCATGAAGATTTAGTCCTAGAAAATATTCGGAACTAATATGGTATTTACCCGACATTTGACTCTGAATCTCTGTTTGTTTCTCAGTAATTTTTTCTTGTATAATATCAGCCAAGGTTCGCCTGGCTGGTGCATCATGGGACATAAACATCGCCAGTGCCTCCTCATCGTCTTCGTTAACTTCCTGAATATGAATAAAAGGAAAAATTATAATTTATCATACATGTATGTCATTATCATCGATCTTTATTGACATGAAGTACAGGATGTGGACCATGTGAGGATGTGTCTTTTTCAGTGATAAGAAAGATCTTGAATACTTCGCTACCAAAGATGAATCTGTCTTACAGATGAAACAATGCATTAACATGCATTTAATGTCACTACCTGCTATTTGTTACAGATACCGACTGCCATACATTATAATAATGGTAACATAAAAAAGTCAAGAAACTAACATATCATTAAAAAACAACACATCTAAAACCTAACATATCATTAATATCATCAGGTGAGAATGAAGATCTAGAATTTTACTACATGTACATGTATTATAGAAAAATGTCAAAAAATGTTTTGTAAAAAATATTCTGAACTGACATTAATTTAAACTGACATTTTAAATATTTGTTATACATGTACATTGCACATTTGTAATACTTTTAGGTCTCAGTTCTTTCTTATATCCAATAATTATTAGATTAAGCTTGAGGCAAGATTCTATTATTTTGAACTTACTACAGTTTCATAAAGGTCCTCTCCTGCAGCTCTCAAGGCTGGAAAGTCTTCATCCTCAAGATCCTCATCCTCAGAATCCTGAGATGTACCAGCACCCAATGTTACAGTTTTCTTTTTCTTCTTGTTACTAAATCAGAGAAATACAGAAAATTACAAAAACCTGTATTTTGTAGTCAATGATTCAATTGTTTAGCTTTTCAAGACGAATTCTGCTATTAGTTCACCAAGCGTAAAAGTGAAGTGGATGTTTTTGTACCGAATGAATGCTACGGATGGTTATTTCTCAAAATTGAAATCAATATATGGAATCAGATCTTTCATCAACAGTGATAAAACAAACGCAAATCTTTTTTCCCATGCTAGATTTCCAATAATTTTCCCTGGTGATTCAAAACTTTAATTTCCAATAATTTTCCCTGTTGATTTTATTTATTGTTTTGCCTTTTTGTTAGTAACTCTATTGAAACTCTTGGGTCAAGGTTCTCGGGAATTTTTTTGTTTTGTTTAGTATAATACTTTTCAAAATACTACTTAAAGATTATCTGCCTATTTTAATCACAATATACATTTCTAAAAGGTTTCTGACTTCATATTCCTTGTTTGTATCCAGTTTTATGTATTTTCTCAAGAGTTTTACCACAAATAATGTGACAAAAATGTAAAATTAGACTCCGGAAAAACACTTTAAAACTCCGGAGTCTGAAAGCCTAGTGAGAACCTTGTAGCTTTTACCACCTGTACCTTATGATGCTCAGCTATAATTAAGAAATATAGACCGAAAAGCAGGGATAATATTGCTAGGCACAAACGTTTTCTGTAAAACGAAAGCTTTTGTGCCTAGCCCTAAGGGGTGTATTCAATGATATTACCCCTGCTCTGAGGTCTATTTTACAATTCGAACATGAAAACTCAACAAAATGTTTCGAATATTCATCATGGTCTGCCATTACTACGACCCACCGTTATGACGTCACACATTACACGTATTACCAGGGGTATTGATCGCGAATATATCCCAGGTGAAATGTTGACTTTGTTTATAGTTTATAGAAGGCGTAAATACAATCATGTTCGTATTTAAATTCTTACCTGACTGTTCCATGCTCCTCTTCCAACTCCTCCTGCTGTTCACGTGCTTGCTTCAAGATCTTCTTAGACAACTTATCATCTACAAACTGGAATAAAAGCAATTCCTGGCTCAGTATATCACAGATTCACTCAAGATGTGACTTCCTAGAGACCCTTAAAAACAGTGCATACTTGGCATTTGTGTGTAGATCAGTTACTTATATTTTATTTGTATCTAAAAGAACATTTGGGTTTCTTTTTGAAATTACTAATCAAAAATAATTTAGGGCAATTATTATAAGCCCTTTAGGATAGAGACTTTAACATGTTAAAGTACTTTTGTACCAAAAGTTGTGAGTCTATGAGACTAAAAACTTTGTTACTGACAAAAAATGGTTGACCAGGAAATGAAATAAAAAAAAGAAAACAAACCAGGATACTCATATGTAATCCAGGAAGTAAAAGTCTTTGGATAGCTTGATGATAGAATTTATAAATTCTTTTGTATAAGCCAAAAATTATGAGCTTTACTTTTTTAAGGGAGCACAAAACTAAAGTAATAATATTGCAGGGGTTATATGCAAAATTCTGTCTGCCATAATACGGCAGTTATCTGTCAGTATAGGAAAAACTGAGTGCTGGCTGTGACACAACCTTTATAAGTCATGGGGTCATTGAAATTTCACTAAGTCACGAATTCGTAATTTGTAACTTTATGAAATTCGTAAATAATTAAAATTTATGAATGACTTTACAAATTCGTAAAGTTACGAATCGCCCATTAACAGAACACTTTTGTATGTCATTCGCAACTTTCATCCTTCGTAGACAAACGAAAGCATATGTGATGTCATTTCTTCGTAACTTTGCTAATCGTTTGTTACTTTACGGAAGTTTTGTTAATACACTTTTACCAAATTTGTAAAATTAACAATTGACTTGCAAATTTGTAACTTTACGTATTGAATGAATATACCACCAAGATTATACTTCAACGATCCTCAATTAGGTATGTTTGGAGAGCTTTTATGTTTATTATCAATTTATTCCCCAATCAGAACACAACAATTTTTATTCTGACCAATCACAACCACATTTACATAAATATCTCCCATGATGCATCGCTTTGGAAGGGACAAATTTTCATCGGCCCACCCAACGAGTCGATAACTCTGAACGAAACATCAAGAGATTGCAAAGTCAAAGGTCACGATCCGCTAATTTCATTGGTCGATGATTACATCATAGTGTATATATAGCATCAAAATGGCAGATGATTACAAAGAGCGAGGGAAAGTATCGCAACAGATTTTTGACAGTAAATAATTTTTTTCTAGTAGTTTCTGGCTGTACAAAAATGACTGCATATGAAAGGCCAATGTATAATCTTTAAGAAAAATTCAAAGAATGGTTTCAAGATCAATTGGATTATCTCATAAGCCATGTTTAATCCACCCATCAACAAGCTTTTTTTTCAAAATACAATCGTCATTTTCACCATCGTCCCTCATTTTTTTTTACAATTTTCACGCAAAGTTACATTGTACTTGAACACATGTTTCATCACTTAAAATATATAAGGAACTCCTCGTGGATTAGGATTATGATAATCCAATATAAGGGGATCCAATGGGGCTATGCTTTTAGTACAGCACACTCATATAAGATGTCATTAGTGTGCCATAAAGTTAGTTCAAAATGTTTTCATAAATGAATGGTTGGACTTGTTTGATCCCCTGCTGTTTGATCCCCTGTTTAATCAATGGAGCATAACCGCAGCATTTCCCAAAAAAATTCTGAATACCTGTCAAGTTGACTGTTTAATGTTTGAGTGCAGTTAAACCTGTGTGTGTGTGTGTAAGTTGCTAAGAAATTCTAAATACCTCTCTTTATGATAATTTCTATCATGCCTTATTATAGCATTTACTTTGAACAGGTTTTCTGTATCTTGTTTATCAGTAATGATTCACGAGGTACAGTGCTATTAAAATCATAAATACAGTACAAGAATTTAGTACATCATACCTTTGCCAATAATTTTAGTAAGACAAATATTTTGATCCAGCTTCTGAAAAAACATTGAACATGTTTCTATATGATGATGTGTTATGACACACTTCCTTATTTGAGTTTATCTCCAGATTGATTATTCAAATAATGAAATGAAGGATGATATGCTGAGAATAATTTTTGCATATTCATCAATTCAAGAAATGATATCCTAAGAAAATGTTATGAGTAACATACACTCTTACCTTAATGTTAACATTAGGGAGATTAAGCTTGCATATAAAATCGAAACGCCAACCTATGACCAATCGCCCATACAAATGCATCTCTAAATATTTTCCATTCACATTTAGGTTGTGAGAAACATTGCAAGCTTAAAGTCCCTATTGAGAGTCTCTGAAAACCACAATCGATACCATTGAGTGTGTGGTGTATACTACCTTTATCATTATTTCTAAGATTTACAATAACATCTTTTTAGCAAAATGTCCGATTTTCTTCCATATTAATGTGAACATATAAACAAACAGAATGATTCTATTGGTTGAGTCAACAATTTCAGTTATTAGGGAGGTTAATAAAGATCGCACTATTTTGATGAACGTACACATGGAATGTGTAAACTTATGGTCCCCTATTCACGGTGTTATAGCATGATGGTTACGTCAAGGCGATTTGCAAAATTTTGCGGTAACGATAACAAAAAATGGCGAATGGGAAAGGCAGCATGTCCTCTTTCTCGCCTGTAGGCAATATTCACAGATAAGATTTCCTTTTAAACTAGTTCCATTCGGTGACATATATATGGATGGTTATAAAGACTGGGTCAAATCTGCCAGGTGGTCTACAAGAAACAGAATATAATCTGTAAACCTACCGACTGAGATATCAAAGTTTATAATATTTGGTCCATTCTCGTGTTGCCTCAGTACATGAGCCACTCAAAATATTAACTGTAAGTATAAGTAAACTGTGTATAACTACTGCAAATTCAAAATACATTATTATGGCTTGAGTAGAACATATTAGGTGGTTTTCCAATGCTCAATTGGCTTTGTATGATCATATGTAGGTTACATCTATATACCACAAGGTTTTTAGGCAATGTAGACCATGCCCTAACAACAAAAACAAAAATAAACAAATTACTAAATTTTTGTATAGTTTTGAATTTCAAACTCGACAGTTTTTCTCTTATTTCATGTTATTCCCGGGCATCAATTTGCAAAGGCTACGTTCAAAATATACATTACTGAAAGTATCACCGAATGCGATTCTTACATAAATCCTTCATCCTTTCATTGATACACAGAAGTAGAAAATAATGCGCCAACCTTAGTTTTCTCTTCCATCGCAGCCATTTTATTGGATAAATCAGTGAACGTAGCTGTCCAACCTCGTTTTCAGAGGTGGCGTAACCGTCATGCTATAACACCGTGCTATTGACTATATAGGAGCAGTTTTACCAAGGGCAAAGCTTTTGCCTAGGGATGAACTTTTTGACAGTTTTGGCTAAAAAATCATGCGAAGTGCTCAGATTGGTGAGAAACTGCATCATTTTGAAAGAATCTCTTGGGGGAGCAGCAGCTCCCTTTATCTCTCCCCCTCTACCTGGCTAATTTTCACATTTTTTATATTTCTACTATTCAAATTGACCAATCCCCATTCATGTCATTTTAACAGGTCCCTTCATTACTTTACACCAGTGTTCATTAATCCCTTGTTTTCTAGTCGTATGTGCTTTTATTATTCAGTTTCACAATCTATTGTTTTGCCATGCCAGTTTTACATGTTTGCATGCTGAGTTTGTTTTATGTAATGTTTTTTGTTCCTTATATGGTTTACACATTGACTCAGTTGAGTTGGGGTGTTGCCCCATTACTAGTTAATGTTGCCTAGAGTTTGTGACTGTACATACACAAAGTATTTCAAATATATATTTTAGAAAACATTTTATATTTGATTCCCACCCAAGGGTCTTCCACTCACCCATTAACATAAACAAAACATGAACTCTAATAAAAATGCCAACAAGACTGCAAGGGAGACTTAATCTATGAATTGGACTTTGCCATATCACATGTATTAGTCCCGTGACCAGGGAGGGGGAGGAGGGGGGTTGAGAGACGACCCTCTCCCCTAGGCACATTTTCTGTCAACATCCTGCAATTTTTCACCACTTTAGTACTTTTCAAGTGATGTTCGGATGATGCTTTCATTTAATTGCTTGCACTGATGGTTTCTCTTGAATATTCATGCACATAAGGTGATCTAGTATTTCAACACAGGACCCTGAAAGCGCTATTTGAGCTTGAAGTAGAAGTATTCATAGTATTACTGTTTGTATTATTAATCTCTATGATTTTTCAATAGGCTAACTCAGTCAGTGAATGCAGGATTAAAACACAACACACATGAGTAATTCACCCACCTATGCATGTTATTATTGAAAAACATTGCCATCTTTTACATCACTCCTAAATTATTTTTGTCAACATGCATTTTAAGAGGTTTATTTTTTTTTAAAAAACTCAAAAACAAACTTCATGGAGTTCCTTACATATTTTACTTGATGAAACATGTGTTCAAGTACAATGTAACTTTGCATGAAAAATTGTAAAAAAAATGAGGGACGATGGTGAAAATGACGAATGTATTTTGAAAAAGCTTGTTGATGGGTGGATTAAACATGGATTATAAGATAATCCAATTGATCTGGAAACTATTCTTTGAACTTTTCTTGAAGATTATAGATTCGCCTTTCCCAAGCATTTACTTTTTACAGCCAGAAACTACTCACAAAAAAATTATCAACTGTCAAAATTATCAAAAGTCTGTTGCGATACTTTCCCTGCTCCTTTCAACAAATTCTGATAAAACTAGCGTGAATCTTGACAAAATGACAGTTTCTCAGCTTCCGATTTTCCATCAGCCCTAAAGCAATTGCTATATGATCCAATCTATTCAATAATCAGAAAATAATCGGAGATTAAGTAACATTATTTATATTCTTTTCAATCCTCAATGCCGTCTGGAGCAATTTCTGGTAAATCAGTAACGTCACTCTGGTATTGGACGGCATTTTCAACTACAGATTTCTTCGGATTTGGGGATTATAGTTCAAAAAGCCTTGTTGTATCTTAATTTCATACATCTCTACATAAATGTAAATAAAGCCGCAGTGCATCAATGAAAGTCGTATCCCTGTGAAATGGGAAAGAACCCGGATGTAGACGAAGTTGTACCCTACATGAGAGCTCTTCAAACAGGAGGTACACAGGCCCAGGAAGATTTAAATCCCCCTCTCCCCAGTCACTGTATAACTAATGTAATAATAAAAAAAATACAGGCTGATCTCGTAAACATCCAAATCTCTTCTCTAACAGCTCAATCTCACCATATGTCCAATGATCTTCTCTAAAATTCTCAGATTATGTATATAAATATCTTATCGACCAAACAATCTGGTTTTTAATAGCAGTGTCAATCTCTAGGGTTTGTGTCCAGCTGGCTTTTACCGAGCAACCCACGGTCACGACAAATTGACATCCAATCGCCATCTTGTTTCTGCAGTCAACCAATCAAATCACAGCAGTTATTAATTAATATTATTTAATTAAATTTAATTAAATATTCTCACACTTTTTTATTGTCTTTTTCAATTTTTTGAATTACAAACCTACAAAGTTTTGATGTTTTAACGGCCAGATTACTCGAATGATCATTTCTTGGACATGAAATTTGGCGGGAAAATCACGACGATTTTTTTAGAAATCCAAAAAAGCTAAATATATATCATGATATACTATGAAAAATATACCGAGACTACTAGTACAATAAGTTCATAGCATCGCCTCAGATATATCTAAATACTAGAATTGAGATTTGTAATAGTAATTTATAGAAAAATATATTCATATTGCACCCGAATCACATTTGTATATGTTGGATTGCTTTTAAATTGGCTCATAATATCTGTAACCTCTTATATTTTGATGCTTCTCTAACATGTTGATTCTCAAAAAAATAACATGGCAGACAGACCTCAAATTACAAGAGGGCATAGGCTTAATTTATTGCACTAAACACTGAATAATCTGAAATGTACAAATGCCATTTGTGTGCAATATGAATATATTTTTTTTATATTATGGCACAATGGTCTATAGTTACTCACTTCGAGAGCCATGTTAGATTTTGAAACTTATGGCTCTCAAACGGGAAAGTGAACAGCTGATCAATAGTGACCTTTGAAATCGAATTAAGTTGATCCGCGGCTTACTTTTGGTCTCTAACTGTGTCTTACATCAGTATCATCAATCCTTGTAAGTATTGGAGCGCTGGAGTACTTCTTTTTCGATCAAGACTTGTAAATTGTTCATCGAGTGAAAGTTTTTTAGACCTATTTCCAATATGGCGGTTCGCTAGGAGCGAGATACGCAACGAACGAAATGAATTTTGAGAATTAGTTAGGTTCGGATAACCTCCAGAGATTTACGAAAATGTCCGAGCAGAAAACGCCATATTGGAATTTGGCAGTAAAACGATTCACTCGACTTACAATTACAAGTCTTGTAAGACACAGTTAGAGACCAAAAGTAAGCCACGGATCGACTTAAGGTAACTTATAACTTAATCAAAAAATACAAGATGGCCGAAACCAGGAAGCACATGGCATTTGAGTATAATCTGACCATCAAAATTAACTGTCTTTGGTTGGATTTTCTCTCAATTTTTTAGTTCCACTTATCATTTATATAACCAGGCTCACTGTGGTAATGCAAATAGAAACAGTAAACATTTTGGAATGGGAATTTGAGTCCTCTGAAAATGTGACAGAAAAATTGACAAAAAGAGTAGCACGGCAAAGGTCCCTGACCATTTTTTTTTCTAATTTCTCTGAAACATCCCTTTAATATAGCCCAAAATGGAAGGAGCTTTAGAATTTTGAAATCTCATACAAATTAAAAAAAATAGAAAAAAACAATTTGAGAAGTGTACTTTTTCCTTATTTTGATCCCAATTTTTTTATCGGGTAATTTTTCAAATTTCCGTTGCTCCTTCGTTTTTGATATATGCTTGAAGTATATTTTCTGAAATGTTCAGATATTTTGAATCAGCGGTTTTTCACAGGCTACTCCTAGAAAAAAATCTTCTCAAATTCTTTAACGGCACTTTTTTTTCTCAAACTAAAGTTTTTTTGTTGTTCTTTGATGTCTTTGTAATGATTACAGTGCACAAGCATATGTGAAATAATAAAAACGACTTCTCAGGAAGAGTTTGAAAATTTCAAGATTGTGAAATTTTCAATTTTTTCTGAAAATCGATTAAGTTAACAGTCACCTTAATTCGATTTCAAAGGTCACAATCAATCAGCTGTTCAAATGCTCCGTGGGAAAGCTATTATATCAAAATCCAAATAGCTTTCGCAGGAAGTAAGTCTATAGATTTCTTAATTTTCAGGTTCAACTGCTTGCCTTTGAAGCAGTGAAACAGACTGTAGTGGCTTAGATTTCCCGAGATAAGAGCCTGTATTTTTTCTACCTGATACAAAGTGAGTGGGAGGGGGATGAACTCTTGTTCCCGTGTCTATGGGGAGGTAACTAAACTGAGCTAGTTTCCAAACGTTATAGCATATTACTTTTGGAGTATTGACTGATTGAATAAGAAAATTTCAAAGCCATATTACAGTATCTATGGTTGTTTCTGAAAAATTGACTGTCGTAAGTCTGACCTGGATGTCCAAATTTACGATTTAGCAGTGTCCCTTGGCCTTACTTCCTTTTGAAACAACATTGAATTTCTAATTTGAATTTCATTTTGATTTTCAAAAATTCAAGAAATTACCTTTATTTCATCTCCCTGTCTTTCTCTCACTTTCGTTCGTCCAGGAGCTCGTACTGAGGTATCCTCTAATATTTGATCTGTTAAGGGAGCGGGGCGACCAACCAAAGGATCAGACCTAAGCTTAGATTTTTTGTGTTTTCCCATTTTTCAGGATTTTCTGATTTCCACGTGCAAGATGGCGATGGTTGGGGAAACCCTTTTAGGGAGCATTATATTTTTGTTACCTTTGTTTAAATCCAGCATAGCTGTTGTATCATATATTCAATATTTATATGTGATAATCTGTCTTACTCGAAACACCATTATTCTAAAAAAACTTGCTTCAAACTATTGTTAAAAAAAGAAATACAAAAGTAGGTCATCGTATGACGTCACTCTAGAGGGAAATCCCAGTCCAAAATTCAAAACAAAAACTGAATCTTCTAATGTTCTTCTAATCTGCTAATAGCATATGCTAAGAGTTTTGGCAGTTAATATTAGACATGAATGTAATTTTTGAATTCATTTTGGTTCTATTGAACATTGGATTTTCTTGTTTGGAGAACTTTATCTCACTTTTCATACCTCCAAAGAGGAAAGATATCACAAATGAAATAGCCCTTGTTACAGGAGGGGGCCATGGGATTGGCAGAGAGATGGCTTTAGAATTAGCTACCAATGGTGCAAAAGTTATCCTTTGGGATATAAACACAGTTAGTATGATTCATTTATACTTCTATTAGCAGTGTCGTGGGTAATGAAAAGCCATGAAAGGGGGGGTAGGTACGAAAAATTTCGAACGGAATGCGTGACATATACGTAATTCGCGTGAAAAGTCCGAACGAAATGCGTACATTTTTTTCCGGCGTTCCTATTTTTGCTGTGTAGACGATCTTTTAGAAATTTTTCTACAGAAATATTTTTGCTTGACAATTACCAGGTAAAATGCGTATTTGCGTGACATTTTCTGTCACGCAAAAATAACTGGCGTGACTTCAAATTCTTCAGCAAATGCGTGACAAATACGCAAATTGCGGGACAGTTGACAGGCCTGCTGCTGCTGCCCTGTCAACCCTCACGCATTAGGCGTGATTGTCACGCATTTGCTTGAAAAATGGAAATCACGCATCAATTTAGCGTGTATGATCAAATATCACGCAAATCACGGATTTTGTTGATATTTATAAAAAGCGTTTTTTGTGAATGCCGAAAGGGTAAAAACCGATCGGCGAAAATAAGCGAACGCATTCCGTTCGGTCTTTGCACGCGATTGCCGTTTATGTCACGCATTTGGTACAATATATGTGTATATATAACGTAAGTTTGAAGGAAGGTGTTCAACATTTGGAAGTCACTCATGTTAGGTGGTCCCAAGTTGACAGCCCTGCTGCTGTGTTTGTGTCAGGGTCGACTGTAATGATTACTCAGACAGTGGATTTGTAATCTAAATCTCATTGGTCTTCTGCTTGAGCCACCAAAATGATTAGCTTGGGTAGCTATATGTATTAGTAACTTGCTATTCAGGGTTCTTACACAACATCAAGTTTACATGTTCATTATGTCACTATCAGAAGTGGTTAGATATTGTATAGTCTCCATCACTTAGTCTTATAGATGGTGTTCGGTGTCTGTAACATTGTCTGTAACGTTTTCTGTAACAAATATCAGTCGGCATCTGTAACAAATGGCAGCTAGTGATATTTTGCATGTTAATGCCTTTTGTATCCTTCAACAAGTAAATATGTTTTCTTGTTCTGTCTCACTACCATTGTGCACAAATAAGTTTCACTTTTTCACACATTACACAGTAAAACCTGTAAGGTGGAACCCCTCCGTCAGTGGAACACCCCCAGAAGTGGAACATATAAAATCCTCTTACCCAATTACATGTGAAGCAAAACTCTGTTTGTGAAACATTTGTCGAGTGGAACACTACTTGACGTACAATAGATGTTCCACTTACACAAGTTTTACTGTAAATTATTTGAAAAGTATCAGCATGGTAATTGAATGTTTTCTATTAACAGGAAGGCGTCAAAGAAACTGCAGCGGAAATCAATCAAAATGGTGGATTTGCTAGAGCTTACAAATGTGATGTCAGTAACGTAGATGAGGTCAACCAAACTGCGGCAAAAGTGAAACAAGAAGTTGGTGATGTGACAATGTTACTAAACAATGCTGGAATTCTCTATGGACTCAACTTAATGAGGTTGACAGATGAGCAAATAAAACGAATTTGGAATGTCAACTGTTTGGCTCATTTCTGGGTATGTAAGAATCAGTAGTTCATATTTTATATTATCCCTAATTTATGGGTTTTATATTGTAGGGTAATAATCAATATTTTCAGACATTTTTTTGTATGGTCATGTAGCCAAAACATGAAAGTCATGCGATTAACTTTGAATAGTCCAAGACTAACTACATAAAGCATATTGTTTTACCCCTATTGATTTATTTTTTTCAGTTTTAATATACAGTCCACACTGCATTGTTACGAAATGACAATACCAGTTAGAATGTCATTCAATCAATCCAAAAGACAGTTAGATTAAAAGGCCTTTTCAACTTAAAAGTTTACTATAGTGTGCATAAAGTAGACAACATTTATTCTGAAAACTCATGTTAAACAGTTTATCCATCTGTAGAACCTATGAACTGTGGATATATTCACTCATATTGTCTAGATGTAACATTTCATCATTGTTTAGGCCATGTCTCCACCCAGGCATTTTTACGTGCCATTTCCTTTTCTTGATGTGTGGGTGATATTACCATTTGCTTTCTAATCACCTGAGCAAGGTTCAAGCACAAAATGATCACTTCAGCAATTGTTATAACAGACATGCCAATAAAGAATCCAAAACTTCCTCCAATTTCTGAAATCATAGAGTTAATTGTGAAGTCTTCAGCCTGCTGGGTTATCTTTGTGTCTAGGTCTTTAAAATACACATTTAAACGAACAACATTTTTTCTCAGTTTAATTCCATATGTGTCTCTAAGTATCTTGTTTTCTTCTTCTGATTTTGCATGACCACAGTATTCAGGGAAAACATCATGAAAGCTATTATAAATGCTAGAGTTAATGTAGTTGTCCATGTTCATGAGTGATCTACAGTACAAGTCTATCTCTACCCCTTCTAATGGCCACACTGATTGAGAGAGTGTCATTTCATATGATTGATACAAGCACTTTTCCCGGCATTGGCAACCATCTTGGCCCACAAAATCTGACAATGAAAAATTATTTTGGCATCGAAGTTGTTCCAAGTCATTCTGAATTATAGTTAGATTGTACTCATTGGATTGAAGTTTTACCCATTCGTTTAAGTGAAGTTTTAGACAATATCTTGTGTGAGCCATATCATCATCGACTGGTAAAGAGGATTGGACACAACCACATGTTTCATAGATGGTTTTCTGCAGGCATTTCAGGAGACAATGTTTTTTGGTGTATTTGAAACTTCCATAGGCCTCAGAGTCGTGATCAGCGCATTCTCCCCAAGGTGCTTTCATCAGTTGTCTTTCATTGACAGACAATGCTGCATTGACCGAGTGTCCTGGCTCAATATCAAATCCATCATTTTCTGGGTCAGGCAGGGTCCCCTTTTCATGGATCACAACTCTTACTCCTTGACTACCACTGGTTGCATAGTTTGGATTGTATATCAGAGAACCTTCAACGGCATCAAGGTATAAAGTTAAAGATAGTCCCCCTTTAGGGCCTGAGATCTTTGTGCTAGGTTTAGCAATGGTTGTGTTGCCTCCATTGAATGTAAAGCATGTATAATGTTCATGGTGATCTAAAGTGGTAAAGTCTGACTTCAAACATGACTTTCCTTGATACACACATACTGGGATAAAATTATCTTGTTTATGGCTGTAGTCTTGAATTGACTTTTTACTATTGTCAAAAAATCCTTGAAAAGAGTACAACTGAGTGTGAAACTCTTCGTAAAATTCCAGTTTCTCTGACTGAGCACTTTGTGAGATATTATTGTCTACATAAGCTGTGAGATTTTGTAAAAGCTCAGTTAGTCTCATCAATGGAATAGTTTCTTGTTTTCCCTCTCTCATATCTTGAAAAAGCTGATCATACCCTGATGCTGGCATTCCAACTAAAGGACACACAGTAACTGATGGGAATACAATGTCTCCGTTCTTTACAACAATTCTGTCCCTTGTATCGAATGTCCCATATCGCAGGATGATCGTGATCACCTGCCATATTGCCACACCTGTACAACCCAGGCAGAGGCCAATCCAGATTGTTCTACCAAGTTTTGTTGTTCTTTGGGTGACATTCCCCCAACCATGTGCAGTGGTGTTACTTGCAAAATCACTTATTGTTCTCTTCATACTTGTATGGTCTACTCTAATGTAACATGCCTGTTTCTGGCTATAATGTGCTGACTCATTTACTGGTTAGAGACATACATTTCTAGATTTATTGGTAGATGTCATAAATGCCTTTATAGACATCCATTATACCTGATCAATATGCATTAAATACCCTTTGTGTCTATTTCTGTATAAGAAGTAATATTTATTCAAAGGGTTACAATTATCCAAAAGATTCAAAACAACTTTCTATCACGTCATGGAAGTAATTAAGGGAATACTTCTTAATTGAAGGGACCATATCCTAATTAAGGGAATACTTCATTATTGGAAATGGGGACCATATCCTATTTTTTTTAAGTATGGAGAGGATTTGGATGAAAGAGAAATATATCATCAAATTCAGAATAAATACCTGTGTATAAATATCTTCTGAAAAATATGAGGGGATAATCTAGCACACCAAATAGGAAACCCTGATATTCACTTATAATACCTTAAAACATCAGCTACCCAACTGAATGGATTTCAGGATTAATTGTATTTCAAACTTATGAGCTTAAGGAATTACATCCAAATATTAAATATTCTCAGGTTATAGACCCAAATAAACCAATTTTTCACCTAAGACCAAACTGATCTGAAGTACAGAATATTCTGTTTATGTAAAAATCACATGGACAACAAACTGTTATTCTTAATTATGATGTTAATCATACAAGTTCATGTATTGTCACGGCCACTCCTTTAGTCAATATTGTATTGTCCCTTGGAATAAAACCCATATTTAATACCTCCCAGTTAATAACGTAGTAGATTTATTGATTATCTTACAAAAAATTTATATTCACTGGTAATCTTGCAGTGATTTTCTTTTATTTGCAGACAGTACGCGCATTTTTGCCCAAAATGATTGAGAACAATCATGGCCACATCTTAACCTTGGCATCAGCCTCAGCTATAAGTGGAACAGCCTTCCTTGTTGACTATAGGTAAAGTGATTCCTCGCGATAGTTTGTAAACACTTTTTTATCCAAACACCTCTTTCTGTAAACACCTGACTATATGAACACCTGTTCTCGTAAAATATAAAATATTTCAATAAAACATAATTATCATTTACAAGTTATGGTATAAAAATTAAAAATTATAATACAGTTTTTAAGAGAATGCCCTGCTTAAGGATATATTTGAGTGTCAGTATTGTTTGGGAATTTTTTTCTTTTGAAATTATTTTTATTTTACAAAATAATCTCACAATTATTGATTTCCATCCCAGTTTATACATTTCTTTGAATTAAAAATACAATATATATGTACAGTATAACTTGTAAATGGGAACACCTCTAGAAGTGGAGCACCTCCATAAATGGAACACATTTTAGAGGAACCAAGGGTGTTCCACTCACACAGGTTTTACTTTAATTTGAAATTACAATTTTCCATCAATAGGTTTATTTCATAAATACAAACAAATATGCAATGAATAGGCAGGGTTTGGGCAAATCACCTTGAAATTACATCATGGACTCTTTGTATCTGCAGTGCCACTAAATGGGCAGTTGATGGTTTCACTGACGCTCTTGATGAGGAGATTGATAAGCTTGGTTGTGATGGTGTCCACACTACAACAGTTTATCCATTGTTTGTGAACACTGGCATGACATGGTATCCAAGAGACAGGTATGCTATTACTGTTACCTTTCATTTACCTGTTTTTTTTTATCATTTATGGTTTTTCACCACACATACCTTATGTATTTCATATGTCATATGAGTCCTCTTGGCGCGGAAAGCTAGGAGTCACACAAACCATTATGGCAGCAAGAAAAGAATAAATTTTCAAAGTCTGGCATGAAATGAAATTGGCTCCCCCTCCAAAACACAAATAATTTCATATGTTTGATATCTAAGTTTTGATCCCATTCCGAATTTTTGTGTAAGTGAGAAACTGCCTAGCGCCTTAATGTGACTTTGATACAATGGAAATAATTTCAGATTTGGCCGTGTGTTTGAACCAAGGGAAGTAGCAGAGGCAGCTATTGATGGGATGCTGCGTAACCGTCACTATGTACATGTTCCACGAATCAACAGTTTCACTAGAGCAATGGGAGGGTATGTATAATCAGTACCTTGGCCTAATTATGGTGACATATTGTTTCAGTCTCTATAACAAAGTGTTACACTTTTGTAATCATTTCTAATTGTGTGACCCTGAAAATTACCATTTATAGAAAATTAGTTAAAAAACAATTCTTTAAAAAACAGTCATCAGCATTTCAAGTCAATATAATATTTTGTTTGTATGGCCATTCTATCTGAATGACCAAGACAAGATGTCATCTCAAGTGTTGCACTAAGTTCTACAGCAATCCTTTTTCAAATACTGTAAAACATTCCGACCCACTTTAAAAACTTTTGAAATAGGAAGTGTTGAAAATTAGGTTTACCAAAAATTCAAAATAGAAACCACCACCACCACCACCTCACTACATATACAGTAAAACCTGCAATGTGGAACAACTGCCTACGTGGAACACTTCAAAGTCCAGTTACACATCAGTCAGTCGAGCTATGGGCTGCACATTAACCCACTGTAAAATGAACCTCTGGAATTGAGACACCTCCTTCGTGAAATTAAAGATGTTCTACTTATAGCACAGGTTTCATTGTATTTTATCCACACGATTTTGAGACAGCACCTAAAACATATTTGATACATTATGTTGTAGATTCCTTCCAAAGAAGGCTTACAGAGCACTGAAGAAATATTGTGACCTTGGTATAGACCTCCAAGTTAAGAACAAGGATGACTAAGCACTGCAAGACTGTGAAAGCTGCATTCCAAAATAAATACCTTTCTTTGAACATGAAGGATTTGATTCAAGCATGATCACTTTTTTGCAGACAATGTACTTTGAGAAACACTTATTGTGTTTGAAACTTTAATAAATTGCCTCCAATAACTATGGATTGACATACTGATTTCTCTGTCCCAGGGGAGCTAAAATCAATGCATTGTAAGTCACTATTTAAGTTTATACTTTGTCATATGTAATGATGCTATTTTTGTACATTTTCATATGTGTTTATACATCCAATAAATTAATCATATTTTATGTATTTCTGTGTTCAGTATATTTTATTACAAGGAAGTGGATTTCTTTAGCTGGGATACAGGGTACTGTATGCTTCATTGGCAGAGGTCTGACTTTCATCATTCACAATTTTTGTGGTACACCTGACACTCCGACTATTGCAGAAATGCAATATAAGTGAATTTCAAAGTTTTAACTATTTACGAGAAATGGCATTGAGATTAAAAAATAGCTAAAATGATAATGATATAATTGTTAAAATCTGTTTATTTACAATAACAATAGTCTTTTATAATAACAGGCAATGTCCTGATAATGGCTGACATCACATATAATCAGGTATGTATATAGATATTAGATAAATAAATTATTCTATACAATAGAGATTCTTTCTCAATCTATCTTTCCATGCTACAAATCTACTTCCATTCCATACAGATGTACAGGTTAACACAAAAATGCAACCATCTGATTTTGGAATACCCGGTTATGATGGAATCATGTATATTCTTTGGTAGATGTAGTGTCCAGAGTTTAATTGCACTAGTTCTCAATGTTTGATGTTATACATTGTATACCACTGTTTCACGCACTGATCACTATTTCAGAAGATTCTACGAGAGGGTTGCGTTTTTTGTGTCACTCTGTATTGGACCAACCTCCCTTCTTAAATATTGCATATTGTATTTCATTGAAAAAATATTGCACAATATTCACATTTTTACATACTGTATACATATTTGAAATGCTTTTGGCATAAATAGTAAAATAAAATTATCACATTTATTATATTATTACTACATGGCTAGTACCAACATTGCACTTTTGACTAGCTTTGACTTTCAATTCAGTACTCTGAAAATACGATTATAAAAAAGATAAAAAACATGTAAACGATTTCTTTTACTACACAAAGGTTAACTATTTGACATATCTTTGAGCACAAAATATAAATACTAAGGGGAAAATTTATTTCAATTTTAACTTTTTATAAAAGAGCACATTTATACAGGTTAAATCATCCAATAGCTACAAATAAAAAAAATGTGCACATAGTGTAAGTTGCTTTACTTTGAAGGCTGCTTTAATTTAGCGGATTGATGACAACTGCCAAATTAAGTTTCTGTTTTCTGTTTTGAATAAATCAAAGGGGATTCCCTTGCAGGATTTGAAAATACCCCACTAAAATGTCAATATTGAACTATTTTCGAAGATCTAGATCCGCTGTTGGTTATTTTTTTATTATTTGCATCCTTGTATGATGAACCCTTATATATTCACATTTTACTGATGGGTAAATCCGCCAAATTAAATAGCAGCCAAAATTTCAAAATTTACCCAATCCAGGCTAATCCGCAAATAGTCTAAAAATTAAATAGCACCAAATTAAAGTAACTTTCAGTACATTGAATCAGTGTGACTAAAATATCCAAAACACATTGAAAAATGTTTAAAATATTGTATTGCTTTAAAAATTCATAGTACACCTATTGGAGAGGACAGGGACTTTAGGCATAATTTTGCCCCTTCCCCAAAATCTTTTTCCCTACCTACCCTTTGTTTGAAATGTAATAGGGAGAGGACAAGGGCTTGATGCGAGACTATCCCTTTATCCTCGGAAGAATATCAAACAACAATATAAATATGAAATTCCACATTATTGTCTTCAGTCTAAAACTTTAACTTCATTTTGAGATCATTCATAACTTCTATCTCATTTTGTATTGGCAACTCAGTTGAGATTCAGTGAAGATAAACGGCCAGTAATTGGCAGAGTTCAGTCAGTTAAATTCTGTCAACTTGCGAGATTCAGTCATCTAGGCAAGATTCAGTCAGTTAAATCCTGGTAGAATTCAGTCTGTTAAATCCTATTCACTGGCAAGATTCAGTCAGTTAAATCCTATCAACTGGCAGAATTCAGTCTGTTAAATCCTATTCACTGGCAAGATTCAGTCAGTTAAATCCTATCAACTGGCAGAATTCAGTCTGTTAAATCCTATTCACTGGCAAGATTCAGGCAGTTAAATCCTATCAACAGGCATAATTCAGTCTGTTAAATCCTATTCACTGGCAAGATTCAGTCAGTTAAATCCTATCAATGGCAGGATTTAGTCTGTTAAATCCAATCAACTGGCAGAATTCAGGCAGTTCAATCCTAGTTTCCTAGCCTCATATATTAGATGTGTATAAATAGCCACTGCAATGCTGTATACTATGTTAGGTGTCTTGTAAGAAGCAAGGGTCAACAGATGCTAGCTTTGCTGAGAGAAACGAATGCATGGAGTATAGTAATGTCTTCAGGTTACTGCATTCAACTTCCTGCAACATACAAGCCAAATCTAGCTAGATTATTGAGAGACAAGTGAGCGATTGCAAAAGCTCATCATGTGAGCTAAAAACTAAACAATAAAAACTGTCTAATTAAAGCATATTTATTTTGTGACAAAATCAAAATTTCCTGAATGTTAGAGAATTAGCATTAGTCGTAATGAATTGAATGCAGCTCTAGTGAACACCTCTCACTCATGAACACCTGTATTAATGAACACCTCTCATTTGTGAACATTTTGCACTAATGGACACCTCTCACTTGTGAGTACCTCTCACTCGTAAACACTTGGTCTAATGTAAATGTATTGGGTTAAAAAGCAATGTTGGTTTGACTGCTGCTAGCTTTGCACTCAAAAAAGCATGCATGCAAAAAATAATGTTCTTCCTGTTGGTTGTCTCAATCTCCTACAAGGGAAAGTATGGAGGCATGGAGGGTTGATTTTTTTAACATTTGAGCATAGATATATTGTCATACTTATTTGGTCAAGTTGATATCAATTAATCAATCATTAAGAACTGACGATAGAAAAAACAAAATTATTGCAATTTAATAATTACACAGAACCTGAATTTTGTGTACAAGGTCCAATCTAAGGAGAACCTCTGATGGTACAATATAAATATATTGATACGAGGTAGAACACAATACATTGAAAATTGAAAGCTTGACATGCCATACTAGACCACCTATATTTTGTATAAGATTCCTCAAAGACACATCCCAAGGGCTCATTTCTCAGGAATATTGCAGCATCATAATTAATTTCATTTGAGTAACTATGGCAATTTCATATATAAAGACACTAGAGTTTCCGAGGGTAACTATGGCAATTTCATATATAAAGACACTAGAGTTTCCGAGGGTAACTATGGCAATTTCATATATAAAGACACCAGAGTTTCCCAAATTGAATGTCATAAGAAAATTTCTCAAGAAACAGACCCCAACCAGTATATTACTGATTTCACCTACCCTGCTGTCTATTTGTTTGGTATGCTCATTGAGAAAGTGCAGTTTCAGCTTTGTTTTGTCATCATCAGATGATCCCTTCAACTGGGAGAACTTGTAGTTCCACATGTAACTCTAAAAACATGAAAAGAACCATACCTTAATAAGTCTGGCATTATATCTTATTTTCAAAGAAATTATATATTTAACATATTCACTACACATTATTTATGGATACATTGTAAATGTATGTTGAGAAATAAATATATCTGCAGATTGGATTATTGTTTTTATTAATGGAGATAAATTCTATAGAATATTCTGCAAAAGTAATGATGTATTTAATTTTGAATCCATGTATTGCCCCTTAATAAGCTACACATTATATCTTTAAAGAAACAAACCTTCGTTTCACTGTCATATAATGAGAAACCCATATTCATATCAAGGGTCAGACCAGATATCCTTCCCCTCCAACTGCAGCCAAATGTCTTACTCTGCAGAAAAATTATTCATGTCTTCATATTATGCAATCTGATTGGTTTATAACTATTTGATATTGAACTACGGTATATCAGGCTTATGCTATTGTCTAATTAGGGTGTATCTAAAGTACTTAATGTACAGTTACAGTATAGATTGATAACCAGCAAAGTACAGGCATTTAGTAATCAATATATCTTAATTTTGTCAGAATATTTTTACATCACAGCTCCATAATTCAAGTATTCCAGCATAAATTATAACAATTATATATAAATTACCCTCTGATGTAACACTGCCATGTAATTTGTCCTAAACCATTCTTTTTCCAACTTCAGTAATTCCTGTCTACTCTCTGAGCACAGATAATGTGTTTCTCCACTTCCATGTTGGATACTGAAGCAATGTTGGCGTTCATCTTGGAGTTCTGAATCCTATTATAGAGATAAATATAAATGTCAGTATCTCAATCTTAATACTCAATTTTGATTGGTCAAGAATCAGCCAATAACTTTGACTATTGCTTGTGAATGTGATACATTACTGGGTCTTGGTTTACAGTGCTGGGGTTTTAACATTTACTTGAATGGCAAAATCATTACATACTGATGGTTTTCATGGGCCTTTTTCTAGAAAACATTGTGAATTTCAAGTAATAATATTACATTGTCTAAATGAAACCGAAGCATTATAGAGTGAAAGGAAGCTGAGATTCAGGAACAGTAATCTACAATATTTCCCCAGGATCCAGATACACCCTGATCCTAAGTTTTATCTTTTATCCCATTTAATTTATCCTCACACATCTTATTGTTCACATCAAAATAATCACTTACCTTTAAAATTCGGAACATACAATCATATATTTTATAAATTCTCTCGCAGCGTGTCCAGTCCCGCGTACTGGAGGGGGGTGAGTCGAACAGATAGATGTCTGATCCCTTCAGTGCTAGGAATTGAGGTTTCCAATTGTGCCAGTGATGTGTTGCCATCAGTCTCTCACATGTCCAACACATGTGACTGATCTGCAAGAAATATATTTTGTAAGATATGGGCGGCATTTGGCATCTGTGATATACGACAAACTGAGATTCATAGCTCTGGTTAATTTTGCTTTTTCATGGTATTTAAGAATTTAGCAAAATTATAACTACAGAAATTGCTTGCTTATACAGAACAATGAAAAGTTGGACGAATACAAAAAGTCATTATGCATACAGGCTACACTGAACAATAGTGTAAACCAGGAGAAAGATACATTCATAAGTTTCATGATTAAAATGTGATAGCATTTTCATTTCTTAAACCTCTTATTAACACCCACAGTGAACACACAATCACACCCACACAGCTGGTGAGTTTATTTCATTCATCACAAATAGTTAAGAAAAGCAGGACAGACTCAACCAGTTGTTGCATTTATAGCCATGCTTCAAATTCATTTTCAGTTTTAGCTAATAATACATTGTAAATAAAATAACATGTGAATATGGATGTGACATCTTGTGATTATTGCATGTTGCACAAGGTGAATATTGCATGTTACATCTTGTGATTTCTGCATGTTGCAAAATGTGAATGTTGCATGTTACAAATTGTGATTATTGCATGTTGCATGACGTGAATATTGCATGTTATATCAAATGATTATTGCATGTTGCATAATGTGAATATTGCATATTACATCATATGATTATTGCATGTTGCATAATGTGAATATTGCATGTTTCATATTGTGATTATTGCATGTTGCATGATGTGAATATTGCATGTTACATCTTGTGATTATTGCATGTTGCATGACGTGAATATTGCATGTTGCATGATGTGAATATTGCATGTTACATATTGTGATTATTGCATGTTGCATGATGTGATTATTGCATGTTACGTCTTGTGATTATTGCATGTTGCATGACGTGAATATTGCATGTTGCATGATGTGAATATTGCATGTTACATCTTGTGATTATTGCATGTTGCATGATGTGCATATTGGAGGTTACATATTGTGATTATTGCATGTTGCATTATGTGAATATTGCATGTTATATCAAATGATTATTGCATGTTGCATAATGTGAATATTGCATGTTACATCATATGATTATTACATGTTGCATTATGTGAATATTGCATGTTACATCATATGATTATTGCATGTTGCATAATGTGAATATTGCATGTTACATCTTGTGATCATTAAGTGTGATTATCATGTGATTATTGTATGTGACATCATTGATTGTTGCATGTGATATCCAGCTTCTTGCATGTTACATCACTATGGCAGATAATGTTACTTGACATCAACATGGTGGGAACAGTGTCGACAGTATTTCAATCAAACAAATAGCATATGCACACACAATGTTATAGTTTCAGTTTTACAACTATTATTTGCCTATTTCATAGTTTATCAAGGACAATGCATATGTTAAACACTGAATAGTTTCTGGAATACATGTAGTTATATGGAATCGTTCATTAGCTATCACATAAAATAGGTGACATCTATAAACACAATTGGCTGTGCAGTGAGTCAACAACCAATCAGATTTAGGATTGAGTAGGTGTTTTTGGACAACACAACATTCTGATTGGAAAAGCTAGACCAGGGAATTGTTTCTTATTTTAAGAACAGATGCTGCATTCTTTTTGGGAAGCAAAGTCAAAAAAAAGGTTGTAGCACTAACTATATATTCTTTAATTAGTATTATACCGTTTGAATGGAAAATAGGTAACCAAGTCCAGGGCACCTTCCCCTCCCCCCGAAAAAAGAAATGGTTGATGCTATTGCTGTTCAACTCTAACTTGAGAAATTGTCTTAATGTCCGCAAATACATCTGTTCATACAATGCTAGTCAAACCCATACAATTCACTTGAGATAAGGGGGGATGGGCAGGCCCTATGCTCTTGTTGTATAGCAGCACCTACATGTATGAGTCAGTTTATTTTGTCAAATATTATTGTTGTGTGACTTTATCCTTATTTTACCATTGAGGCTTGCGGTATCTAATGTCAAGAGCCACACACCTTCATGTAAATGAAACTGTTACCCACAATGCTTAAATGAATGTCTATAACAGTGATTTTAGATTTATTGCCCAAATGATTATTTCTATTTGGTGTAAGCTGATAAGCAAGATGATATCATGCTTTTGTTAAAGCAACTATACATTATACCCTTTTCTTTAAATCTTGAAAATCTGGTTTTTCAAACTTTCTGTGGGACCAATTACTGTAGCAAATCTGAAAGTCAACCTTTCAATTATACATATGTCTTATTTTTTAAAATATAAGTTGATCAATTATGCCGTGGTCACATTTGCTCCGATTTTTACTAGGGCGCTCGGCCGATTGAACATTTTGTTCAAAATTGTATTCAATTTTGAACAAAATTCTCATCGCCAGGGCACCGGTGCTGAAAATCGGAGCAAATGTGACCACGGCATTACTGTTTGATATATAGTCCTAAATTCTTTTATTGGATTGAATAAAACATGTTACCCTCACCATTACCTCGTCATGTTTTTGACTCAAATCAAATTGCCTTGTAGCCTTGTAATTGTAAACAATTTAAATAGGATGTTAATTTCAATTCACTTCAAAAGGAGCAAATCATCAATGCTCTTGCACTCCTAGTGGACAAAAACATGACCATTAACAACTTTATAGTAATAAGATCAACTGACCTGCTCAGCTGGCAGTAATAGCTTGTTTGACATGGTGATCTGCAAAATAAGATATAAGCTGAATATAATCTGAATAAGCATTTTTAAGTTCTGTGCAATAATAAACTATTTAAGCAGGAAATGAGCTGTTTTAAATGTGAGAGAAAATCTATGTTAACCCAAGAAAAAAAAAACTTTGGAAAACTTGATATTGTATATGAGAAAAGGAATATTATAGCTACCAAATTTTAATAAAATCCTTAATATGAAATACATCTGTAAATGACCAAATCCTTTGTTTGGTATCGATATAGATCTTTATCGTACCATCTGTAAAATGAAGCCCTCTGACTGGTCAGTTCTTGTGCTGTACCAATCTGTATTGCTACTGAGATTGTCCCCGTTGATCATCTCCATCGCAATACAGAAAATATTGATGTCTCGATTTTCTGTATTGGCACTCGACTTCGTCTCGTCACAATACAGAATTTCTCGAGCAGAATATATCCTGTATTGCACCTCAAATCATTCAATAACTTATAATATCACCATATTGACAAAATTATGTGTGGGGTACTAAGAAAGCAACTTACTGAATGGTTATTGAGCATGTTAATATTGTGAGTGATACATCTCATCCACTCTAGGTATGTAATAGTGTTGTCACAGTGTATGGTGCCAGAGCTACCCCCATCCATGCCAACCACCTCAAAGGCATTGTGTCTACAGCAAAGTTTGAACATTTGAATTCATAAAAATTTCCAGAGAACAGTCTTCTGTAGAGTGCAAGGCTCGATATTGTTTCTCAGTGTTTTGAATTACATGCAAATCATAAATCACCTAAATCAGTGTCATATATGAGGAAAAACTCCATAATCCTCAGGGAATATTCAGCCTATTCAGAACATTCACCCTATTCTTTGATCTGTATTCCTTTAATAAGGTGGCTCAGAAATATTTAGATTAAACCGTTACCTTATTTTGTCTGTACCAGGGTGATATCTTGTGATGTAGGCAAAGAGCAGGGGCACGCATAGTATGTCAGACCATTGTTTCTCTAGCTTAGGCTTGGTTAATGTCCCCTGAAATATTGAACAAGACGCAAAATGATAAATATCTCATTTTGAAGAGCAAAATGGCTGGCATGTGCTTGACCCAGCATTCCAAAACCTAATCAGATCTTAGTCTGCTCTTGCATCTGTAAAAATTTCAAGCTGAATGGATAAGGGGAATTTTTACAATATACAGTGACAGTTTTATAATAAAGTTGAAATAAGAAGTTTGTTTATGCCGTATATGTATGGTTTCTAGACAACTCATCCCAAGAAAATTCATCCCAAGACAACTCATCCCTAAGACAACTCATCCCAAGACAACTCATCCCACGACAACTCATCCTTAAGACAACTCATCCCAAGACATCTCATCCCAAGACAACTCATCCCACTCATAAAATCGATAAATTATTTTGTCCCCTATATTATATATATATTCATTTTTCATTTTTTACTATTACAAAGTGATATTTTTTCTGCACTCAATTTTTGATATTGATTTTTAGTATTTTGAAATGGTACATGAAAGATATGTTTTTCACTTTTAAGTACCAGTACTTTTATTAATTCTGGGTTATTCTAAATTTTTAATGATAATCAGTCATTTTGCTCTTGATTCACTAAACACACAAACAAACAAACAAATAAATAAAAACAAACAAACAAAATAACAAAAACATATTTATACAAAACAAACCTATTTAAATAATTAAATGTTTCGTTTCTACAAGGTAGATGTTTTATTCGAAGACTCAAATATTCCAAAATTATGATAAAAATCAATATTTCATTGCATTTATACTAGAATTCATCAAATCTATTCCAAGATTCTTAAAACAGATTTCAGGATTCTCAAAAGAAAAGCAAATACAAGCAGTCAAGCTAAAATTCTGAAATGTCTGTTCCACTTGATTGACAGCTCTAATTTTAGATGTTCCATATTTGGAAAGCAGTATAACATGTGTTGAACTTCAAGGTCAAGCTGATCTGGTCACTCTCTAAGGCAATTCTAAAATTGATTTTTTACAAAAATTGATGAGATTCTATCCCAGATATCTCAGCTAAAACACATTTATATCAAAAATGACCTTTCAAACCATTCCTAGACATCCAATATCAGATCATTTGAGCACTTTTAATCATAAATTGAGTTTCTCAAAAGGGGATTTTTACTGTGTTTCAATGGACTATTTTGACAAAGAATTTTAGGAGAAATAAACCCTTCCATTCATGTGTTGTTATATTTCTTATTGCTGATTTTAACAATAATGGGGGGGGGGGGCAATAATTTACTTTCCAGCTAATTCATCAGCTTCTGAGTGTCACTCTCAGTGACATACTTGATGTTCATCAATTTTAACATTATTGTTTAACATTCTTATTTTATCACATATCAAATAACAATTTCTTAATCGCAGGAGACAATAGCATGACAGTATTGTGAAAAGCAATCATCATGAAGCCATTAGTAATTTACAAAGTTGTCTTAATTCACCGAAGAATGGCATCACATGGCCTCACTAACAATTAACAAGCAAAAAATAAACAAACAAAAAACCTACAAAAATAAACAAACAAAAAACATCAGAAAATATTTCTTCCAAGACAGAATTTTTCTGAATGAGATTAAGCTGAACTGAGATTAAAAGATTTAAAAAGAACAGAATTGCACTTTGTAGACTAGGAAATAAAAGAAGCATATATTGTACTATCTTCAGGTCTTCAAGGAATTACAAGCGATAGAGAGGAAATGTCAGAATTCATTAGAGTAATCCGCTTTCAATATTTATGCATATTAGACAACTTACATAATCAAAAGAGTAAACTGACATAAACTGAGAACAGTTATGACATGGAATGAGGGTGAAATATTGTAAAATTGTGATAATTTTAACTCTATCTCTATTTTCTATGCCTTCTAATTCCTTCCTAATTCCTGTTTTATTATTTCTTTCTAATATGGGGAACTCAATGTATACCCTTTGCATTCTTTCAATTTTGCTTTTTAAAAGAGAGCTTCATCTTCACTCTTTCAGTTAACAATCTCTGAACTCACTGAGCCATTCAGATTTCATCATTGAAATACGGACAACTTTCTATATCTGGCGATTTCCTCTGACATCATCGCACAATTAATGAGCATGCATTTAGCAAGAGTTCCTTCCTGCTCAATGATTGGTGGGGAAATGATCAGCATGGTAGATTGAAATGATTTATGACCCAGGCTGTAACTGGCATAGGTTGTGGGGGTGGGGCTACTAAACTGTAATATAGTCTATACTAGGCAGAGGGTAGATTATAACTAGACTGAGCATGCACTCAATATGACTAAATGCTTACATTTTGAGACATACACTCTAGACAGGTGTACATGTGTATACACATAAGTGTTTTCATATCATTGTATTGTACTCACTCACCGTATCGGACTCATCTCCGCTAGCACTGGTTGGACTGGTCACGCTGCCTGTTCTGGTATTTCTGCGATCTAAGATGCAATATTCAAAGTTAATACGAGTAAAGCTTTTGCAACAAGAAATATAAAACTTGTAGTGTACTTTAATTTCATGCCCACTTTAATTTGAGAATTGGCAAATTCTATCTTATATCGCCATTTTAGATCTACATTAACAATGAGTTTACAGTTTGTTTTCTACATGAAATTTGATTGGAATATCTTTATGATAGTACTCAATTCATTATTCAGTAAAGAAGTGTCTGAAGTTAACCACTTACTTCTTGATAAGAATAAAGATGCGGGTCTGAAGTAACGTACACTTAATGTAACCTCATCCCCTGCTTTCTTCAATGCCGCAACTGCATCATCATGCGTACATCCATCCATATCTACGCCATTCACTTTCAATATGGCGTCACCCACATACAATTTCCCCGTTTTGTCAGCTGAAAAGTTTTACAAGGATTTTGAATAGCATGTTATTTTCCTGTAAAATGGAAGTATTTCTATGCATGTTTTTCTTGTTCAAATGGTAAATGTTATTCCCTTATTCCTTTATTTACAACTGGGTGTCAAATTGTAACTATCGAATAATAAGAAAAAATGAACTTTTATCCAATAAGATTGAGAGAATAAATCCCATCGCATTTGTTTTTTTACTGCTTTCATGAAACCAGTTGAAATTTTACAGACATGCACAGTAATGTTCAATCTCTACACTCCCTAATAGTTATGCCATTTGGTTCATATTTGCTCTTTAAAATAGAATATGAGTGTCCCATTTTTATTTGCCCACCCTGTATAATTTACTCAAATCGGAATAAAAACAAATGTTCTCACTTCTTTCAAATACAGATGTGTTCTATAATTAATCTCCCAAGTCTAATTTTCCAAACAGGGAAGTAAAGAATAAATCAGACAAAGCAGACAGCTTGCCAGCCTGATAATTTATCATCCTAGCTTAACTTAGTATCGGCTTTGAAGTATGATATTCATCCCACTTGTATATTGTTTTGTAGTATCTAGTTGAAATAGTTTTTATTTATTTTGTTTATTTGTAGCTACATGCCAAGTACATGTACTCATTTTTCCATGATTAAACAATGTTGATAAACATTTCAAATTTACTATACAGCCAAGATTAGTTAAAACTAGTCAAGTGTACCTAACACTGCTCTTATCGTAAATTTTCTAGAAATTAGCAACAGGATTTTCCAATTATAGATCAGCTTGAAAGTTATTAATCTTTCTGTGTGGTATAAATTATTTTAAAGGGCCTCAGTCTCTAACTCTCATCCTTAAATACACCAAATTTAACACACAAGATTTGATTTTTGTGGTGCCCTCCCACACCTTCACCCACCCACCTGTCCATCAGCCCAAGACGATAGCAATACAGCACCTTTTCAAAGTTTGATAAAAAAATACACACAATGACCCATAACTTGAACATTTTCTGTTATTTTCTGTTAATATCTAAGTTTGAGAAAAGTGCATCTAGTTAACAGATCGATCAGTTTTGAAAATGGTATGAGGCCTAACACCTCAAATATTTACGAACTCATGCTGCTTAGTTTAAAGAGAGAATCAGATATAGCGAGCAGGCTAAACAAAAAATTGTTTCAATTTTAGAATATTTTTGGCTCATGTCATTCCTTGTCATGTCTATTTTCTAAAAATCACAAAAGTGCGTACTTTATTCCAGGAAAACTAAAGATTTTTACAATAATGTACTATTTTTCTATAAGAATGGTTACCATTCTTATTATGATGACTGGTGAGATTGAGTCTATATTTTACTATCAGGGAATAACAAGCTATTCTAAACTGGGGAGGGACACTTGATATATATCTTTAAAGATTCCCATACCTGCTTGGTCTTTAAATATTCTTGATATTAGTATTGGTAGGTTGTGTTCAGCGCCACCTTTCACACTCACTCCCAGGCCACCATTCTTTTCTCTTGGTATCATCACAACCCGGATCTAGAGCAATGAAAACTTATATAATGAGTTCTCAATATAATAAATTCATTTAATATAATGGTATTAGCCATAAAGGAACAAATTAACACATTGATTTTAGCCAAGCAATAATTGCCCCTTTATACAGTATGTTGTAACCAGGGATATTTTGGCACTATTTAATTTGGGGAATTTGTAATTACAGACTTCTTGGTAAAGCTTTATATTAATTTAAGGCACATTTATCTTAAAGGGCCCCGGTCTTTAACTCCTACCATTAAATACACTAAAATTGAATTAACAAATACCCAGAATGACCCATAACTGAACATTTTTTTCTGTTAATATCCAAGTTTGAGAAAAGGCACATTTTTAGTAACATATCCTTTATTATGATGGTATTTGCCAAAATGCATCATTTTGAAGAAGTTTTAACTGGCTGTGTAACAAGTGACAACATGCCACCACCTTTTGCCAGTGACAAGAAAATATAAACCTATTTAGAATATTCGCAATGCATTTGGTGTTCAGAAACAGACATTTAAAAAAGATTATCAGCAGGAAAATATTGTACTAGAATTACAAATGAGCTCAAATATACAGAGTTACACAGGATCTAATGTTGAGGAACAAACACTATCTAGTCACAATACTAATTGGCTTTGTAACCATGAGTCTTTATAATAGGTTTGAGTAAAGTATTTAACAGACTTACCCGAGAAAGAATTGCAGGGTCTTTTTGTGTAATTTCTGACTGTACATAGACTAATTCTTCTCGCTGTAGAATTAGTGTTTCCGTTGAGAGCTTCAGTCTGATTGGTTGAGCTCTGCTCTTTCCGACACTAACTGTCACCATCCCTAGTTTATTCTGAAAACAGAAAGAACTTAGATGTAGGACTGAACATGAAATAAGACAATCACTTTTGGGAGATCTACCTTCTCCTTTAGGAGATATTGGAGGATACCTTCATTCTTGTGGCTACTACAAAATGGATGTAACATAAAGTAACAAATTGAGGTGTTCAAAAATCAAAGTTGCAAAAAAGCTAGAGTTGAGTCGAAACATTCTTAAATTGTCATATAAATTAAATATTTTTTGTTTATACTATACATATTATGTCTTGCCTATTTTCTAAAATGTCTTGCCTATTTTCTAAAATGTCTAACAGTTCTTATATTATTCCTTGCAGGTTATTTGGCAATTATTTTGAAAAAGCAGGTGCCCCCTTATACATTTGACCAGATAGCTTATTGTAATTTACTTTTCAAAAAGATTGCTTTTAACATTTTCTACTCTCTTTAATGTTTTGCATTTATTTTGAATGTGCAGGCCCGTAGCCAGGATTTTCAAAGGGGTTCATTTTTCCAAAATTTCCAAGGGGGGTTCACATTTGACAATTTTGGCCCAAAAATGGCTAAAATCACTTGAGAAGTGCTCAAAATCATGCAATGTGAACCCTGCGAACCCCCCCCTGGCTACGGGCCTGATGTGGGTGGTAGAAGGTCAATTATCAAACATAAACTTGCAGAAAATGTTCTGGAAAACTATTTTATTTCAAAAATACTTCCAAAACTCTGTCTCAACAAATGCTGTTATAGAAGTAGATAACACAAAGAAGGAATGAAACCTATGAGATGACCCCTAAAAGCAACTTAAATACTTTGAATAACTTATATGTAGCTCTCCATGAAGGATGAGAGAAATAATTTGAAATGTTACAACCTTGAAGGTTCCATGGGCTTTAGATCTTGTAACTGATCAGAACTCAATTATCCTGTTTTCATGGTGGTGAGATGGTTGTATCAACAACACTGACTCCATATACAAAGATTTGGATAAACCATGGGCTTATTGGAGATGTCTGTCAATGATTTAGTCTCTGGAAAAATGGTGAAAACTACATCATGGGCATTTGTGAAAGAAATAGTGGAAATGAATCTTTTTGATTAATTTTGATTTTCAAAATGAACTTATTTAAGCTAGAAACCTCAGATTGATTTTTCCTAGGCATTTTCCCTTGGCATTCCTTTGAACTATGTTTCTGGCTTTAAATGCTTTAAATATACTTTTAAAGCTGATTGGACCCACCATAAGCTCCATATACTGTTGTCTACAATTTCCCAAAGGGTGAATCCCTCCCAGAAGCTATATATCTCAATCTCTTTTAATCTAAATTACCCTGCATGCAGTACCTTTTCCAATAGTTTGATTTCACTCATGTAATATGGTCTGACAATCAGGGTATGTATGTACAGAAAGCTTCAACATGCTAATGGTTACATGATACACAATACTGAGAAAAGTCATTTTTATAGTCTTTGATGCAATGGAACAATATAACCAGTGCTTTCATAGGGTACTGGGACTGACAGGTTCTACATATTAACCAGTACAGAATAAAACTCACCAGACCCGTAACTTAAATTTGAACATAACTGTATTCACGCCTTCTATAAACTGTGAACAAAGTCAATATTTCACCCAGTATTTATTTGTTGATATAATACCTCGTAATATGAATAATATGTGATGTCATAGCGAAGATACATAGTGATGGCGGGCCATAATGAATATTCAAAAAATTTTGGTGCGTTTTCATGTTCGAATCATTATATAAACTTCAGATCAGGTATTACATCAAGTAATAAATACCTTAGGGCTAGGCACAAAAGCTTTCGAGCCCCTCACTCCCTTCTGTTGTTCTGGGTACAGAAAGCATTTGTGCCTAACCCTACGGTATTAAAGGCCCCATATAAGTTTAAACTACATTGGATAATATTGTAGTCTTACCCAATGTTAACAAAATGTGATATGAGAAACTTTTTTTCAATTTCAAAGAAATGGCTTTAAAAGTCCATCATTCATTTTGTTAAAACTACTGAGATTCGAACCAATGGATTCCAGACAAATGGGCTTCGGACCATCAGGTTATGAATAGGTTTCAGGCCAATGGAATTTAGACTAATGGGTTGACCATGTTAAACGAGCCAAAAAAATTTATTAAGGCATAATCAAGAATTATTAAATATGATGTTCTCCCTATGGTAAAACAGCTTCATAAATTTGTTATTTTGCAAAACGATAATGAACCAGTACTTTTCTGAGAACATTTTTCTCCTTTAAAGCGAGAATCAGATCTAGCGACCAGGCCAACAAAAAATTGTTTCACTTTTAGAATATTTCTGGCCCATGTCATTCCTTATCATGTCTATTTTCTAAAAATCCCAAAAGTACACTCTAGATTTCAGGAAAACTAAAGATTTTTACAATAATGTATTATTTTTCTATAAGAATGGTTACCATTCTTATTATTTGGGAGAATTTAAACACCCATTTTTGCACTTTGAATCCATGATAACTTCATCAATTTATAACATATCACAAATCTTTTGGGTTTTTTTGTATTTGAGATTGTAAGGAATAAATTGGTAGGTCATTTGTACATGTTTCTTGTAATTTTGTCACCCCTGTAGATCTGATTCTACCTTTAAGGTTCAATAATCATAAAACGGAAGCAAAGGCTACATTCTATATGGAATAATCTCATCCCAGATATGCATAATATTTTTCTCAAATTATATCATATTATATTGTATGAATGTATCAAAAAATTAAGGACCCGTATACTTCATCCTTGGTCCAAGGGTATTTTACTTCTTTCCAATTTAAGCACAAATGAAGTCCTTTGAAGAAGGATGGTATACTTGACAATGTTAGAGAAATGGATCACCTTACAATTAATTGAGATGAAATATTTACATGTTAAAAAGGGATGATTCCACGTATGATAATTCACCAGTTACAATATTTCATCAATGACATTTCAGTAATATAAAACATATATAGCACATATATCTGTACATACCTTACGATCATTTCTGAAGATTTTATGCAAACACAATAATCCTAGCATTAATAGTAGAAAAGTGAAAAATTGATGAAATTAGAAATTTGATTCTGATCAATGTTCCTTTGCACTTTATATTTGCAACTGCATTAAAAATTTCCTAATAGTGCCTCAATCAGTGACAAAGCCTGAATGAAGCAAACGCAGCGTTCATTACCATATAAGGCATTCATTACCATATAAGCAATTCAGAGAGACCTCATCATGACAAGACAAACGACATAAAGATTTAAGAAAACTACTTCAACAAATAAACTGTGACAGCCAATTTTCGACAATATTGGTTTTATGGTTCATTTATCTCTATGGAATAGTTGCATGACTTTGAATAATTGAAGTGAAAAACAGTGTCATATTTATTCGCATATAGCAAGCAGTACTTAAATAAAGAATTGTTCTTAGTTATAAACATATAATGAATTATTTTTTAAAAAATCAAATATTTCCATTTTGTAATAACAATAGAATGTTTTTTACTCAAATATCACAAATAAAATGTCTATCATCAAGAAAGTATCTTAGGCTCCTTGAGATATCTTACTTAAAACACCTAACTCAGCATAACTGTCGTCAACACAAAAACAAAAATTTGAAGATTATTCCTACCTCTGGCCATTCCCTCCCCATTGTAAGAAAAAAGTTCTGATTCCTCTCCGCTAAATTAAATAGCTTTCTTGATAATCCACGCAAGTTTTGTTTCCTCGTGTTATTGTTGGCGAAATTTGACATAAATAACAATTGTTGTTTAGCCGAGTATATCCAGGTACTGTTTCTATCGTTCTCTAATGATTCTATGGAGCTTATGTGATATATGGACCAACTGCTGACTATTTGTAGCACAGATTGCAAATACGAAAATATGCAATTGGCTTGAGGGAGAATGTCAAGGTTTCTAGATTTTCTTAATGTGAGACAGAATGTTACTTATTATATATTGTTACAGGGGTATGTTATATGAACTAATCCACTGAAAGAAAACCATCACAGAATTGAATTGCCAGAAACTTTAAATAAAGAACTATTGAATTGCATGGTGCCTTAATCATTGCCAACGAAGCATTTGTTGGCGAAATAGGCTACCCCCTTTGGCGGGCCCAGAAAAAATCTGAGGACCTCAAAAATTTTGTAGGGCCTCAAAAAATGGGCCTTTTTTAGGCATAATTTGGCATTTTTTTGCTAAATTATCAAATAATGGGCCTTAATGGATCTACCAGTGAGTATTAACACAAATATTGATAGTTTGAGTTGACCCCTCCTTTGATGATTCTTCATCTTATATTCCTAGACTATTGCAGGTACTTTCCTAGATTCTATCCTATCTTGTAGAACATACATTTTGCAAAATACATGTAAGAATAAAATGTTCACACAGGTTTTCAGGTGAACACACCATTGGTCCAAATCTCATCCAAATCCCCCAATCATCCGAATCCAAATTGTCTAAATCCCATTTGTCCTAAACCTCATGATTTTCCACTGAGGAAAATATCATGATAGAAAGACTTATATAGGGATACGGACTACGGTAAACTCTAAAATGAGCCTTTTGTACGTTGGATAATAATGTATCTAATTCTAACATTTAAATTTATTGTTGAACGTAATAATTGCAGTGGAGTCATTTCGCATGTGAAGATATGTTCTTGTGATGTTGTATCTTTTAGATGATTTTGTAGAAAATATTTTGCAATGTGTGAAATGAATTTAAGCCCAAGACTCAATGTATTGTGTAATCACCATTACTTGAAGGTGTTGCTTTCTAAAATTTGCAAAATCAATTAGACTGGGGTTCTAATATTACTTTTAATTTAAAAATATGACATTATATGAAGCATGGTGGTCCTGGATATCAAGAGGAAAGGGTCTAAAAATTGGATTGAAAAAACAACATCCCAATAAGCCCAAACTTGGCAATTTGAAGCCTATTTTCTATAGAATTAGGCTCAAAATCAAAAAATAATTTGCCCAGTAATGTCAATTTGTTATGTATATATTTCTTCTGTTACCCAGATTATGTGCCAGGTGGGCCCCTAATTTTTTTCAGGGACTCCTCTAAGGGAGGGGGCCAGGGCCCTGGTCCACCAATCACTTTAGAGAGAGCTCCTTTTAAGTATTTGATAATCTTTGCCAATGGATTTATATGCATTATATGCATTTAAACATGAGATGAAGTGGAGTGCTAAGGTTAATAAATAAGCTTTCAAATGTTTTCTATGAATAATAAAAAAGTAATTAAAAAAAATAATAAAAAAGATTATATAAAAACCTAAAAAGCATCCAAAGGCTGCGAAACCATGCATAACACATACTGCATTATGATTGGTCAGAATTAACAGTACATGCCATAGCTATACATGAACAGAACACTATACCTTTCACCCTATGCAGACAGAGCCTGTGGGAAATATTGGGTGCGGAGCAAATGAGCGGAGGGTGCGGAGCTAACGGTCTTTTTTGAACTTAAATTTGGGATATTTCTGAAACTAAGCCGTTTTGGGACTTCAAATATACCAAGATATGTGTATTTGACACCAAATATCAATACAATTGTGAAAATAGTAGCGCAATTCATTCTATAGCGACGCAGTGTGCCTAAACCTTTCCCAGACCTATATATTTTGAAATTATCCTTTTAATACTGAGTCCCCAGCATTCATAAAAAATGGTGTTCAAGGTACACTATCTATACAAATTATTTTTGCATCTTGGAAGCCAGGCAGTATCTGTGTGATTTTATAAAAATTCGGAAATGTTCTTCAGATAGAGCCCCCTCTAAATATTGGGTGCGGAGGAGCTCCATAAACGTACCTCCGCACCCAATATTTAGAGGGGGCTCATATCTGAAGAACATTTCCGAATTTTTATAAAATCACACAGATACTGCCTGGCTTCCAAGATGCAAAAATAATTTGCATGGGTAGTGTATCTTGAACACCATTTTTTTTTAATGCTGGGGACGCAGTATTAAAAGGATAGTCTCAAAATATATAGGTCTGGGAAATGTTTAAGGCATACTGCGTCGCTATAAAATGAATTGCACTACTATTTTCACAATTTTATTGATATTTGGTGTCAAATACACACATCTTGGTATATTTGAAGTCCCAAAACGGCTTAGTTTCAGAAATATCCCAATTTTAAATTAAAAAATGACCGTTAGCTCCGCACCCTCCGCTCATTTGCGCCGCACCCAATATTTCCCACAGGCTCTGTCTGCATAGGGTGCCTTTGCATATCTCCTTTCTTAAAAAACATCTATTGAAGATATCCATTGTAAGAAAGCAGATGTGATGAAAACACATGTGCCGAGCATAAGAATGAAAGATAAATGTGAGTGAAAAAATATTCTTGGGAGCCTGATGCAATGTGTTAAAACGAGTAAAGTGAAATGAAATGAAGCAACCAGATTCAACATAGACAAACTGTATGTTAATAGCAATGACAAACAAGAATTCTCATTTTTACACAGGCTTCCATCTTTACTGAAGAACATCTGTCAAACAACAAACCAGAAAAACACATGTCTCACTGGTGAATCCAGGGGAGGGGGAGGGGTAAAAAACTCTAGGATCCCAAACATTTTTGGGCCCAGAAACTTCGTAGGGCAGCAAAAAATTGGTACTTTTAGCCATAATTTGGCCTTTTTAAGCCTTTGTTAGGCCAAATTATCAAAAATGGATTTAAATTTTCAAGATTTGGGCCCAATTTTTGGCCCGAAATTTTTTCCATGCAAGTGTGGACAATTTTTTCCTGACTCAAAATTTGCCCCCCCCCTTGTTGGTTTCTGGATCCGCCAGTAAGTCTCCTGTAGCTATATAGTGCCTAGGTAACTGGTAACTGACAAATGTTATATTCTTTCAAAAACAAACAAGGCATTAACATACAAAATGTTACCACCTGCCTTTTGCTACAGATGCGAAACACGACTTTTATGTTTTATGACATCTACCACAAGTGCTGGTGACATAAAACATATTTTGAGGGTAATTTTAGGGTCTAAGTTGATGATGTACAAGAATACCTGTTTCTTCACTGTAATATTACAAGAAGTCGCTAAATGATCACCTCCTGAACAGAGCACCAAAATTCAAACAATGAGAAATAAAGAAAAAGAAACATAGTATCCTAGTACTAATAACAATGATTCATACATCATATAATCTAGGCCCTTAACTATTACAATGGTCACTAGGGATATCTGATGGTCCCTAGATGATGCCAAGCAAACTTATCTGCTTAAATAAACCATTTATTCACTTACAGAAAATCAATGATGGGTGAAAAATGGCTGATGTTATCATACTATGCCACTGGTTAGAATCATCACAGAAGGTCAGTATATATTGGAAAATGCATTTTAGCAAATCAAGTCTAAATTGACTGATTAAATTAAAAGTGACTATTTCAAATGATCAATTATATATAAACAAAAGGTTATTTCAAAATACTAGTTGTCTTTTCTTCATAAAAAATGTTTGGGGTGATACCTGAGTTATGATAACTCAAATTAAATTTTCTCCGATAACTATATCACAAATGAAAACAGAACTTCAGTAATCATGAGATATGATATTTGAAAACAGGCCCTTGTTTGTTGTTTATAGATCATAGCCATATCAACCTGTTCAACTCATTGCTTCTTGAAGATGATTCCGCAGGTGATCTCTACTAAACCCCTCTTTTTTATAGCCTTAACTTGCAATATTCTTCAAAGTCTCATTTCTGTCTATAATTCTCTTATCCCCCATCTTATCTAGCTTAACATGTCTATCCTAATCAAGGTGCCGTATCAAAGGATGAAATATTTCTACTGACCGAAGTACAACTTTCATCCTGCATGTCCTGAGGAAGGTACATTTATTTCAAACTGAAGAAACTTGTAGTTTCACATCAAAGTGTGACGTAGCTGATTGTACATAATTGTCAAAGCTCTATTGCGCATTTCGTAAAAACAACCCCCCCCCCCCTCTCTCTCTCTGAAACTGCTCACAATGTTTTTTTAGATGAGATTTCTGGGAAACTTAAAAAAATGCTGATTTTTATCAGAATTTTTTTAAACCTTACTCTCCACTAATAATTTTATCTATCAATGAAATGGAATTCTTCTTTGACTCCTTCAAAACAAATTATTTCTATATACAAGGAGTTAATTATCATTGTTATTGGCTCCATCTGATTTATTTTATTGCCAACATATAATTTATTTCCTCTGTTCCAACATTGTTCAATTTACTTAATACAAGTAGATAAATAATATGGTATAGTCATTTTATTTGTTTCCCAACTGAATATGTTGCCACGTAAACCATAAATAATTGATAACTTGCATGCATGCTATACAAAACATATAACATTGTTGCATTGAAAATATACAAGCTCTAACAACAACCTATTTCAGTCAATAATGAAATTCGGGATTTTATAGCCATAAAATGGGATAAAGGGATTATAATTATGGATAAGCATGAAAGAAAAATGGAATATTTTGGATGTGTATGGTTTGCCCCCCCCCCCCGATGGTGAAATTAAATATTTGTATGTTGCTCTTATAAAAGTGAAATGTCCTGAGTGGGAGTGGTTTGTAATTTTGTAGTGAAATATCTTGTCTCCTGTGGGAGAACTGAATTATTCTGGGTGAGAATGGTTTGTCTCCTGAAGAAGTGATATGTTCTGGATGGCTTATATTCTATATTATATTATTATTATATTATCTGTGTAGCTTGTATCCTGAAGGAGATATGAAATATTATTGATGTGTGTAGCTTGTATCCTGAAGGAGATATGAAATATTATGGGTGTGCGTAGCTTATATCCTGAAGGAGATATGAAATATTATTGATGTGTGTAGCTTGTATCCTGAAGGAGAAGTCAAATATTATGGATGTGCGTAGCTTGTATCCTGAAGAAGAAGTCAAATATTATGGATGTGCGTAGCTTGTATCCTGAAGGAGAAGTCAAATATTATGGATGTATGTAGCTTGTATCCTGAAGGAGAAGTCAAATATTATGGATGTGCGTAGCTTGTATCCTGAAGGAGAAGTCAAATATTATGGATGTATGTAGCTTGTATCCTGAAGGAGAAGTCAAATATTATGGATGTGCGTAGCTTGTATCCTGAAGGAGAAGTCAAATATTATGGATGTGCGTAGCTTGTATCCTGAAGGAGAAGTCAAATATTATGGATGTATGTAGCTTGTATCCTGAAGGAGAAGTCAAATATTATGGATGTGCGTAGCTTGTATCCTGAAGGAGAAGTCAAATATTATGGATGTATGTAGCTTGTATCCTGAAGGAGAAGTCAAATATTATGGATGTGCGTAGCTTGTATCCTGAAGGAGAAGTCAAATATTATGGATGTGCGTAGCTTGTATCCTGAAGGAGAAGTCAAATATTATGGATGTATGTAGCTTGTATCCTGAAGGAGAAGTCAAATATTATGGATGTGCGTAGCTTGTATCCTGAAGGAGAAGTCAAATATTATGGATGTGCGTAGCTTGTATCCTGAAGGAGAAGTCAAATATTATGGATGTGCGTAGCTTGTATCCTGAAGGAGAAGTCAAATATTATGGATGTGTGTGGACTTGTCTCCTGAATTATTCTGGATGGGTTGCTTAAAACTTGTAAAGTCAGGCAACATGGAATGTATTGAAATATATTGATCTTCGGAAACATATATCTATGAGACATAATGAACGATCCTCATGAGATAGCCTTTACCAAGATTCTAAAATAGCAAGGGAATAGCATTAACCAATTTACTGACATTGGTACAAAGAATTATAAGAGTTTTTAATAATGGTGAGTTAAGCCAGAAGTCTGAATCGTTATCCAGTTTGTTTTGTAATTGACATTGCAAATGTTACGACAGGGACTAATTGTTTGACTGGCAGAAATATCTAACTGTACTTTTACCAATATTATGAATTCAAAGCAAATTGCCCATGTTGTTATCATAATATGCACTGTCAATGTCACTGTCGATAGGGGAAGGAATAAAATCTCCATGGGTGCTAATGGTTTGTGTTTTTTTGGAAATGATTCGTCAAAAGATTATGTTTATGTTTCTTTATTTCCAACGTTAAGATGATGAGTACATAAATTATTTTAGATTTTAAATATTACAAAATGTATTTACAGAATAAGAAAATAAAAAATGAAAATATAAAATAGGTTTATGACATTGTTACAAAACGTGTATGCATAATGCCAAATGTGTAGGGTGGAATATCTGAGAAATACTAAGAATGAACACCGAGACTGCCAAACAAAGCATTAGCTCTTGAATTTAGCATATTGCATATGCAAAACATTATCAGTAGATGTACACACAATAATTTAGGAGATCTGCCTTACCAAGTAATATTTCCACCTTCTCTTGCTCACTATGATCATGAAATAAAATTGTAATCAATTCGAACAGTAAGAGCATTGGGAACTTGTGGTTGATGTAAATGTTTTAACGGATCTCTGTAATGTTTTAAATTACAAAGTGTCTACTACAAAATGTTGCTTTATTACTAGCATGTTTTCTTGATATTGATTTACACCAATCAAACAAAAGTGGCCCCTACACCCTAACGTAATTACTTTTTTAATGATAAATCAATAAATTGATTCATACACTCTCTTACAACATCTAAAAGTAACTTTAGACAAAAGACTCGATACCATAGATACCATAAAGAACAGCCATGTGGGCTTGAACCCTTTTATATATCAGAACTTATTAGACTAATGTAGCACAGAAATCAATTCCACAAGGCAATTTACTTTCAAATTGCTGTTTACAATGGTTCCATACAGAGGAATCCTATCAACTGATCAAGATGCCACAAAAGATTTCTATTTACCATTTCAGTCGCAGATACAATTAAGCTTGCCCTTGCAAAAAACACCTTTATTTATGTGTTCTCACACTTTGCGATATTAGCAGAGTTGGGAAATAGTGTTCAAAAGTCAAAAAATGGACTTTATTGATGGTAGAAATATAGAATCAATAAATTTTTCTAGATGAAATTCAGAAACCATCATATAAAATATTTACAAATGGGAAATACGTTTGAAGATATCCATCGCAATTCGCCCAAGCTCAGGAACCAATGCTGATTCTGAAGAGCTTATAGATCAAATTAAACAGAACCTGAAGATACAAGGTTGTACCAGAACTACACTTGAACCTGACATTGTCCATATACTGTACTTTATACTTATGCTGTTTTAAATCTAATATTTTTGTGTAACTTGTACAATATCTGTTTTTTATATAAACAGAAACCATCAAAAGACTGATCAATGTCAAACTGGATCCTTATTCCACCAATGATAGCTGCAATGATAACAATTCACTATTTTCATAATGATACAGGAGAAAGTGAGCTTAAATATATGGACCACACTATACATTAATCAAAATATAAAACAAAAATTGCTGGTCATCAATCAAGCCACTTTAAAAAATCACTAACTTAAATATAAAGTTTAGCAAATAGTCCATTCAGTGAAAGTTTAATGTTGATTTTGAATGCTCAAAGATTATAAGATGATCAAATGATGATATCTAAAGCTTCATATTTATGTTTGTGTTTCTGATTTATGTAAACATAAATACATGTACATGTACTTGTATACATGCATCTCATGTAACCTATATACCCTTGTAAACTAGTTATAGAGATCATTATTTTTATTAATGAATGATACTTTTTTAAACTTGACATTGCCATTTGATGTCAGTATTTGTCATGTATAACTATTATATATAAATTTTCCTAAATAAAGTAAACAAATTAGAGTAAAACCTCTCTCTATTGAACACCTCTCTCTAGTGAACAACCTTCTTCTGCACATACTCAAGTGAGATCTGTATAAATTGCCCTCTTTGTTAAATACTTACCAACACTAAACAAATTATATATTTTGCAGAACCCTAGAGAGTTATAATGTACTTATTCACTGTTACCTTCTAGGTTAAATAAAATGATTAAAAAATGTTTTTTCTTGGCAAAAAAATATACTCAGGTTTTACTGTTTTACTGTATAAGTGTATGGGGAATAGTAAGTAGGGATTAGATTTTGGCAGTTTCAACATGTCACACAGGTTTAAGTGCTTGTTGATCATTTGTATGATATATTAGTGCACTTGTAATACAATATCTAAAGTCTAAAGATTGAACTTTGTAACACAGGTGCTTACTCAATATAACACTAAAGTGTGACTAGCATATACACATAGGTTTCAAGGCACATAAAGTAAGGAAGCGAAGCAAGTGAATGTTGGTGAGACAACTTAACAGGTAATCAGAAATAAAACTTAAGGTACTTCTGCACTTATACAAAAAGGTTCAAAAACAAGAATTGGGAGAATGACATTTCATCATAGAGTATACAGTTATATATATTATATTATATTCTACCATGTTGTGTATAAATCATCATAGAATGGAGAACATATAACCCTTTAAAAAATTATTGGTTATTATGAAACAGTTAAACAGCAAAAAAATGTGGTTAATCAACTTATGAGGCTGGTATAGGTTTAAAATCATGTTCAGATATTTTAAGGTCAGACTGCACGTTCAGAATTTATTATCTACATCTTTCAGTGCACTGTTAATGTATACATTTATATAGCCAACTTTACTACAACAGGTTGCTCCTGCCAAAGGGCTCATACAAAAGACAATTGCTATATCTCTGTATTTCTCCGAGAACCAACAACAACCAAGTTAATGCTAGAATGGCCTATGAATGGAACAAAGATGGCTTGGATCTCCCTGGATTGCCGTTTGACACCTTTTCCTGGACTGGTAGGTTTCAAATGGGAATATGCAGAACTGTTTATAAAAAATAAATTCTCACATAAATACAAATATTGAAATTGTTTGCTCAATGAAAAATAAAATAGGTATCACGAAATTGAAATATTATTGCGAGTATCTTTGATCTTTATTGTCTCACACAATGTTTGCCATGACAATATTGTGACATATAGTCTTTATATTACTTTCAGGAAACACCAACCTGTGGAAAGCCTGTCAAATATTCGAGAGCAATGACATTCCAAGAGATGTAATGATCCGGCTTCATGAGACATTTCTGATGTTTACTCGAAGTGCTTATATATCATTCACGCCTGAATACTACCAATATATTGCCATGGATTTCCCCTGTAAAATTTCAACATCTTTAGTCAGTATTGGAAAATCTTCCTTAGTGTCAAAAATTGAACTTTTGTCACAGAAGCATGGTAACAAAAGCCTTGCATGTGCCACCTATCAGGTGGTTGCTGTAGATAAAGGTACACGGAAATCAAGTATAATACCTGATTGGTTAAGGGAGGCAAACCCAGAATCCACTACAAAGCCACGTCCAACAATGATGTCAGCATTAGAGATTCCAAAAGATGATGTTGACGTTTTCAAGTATGAGGTCACAGTTGTGCCAAGTGACACTGACCTTTATGGGCACTGCAACCAAAACACCTATATAAGATATTGCACTGACACTGCAACTGTCGCTGCCAGAAAGGAAAAGCTAAAGGACTTCCAATATGACATGGTGCACTATACGGCCAAGGACGTGTCTGTTATATATTCAGGCGAATGCACAATAGGGGCAGTTCTTACAGTACACTGTTGGGAGGACCTAACAGACAACAATGCCTTATTCTTCATTATTAAATCAAAGGATGAGACTATTTTCCACTGCACGATCAACTTCTATAGTTCACAGCCAACTGAAAACGCGAACAAAAGCGATGATCTTGCATCTGCGAGACTTTAAAATCAAAACAAAAATGTTAAGCCTGGAGGAAATGTACAATGTCATTCGACTTTAGTGAATTTAACATGTTTAATGTCACGTCCACTTTACAGATTCAAAATCAACTCCTGTAGTAATTTGACACCACCTTCTAATTTGCCTGACTGACCTTCTATTGTTTCTCAAAATAATTCTCCAAAATCAAGAAATGAGAGTGTTAAGCAGGGAAGTTTTGTAGGGAATTTCAGTCTCAAAAAATAACAAGTGACAACTTACACATCCTCCGAGTCTAATAATATTACAACAGAATATAAAATCGAAAAAATCTTAAATAAAAGAAATCAATCGCTTGTTCTTGTCTCATATGGACATAAAAAGAAAAATGCCAAACCAGCATTACCCGTATAATAAACCTAAGTTTTCCCTGGGAAATAAACTGGGAATAAAACTGATATTCAAAAAATCCTGTATACGATCCCGTATTAGCCAAAATCCTGTATCAGATCCCGTATTGGATCCCATATCATATCAGCCAAAATCCTGTATCAGATCCAATATCAGAACTATCACAAAATTTCATAAGACTTAATATAATTGTGTTATTATGGCATATTATGATCCATTTTAGTATTAAGAATCATTTCTATTTTAAAACTTGTAAATAAAAGTTGAAAATGTCATTCGACAAATTAGATAGTATCATTTAATATCACCATCATTGGGTGACGACATACAGAACAAATTTCAGGAAATATTATGGAATAAATAGGTTATCGAGAAAATATGATGTTGGCCTTGTAAAATATTATATTGACACTCGGGCTGTCACCCTTGGTCAATATGATATTTTCCTTGGACAATATCATATTTTCCCTTGGAATGAAATTCAAATTCCATCCCTCCCATTAAATAACCTCTATATATTCTCAAAATTGTACATAGAAATATGATATCTGTATATAGTTTGGTTAAAATGTGTGCCTATGAAATCTGTCATTTGTGTTATGTTTACTGTGCATATGAATAAGTCTGATTAGACAACTGGGAAATAAAAAAATTAATCAAGAAATGCAAATAAGCTAATACATCTGACCAATGTCCCAGGGTAAAAATAAATCATCAAGCAACTAAAGAATCATTTGAGGCCATTTTGCTTGTAGATTTTTATACTTTTAATCTTGGGTTAAGAGGATAATGAGGAGTGTAGCATTTAAATGGAACCTATGTAGAGGGCCCTGTAAATTGAAGGTGGCATGAATGCTACAAAGTGATGACAAAATATCCAAAACCAATTATGGTGTATCGAAATGGTGTAATCCATGACCATGCATCATGGTTTGTTTTGTTCAACCTGCATTAAACAGTATTGAACGTTAAATGCCGTTAAATGAGCTAAATCTCAAGTATGAGTTCAAAGTCAATCCAACAATCACATTATTATTGATTGCGAAATTTCTCAAAATCATGGAAAACTTCTATGTCTTTTATCTTGACTTGAGCAGTAAAATATTTAAAAAATGCTTTCATCCTGGCAAGAAATTAGGAATTGTATTAGACAAAAAAAGACAAAATTTCTTTGGACTTTATTGAGAAATGCTATTACTGTCTCACTCTGTAATACGTGGCCTAAATCACAATTTGTATTTAAGGAGACATGCTTACATACACTGTACTCAACAGCCATTAGCCTGAATAAGAGATACATTGCCCATTCTGGCATTCTCTATTAAACCATTGGCTTTCAAAGTGATATTTGGGGATAAAAAATCTATATTTACAAAATCTACATATCTGTATAACCATGCATATTGAACCAATATTGGAAACAATAGTTGGTCTTAATAAGAGACCCAAGATACCTCAAAATCACTGGCCGTTATTGGTCGTAATGTGTATTCATGTTCCTTTAAATTATGGTCTTATAAATTAGGGCCCATTTTAATACTAGACTGCATTTGCTGATTACATGGTCCTCATAGTATAAAAGTGTTGATGGTTAGATAAGATATCAATTAAGTGACATTGTCTGATTTTCAAATTAGATACAACATAGTCACAGAATTTGGAGCTGAATTTCTACCTTTTGTATTGGTTTGACTTTAAAGCTTTTTGTAAGATAGCTTCATCAATTACACTACGAATTTAAAAGAGACCTCTGAACTCGCCGAGCCAATCAGAGCTTGATGCTGCAAGAAAGACAATTTTCTATATATGGTCATTCCCTTGAAGTCACTGTTTACCTGAAGTATTGACAGAACTAACAGACACACAGTAGGGGACGATGACCCTACATTACATCTCAAAACTCAAAATAGCCTAACGTATCTTACTGAACACACCTGCCTAGACAGGTGTGTTCTGTAAAACTCACAAGAGCCAGTGCGTCACTGTCTAAAGGTGGCAACTGGCAAGGCTATACCTGTATACAGTACACTTATCACATGTTTTCGTTACTCCCTCAAGCAACTTTGGAGAGGCCAACAATTTATATCTGACTCTAATCAAGTCAGCCAACCCCCCCCCCCCCCCCCCTCTAATAACCTTTATGTAAAGTCATAATAATCAGGGGCGTCTGAACCATATTTGAAAAAGGGGTGTGCATTTTCCAGAAAATAAACGTGGCGCGGCAAGTGGACGAAGGCTGCACACCTCAGGGAGTCCAGGGACATGCTCCCCTGTCATTGCAGATAGTATTTGGAGCAATCTGAACTTAGCGTTTTTAAGGACCATACAGTTGTTTTCTGATAAAAAAAAACTCCCCCCCCCTCTTTCTCATGCTTTCTGACCACAGTCAGCACTATCAATGGTATATTCTAAAAGTGAATAGATCTCTAATAAATAGAGGAAAGTCCACAAGGCATTTGTGACAATATTTTCCGGAAGTGTTATATTTCCATTTATCGTTCAAACTGTGACATTTATGCTAATAATTCGACATGTATATGATTCTTACATACCCAATACGATAACAAACGTTACTAACATACCAAATGAAAGGTGATTTCCTGGTAAAACTTGCAAAAGTTGGTCCAAATTTACACTCGAACCGTCCACTTCCTCCAATGGCGCATGCACAGCCCGATGTAAAAAATTAAACCTATCTGATTGGTTGTTGTTGTAAACAGTGGGAGTTTTAAAAATGGAGGTGTCACTACGGTAAATCATTGAAAAATATTGAAAAAAATCACAAAATTCAAGTTCTGGGCTACATATCGCCATTTTCGAACGAACTGGCCCATACAATGACTATATCCATAACCTTCATCTTTACACTATATTTAACATAGGGTTTGCGTCTCGATCTTTAAATATCACTACGCCAACATAGGGACTCATTTTTAGGTAAAATCCCTGCTTCACCGATGAAAATTAACGAATAAAGTAGTTCCAGTTTACGGGACTATATTCTTGCGATTTAATTCTAAAAATGGCACATTTAGAAAGTACTTGGCCTCAGCTTTACATACATACCTCAAATGGCCACAATGCATATACTTAAACCTACTATACACAGTGACACCATTGAAGTTGGCATGGCTTCGTTTTTAAAGTATTAAAAACACGTCCTACCCGGAAGTGGTATTTACCGTAATAACACCTTAATATCCAAAAATGGGAAAATTTTACTATCATAATTTTTCCTCATTCAGCATTTTTTCAAACAATTGAGTTATTTCAGGATCAAAACAGCTGCATTTCAAACTTTTAACACGTTTTCTACAAAATCTAGCCATATTTGGGGAAATAGGTGAAGGCTGAGTCTCTAAAAACGGGCCAAAATGACCTAAAATTGGGTCATCAACTTCAGGGATCTCATTCAAAAATTTTGGAAGCAAATTCCCCGAGATTATTTCATTTTGTAAATCATTATAGCAATGCATTTCAAGTATTACACAGAATGTACTTAAATGTAGGTTACTAAATGTAGGTTACTAAATGCCGGCAGGTCAAAGACCTGCCGGCACCTATTTTTTGGGCTGGTGATGGAATATTACAAGGGCAATACGTGAACAATTCAATTTTTCAGAATTTCATAATAATTATAGGAGATCTTACGGTAGTTTGAACAAGAATACTGTTATTTCCAGCAGAAATATGGTAGATTTTCAAATATTTACGGTATATTTTACGGCCGTTCTTATAGAAAAAATCGAATGATAATAAAATATTTTACGGTAGATTTTGGTAAAGTTACAGCAGATTTTTTACGGTCGTTTTTACAGGAAAAAACGGTAATTTTTTGGTTGATTCCCGTAAAAATACGGTAGGTTGGCTGGTATGAGTTACCATGGCAACCGTGGAAATGGGTAGAAAATGAAAGCAAAAAACACCCAGACCCGCCATAATGGCACTAATTTTCAAAATATTTCGAGACATACACATTTTTTTCCACTTTGATATCGTCTAGAACACTTCGAGACAACAAAAATATCAAAAATTGTTGGAAGGTTTATCACTTAAATTTTTTGCAAGCCTTGGTCAAAGTAAAACTACGAAAAAAGCACTCATTTTCACTTTAGAATCACCTATTATCGCCCAAATGGCTATATGTTGTCAAGGTCGCCATGTTAAAAGTAAAATTACGGAGCTAGATCTGCTCTTCAGACAATGTTTGATAGCTTTCCTTTACCATGGAACAAAGATCTTTGCACTGGCAACACTGGTATGCCCATTTCCATGAGATAATGCACGTGAAAGAGGAACAGTGTCTTTAAATGTCATCAAAACTTTTTCGCACTACTTTTGGTGTAATAATACCATCTGATTGATTGTTGGTGTAAACAGTGAGTCGGGATTCCCGGGATTTGGGCTTTAGGATACTATTTTACACTGAACGGAATGTATCGACGCAGTTGTGAAACCAAAATGACGAACAGTTTTTGAACTTCTGTATTTATCTATTATAAGGTAGAGTATACCATTGATAGTGCTGACTTTGTTTCTGACGTCCATGATTCCTGTGGAAAAAACAAGCCTTGTCACTAGCTACGGTTGATAAATGCTTTTTCTTACTTACCTCTTCTAGCATAGTTGATTTTACGTCCATCTACATGCAGCTCACACTTCTTCGATGTATGATAAAACGAGGACTGGTAATTGAAACGTTTGAATGAATATTTTGACATATGTTTTGAGAGCTCTTCAAAATTAGAATAACTCTTTAAATGCGGAGATTCTTCTCGCCAAGTCTCGCGAGAACAAGTGTTTGTGTAGCAACAACATAGCAACACAGAAAAGAGAGAAACATTTTTTAAAAAATCGAATATTTTTTCCATAAAACTCGAATAAATAGCAACAGAAATAATGGACGGTCTACCTTTCTTACCGGGGAATCAGTTCTCCGACCCAACAGTAAGTAAATATGATTCTATCTTTGCAGAGAGTAACTGTAATGAGTGAAATGTTTTTTGTAAAATTCATTGCACTTTTCAAAATCAAGTCACTGATTCAGAGATTCACTGTGAGTGTGATTGTCCTTGTTGATTTTATTTTCCTCATTCGGCAACTGAAACCCAATTATGCAGAGGGATGATGATTGCAACACTAATAGCAATAAAACTTTCTTTGATTTTGTTGTCTTTGGATTGTACATGGGCTCTACCACCGGATTGTAGCTCCATGAAGTTGAAATCTGCTCAGATAGATTCGAACGAAAGTTTGTTATTCCATAGTTTTTGTTGTCTAGGATATTTTTCATTTACTCTCGTTAACTATCCATATATGATGTTAGCCTCCGCATCCTTTCTTTCATAAGCGTAAACTTAAGCGTAACTCCGGGTAAATTTTGACGCTATAAAATTTCGCGATTTTTCAAAATTGCAATTTCGCGGCTATTTAATTTTGCGGATTTCACAAGTTGAATTTTTTTCCGATTACCATGAATCAATGCTTATCTGGCTATGTTAGCCCGTTCAGAATCCGAATAATATTTGTATTTCCCACGTTTAGGGCATTTATTTGAATATTCTTGAATGGCTTTTTCAACTTCAGTTTGTAGGATTGTCAAAATGTTGACATTTTAGCCTTTTTTGAATTATCGCCCAACAACACTGGATGAAACGTTTTACACAGGGGTCAAATCCCCGGGGATTTAAAAGACAAATTTCGCGATGATAAATGTTCGCGATTTTACTACAATACCCGGAGTACAGTATGTCATAATTTGTAAACTTTCATCACTATCATTTTCAGCGAACAAGGTATCATAGAAGTCAAACCTTAGGGTACAACAATGGCTATGCTATACCATCTAGGCCAGAAGTTGGAATTGGTGGTACACCTATAGTGCATAACCAGCTGAACGAAGAAGAACTTGATGAGCTAGCCAATTTCAAACCTACACTTACATATGGTCAAGCTAAACAAGCACCACCTCAGGATTTTGTTCCAGGACACGTAGCTTGGGACAAGAAGGTAAAATCACAGTGTAATTTATTTGTTGGTACACCATACACTGTAATAGACTCTATTAATCATAATCCCAAAATGTCCTAACTTCAAAGCTCATGAATTTATTTGAATATTTGAAACTACTGTGTAAATCAGATTGAGACATTGGAAGTAACAGGGCCAAAGTCTATCTTCCAGCATTAGGGAGACAGATATTGTACTTCTACTTAATTTGGCACTACTTATTTTGGCAGATTTTTTGTTCATTTTGAACCTTTGGAGGCTACTTAATTTGGCAGACTGGCAATATTGCACTAATGGTACTAATTTACATGGTACTAAAATTACCAGGGAATTTGGCGGCTACTTAATTTGGCATCTTTAACAATATTGCAGATCCTCCAAATTAAAACAGCCACCAAATTAAAACTGCCGCCAAATGAGAAGTACAAGTAAAAGTACATTACTTCAGTTTTAGACCCGTAAAAAGAAAAAAGTTAATATTTAAAACCTTACCTTCAAATTAGGTGCTGAAGTTCAATGCATACTACAAGCAAACGGTGCATGAATCTCCTGATGAGCATTATAGAGTACGCCCTGTAGATATCTACTACTACCTAGAAGATGACAGTATCGCTGTGGTTGAACCACATGTAGAAAACAGCGGAATGCCTCAAGGTATGTTGTCTATAGTAAGAAAAATACACAATACAATTGACAATATCGCATTAGACCTGCTTGCTTCACTTTCATTGAACAAAAATATTTATTACTTTGATCTTAAAATATATTTTAATTGGGTCAGGATTCTGGTAATTGATTTTTAAAAAGCCATTTTGAGCAGGGAAGTACTAAAACAAGGATATTGAATTAAATGTTCAAATGAAAAACAAGGTATGGGCTTAATTGATATATAAAAATTTACAATGATTATTTACAGGCAAACTTATAAAGCGCCAGCGTCTACCAAAGAATGATGTTGGTGACCATTGGGACTGGAAGGATTTAAATAATGGAACAAATGTTGTTTTTTATGGCAAGGTTTTCCACATATTAGATTGTGATGCCTGGACAAAGGTAAGTTGTTCTCAATATTTTTCCACTATCTTCACTGTCAAAATTCGCCCTTGGCAACATTTGAACAAGTATTGGTCTATTCAAATATTCAACTACATAGAGGCTGTGAGACGGGGATAATTACAGAATGTCCTAGTCAAAGAGCTCTTTCCATGGGTGGATCTCAATGTGAGAATATCTACTAGTGAATATTCAATGACTTGTCTTGTATGTATTAAATAACTTGCATATCAAAGGAATTGTACATTGAATGACTTGTATATTGAAATTCTTGTATATTGAATAAGCTCCATATGTTAAATACCTTGTAAATTGAATGACTTGTAAAATATTCCAGGACTTCTTAGAGAGTGAAGGTGTTGAGGTCAACCCACCAGAATCTTTACCGACAGATCCTTACATTGAAAAACGAACTCAGGCTGCAGCACTACGTGAACATAAAACTCCCTCCGATTTTGATAGACTCCGTCAATTTTTGGAGATGGACCGCAAAGTGTTGAGGTTTTTCTGTGTGTGGGATGACAGAGATCAGATGTTTGGGGAGATGAGGCAATTCATATTGCATGTATGTTACATCATTTTTAAATTAAAAGAAATATATTTGGCTAGTTAAGTTCTAGTTCTCTTAACAAAACACTTTAGAGGCTAAAGTTTGAAGTTGATTCTTCAATTTTAGATTTTGATTAGACCTCTTTGATATGAATCTGACTGTTCACATACTAGGTGGAATATAGACGTTACTTCCATGATATTGCAAAGCTCATGAAAATATGAATTAATCACTTCAAATTGAAAAATATTGTTCTCAATTATGGAATGTTTACTATGAGTGAATGGTTTTCTTATTGAATATGGGTGGGTTTATCAATGTTATGTAAATATATTTATGTGATTTCAAATTTCAGTATTACTTAGTGGATGATACATTGGAGGTACGTGAAGCACACAAACCCAATGACGGTCGAGATCCTTTCCCTGTCCTTATTCAGCGTCACAAGGTTGCTAAAGATCGCTATGCAATCGAGTCCTCTTTCCCAGCAGTTGTCATGGAACTCTCAGATCATGAGATCAAAGACTATTTCACACCTGTTGATTTTGAAATCGGCAAAACAGTTCATATCTATGGCAGAAGGTTCCTAGTATATGATTGTGATGACTTCACAAAGGCTTTCTTCTACAAAAATTTTGGCAAAACAGATTTTACCCCAGTTGATGTGAAGGGACTTTCAAAAGATTTGCCAAAAATGGTAGGTTATTTTTTATTTAATCCAAATAATATAATTTATGTATAATTGTGTCATAATTGTTTTTTCTAAATCCAAAATATCCCTCGAAAGTCACTTCCACCTTAAAGAATAATGCCCAGGGGAAATTTTCTAAAATATTTTTCATAACAAGACAAGGCAAAGTGAGAATGTAAACTGACCCCAGTCTCCAATTTATTGCCTGATGTCCATGTGTTTATGTACATTTTATATTGTAGGAAATCGCTGCATACAATGGCTATGGGTCCATGGAAGACTCCCTCCAGTCATGTCTCTCTCTTATACCACAACCACCAAAGAAAGACTTCATCAAGATGTTGGAGAATGACCACAAAGTTCTTAGATTTGAAGCAGTTATGGTAAGTTAATATATCTGAAATATGATTTACTTCTTTAGGTCTCTCAGTTTGACCACTTTTCAAGAAAAATTGACCCACCGGTTTTATTGTATGGTAATTCATATTCTATTCACTGAATATAAGTTGTTTTTTTTTTGTATTTTATGTTATTTTTGTCTCATTTACATCCTAAATACATGTTTTGTTTTCTGGAAATTAAGGATGGTTTATATTATTATATTAGGATACAAGTACTTACAATCACAAAATTTCTAAGAGTATCCATCATGAATGGATTTGAAAATTTAGAAATCGCTTTACCTGCATGTTAATATTTTTAAAATGTGACTTAAATATATGTTTTCACATGGATCTAATTACACCACCATTTTTCCGTTTTAGGATTCAGTGAAACCAGAAGACAGAGATAGGCGATTCATCATATCATACAGACTGGCAGATGACATGATCACCATATATGAGCCCCCAGTCAGGAACAGTGGAATAATTGGAGGCAAATTCTTAGAAAGAACCAGAGTGGCAAAGCCAGGTTGTGATACAGACCAACCCGTGTTTTATGGACCCCAGGATTTCTATATAGGGGCTGTCATAGAAGTGTTTAAGCATCGGTTCGTTATTATGAATGCTGATGCTTTTGTTCTACAATACATGCAAGACCATGCAAACCAATTCCCAGGTATGATCAGTTAGTTGTACAAAGTCATCTACAAAGTACCTGTCTAAATCTTCACAATATTTGTTTCCTTAATACTATATTGCTCTGTAAGCTCTTGGGTTTCGGCCACTTGTATTGAGGTACAGGCAGTATGTTCCCATTGCAAAGGCATTCTAGTAATTGAAATGTAAAACAAGTTTTGTGTTGTGGATCAAGGGGATATTGTTGGTAGTTTGTAGTACAGCTGAAGTTTAGAAAAACAATAAAGGATTGGTATCGATATGGAGAACTGAATTCAACAATGCTTTTCTCTTAAACCAATTATTGAAAACATTCTGTAAAAAAACACGGTCTTTTATGTAATGTTGACTGATTGACAACAATTTAATGCTAAAATAATTTATATATATTTTTGTTTTTGTTAACATTTTTTGTTTTTAGTGCAATTGTTTTTTGTTCCTTTTTACCATTTCTTGAGAATGAAATAAAATATCTTTCCGAAGCTTGTTTGAACAAAATAGCATATACAACATTTTCTTAGACTTCCTAATATTATATAGTTGTACATAGGAAATTTTGGTTGATTAAACAGAAAATATTCAAAAAATTAAAACAAAAACCCCCGAAATAGATAAAAACTAAGATAAACCTTTAATTTCATTAACAAGATACTTTTTTTAAATCAACCAAACTTTCCTTGTGTAATTATAATATTGAGAGACATAAACACGTGGTGTTTATGTCATTTTGTTCCAATGAGGCTCAGATAGATGTTTCATTTCATTCCGAACATATGATACCAAGAACAACAAGAAGTGTCCGATGTGTTTTCTAAAACAATATAGAGAAAAGTATATATATATCTATTTCAAATTATATTGTTACCATTCAAAAGATGACCATTAAATTGACAATGTGTAAAATTTTCAGAATTTTTTGTTGTTTGGTTTAAGAGAAACGTGTGTTCAAAAAGGTCGCCATATCGATACCCATCCTTTCTGTAAAACTATCTTTCATGTCTTTGGCAACTCAACAAGCAGTAAAACGAATTTATTTTTATATTTGCAGCCAATACCATACAATCACTTGCAACTAAACTAGGCAACACAATACCAAATACAAATGCACCAAGGAAAGGTGGTCCAATGCACATCCAAAGAAAGTGAGTAGACCTTTAACTGTGGCTATCATTAACTTGCCCATAATTATTATACTGATGTAACATTGTGGAAGCAACAAAGATGGAAACAATAAATACACTTTTCTTTGTAATTGTGGAACATTCGAAGCTGATTGCATTCAACAAATAAATAAGCCCATTTTTAGAATGTTTCCCAGGCCCATCTAATTTCAAATGTATGCTTTTCCCATGTATTCTCTTTAGAATTTCCTACCATGTTTGAATGAGAAACTGATTTTCTTCAGATGTACAAATGAGAACTCGTTAAGAGAACTTTCTAATTAATTCAATCAAATTTTACAGGTCTGGAGATTTGGTGAACCTTGTACGAGAGGTTAAAGGTCAACTGAAGAAGATCAGCATAACAGACAAAAACCGCGTCGATGAGATGTTCCTTCGTTACGATACCAATAGATCTGGCTTCATTGACCAGTTTAAGCTGGCAGATATGTGTGGAAGACTACACCTGCCTGTTGACCAGGATGTCATGGAAGCTGTAAGTTATTCATATATTTTATGTTATGTAATGGACACTTTTTATTACTTTATGTTAACATGATGAGCACATTAATGGCATTTTGAATTATTCTGGACGTGAATCTTTTATTATGTATTTTATATTATTATATGCATTCCTAGCTTCGTTGAAACATGATTTTAATTTTGTGAATATGACACCATCTCTAAAAGCTATTCTATCACAAATGTTAAAGTTTGCAATGGCCTACTTTATGATATTCAATAAAATACCTGTTAGTGTTATTCTGTTACAAAAGATAACATGTTCTGTTCATTTTCAGATTGTGAAACAAATGACGAATAATCCAGAGGGAAAGATTACACTGGAAGAGTTCAGACGATTCTTTGAGAGTTCATAGACTGAAATAGAACACAGACATTGTGGATGTGAAAAATATAATAGCTTATCCTCTAAAGATCAGCATGGTGGTCAACTGGTCAATGTATGAGTGAAACTGGATCAATTTGGAAAGTGACATGGATAAGAGTATTCAGCAATGATTTTCTATAAAATGAGACTTTTTCAAGTATCTGAAGGTTCATTTCCTCACTGGAATATTATTCTGAAAATGTGTGGCCACCATACTCATTTTTCAAAGGATTTAATAAAGAGAAAAAGCAGGATTTTGATATCAATATGAATATCTTAATTATTAACCAAATAGACTGTGATACAATGATAAAACTTGGATAAACAACTAAATGACTTTCTTATTCATATTTTACAGATTTATTTTTATCAGATCTGTTTATAAATTAGGCAAATTACATTTTTTTTTTCAAATACAATTTCATGCAATAAAACCAATTTACTAGTATACGGTTTCAGAGATTATCCCTGCTTATTTATGAAAACCTGTATTATTTCATTACATGTAAAAACTGTAAAATATGTACATAAAAACTACAAATATTATTTGATGTGAAAATAAATTCACAATTGTAAGTATTGTCTCAAAAACGGTGTCTGAAGTGTATTTTTAACAAGTATCTAATATTCGATTAACCTCTTGAATACCCAGAATGACGGATATATCTGTCACAAATAAAATCCATTTGGGACCCAGAGCGACAGATATATCTGATTGAAATCAAACATCAACTATTGTGTTTTTAGATGTAAATCTCCAAAAAACTGGCAAAAAATGAACAAGAACACAAATGTGTACAATATGTCCCCACCTATGGGTGATCCTGTCAAATGGTTATCCTAAAAATGAGTAGACAAGACTTTACCGACACAATTTGAGGACGGAGAATCCAAAATGGCCACCTTAAAATTTACCAAGAATGCCAAAAAATTAGTCAGTTCTAGATTTTCATACTAAGAACCACCCCTGAAAATTTGAAATTGATCCGTCACACAGTTAACCAGAAAACATGTACTAAGAACCACCCCTGAAAATTTGAAATTGATCCGTCACACAGTTAACCAGAAAACATCAGGGTTCGTACACCTTTTTCAAAATGAATTTCCCTGACATTTCCAGGCATAAAATAAAACTTCCAGATCTAGTTTTCCTTGCACTGCCTCTAAAAAGTATCTAACAACTGTATTGTTTAAAAGACAAGACTTATTGTGAAACATTTATCTCATGACTCAACTTTACTTCTACAGGCCGTTATTCACCAATTTATTCCTGATACATTATATTCTTAATTTTACATATTTACGAAGGTAAACATACATGTACAGGGACATAGTCAGCAAGTGTCAAGGGGGTGCATTTTTGGGGGTTTGCATCACTGTGAGTGAAGGAAACCCAAAGGGGGGTACGGGGGTTCACTCCCGGAAATTTTTCAAAATTGACAATTGTATATGGTGCATTCTAAGCATTTCAAACTATAATTTGTTAATGTTTTGTAATGAATCCAAATAAAAACTTAAACTTAAAAATGTTGATCTAAAGAAAAATAGCAACTCCCTTGAGTGGCAATTCCTACCTAATAAAACATATTTATCGAATACTATCATTGTGAACATGATATGAAAAATGGCAAGTGTCTTCCTGAGCAGAGACAGCAACAAAAGCATAACATTTTAACCAAATCTGTCAACTGATATTTGAGTTAGATAAATAGACTGAATACTACCGGACTGTCGAACAGACAGCTCCTTAAAATGATGAATACAATTTTAAACTGAAGAATTTTTCACCTCCCGCCCTCCTCAGATTAACCCCTCAACAAACCATGAAACATATACCAGTAATAATTAACTTTGAATGGCCTTAGACTTGCTTACTACAGTACAGATGTACATGGAAAAGCATAATTGTATTGAACCATCTATACATATTCTTTATTGTTCAGTTTCAGTATAATGTTCACACTGTTCTAAACCAGATTTAATGTCATTCAATCAACCCTAATGAAAAGATTTGCAATTTGTGGAAACAACTAAATGTTCGATTTTGGATTTCATTGATATCCTATCATAGCCTTAAATGTATTTTGCTGGAACATTATTTTTTCAACAATGATACAAAATTCCCTGACATTTCCCTGACACATCTACTGTTTCAAAATTCCCTGACATTTTTGGCCCTTTTTGACCCAATTTCGAAATTCCCTGACATTTCCAGCACCTGGAAAAATAAATCAATTTCCCTGACATTTCCAGGTGTGTACGAACCCTGAACATGTAAACAAGACTTTACAGACAAGATTTGAGGACAGAAAATCCAAAATGGCTGCCTTGACATTTATCCAGAATGCCAAAAACTAATCTGTTCTAGATTTTCATACTAAGAATCATCCCTGAAAATTTGAAATTGATCTACCAAACAGTTCACCTGGAAATGTGTAGACAAGACTTTACAGACGAGATTTTAGGACAGAAAATCCAAAATGGCTGCCTTGACATTTACCCAGAATGCCCAAAAACTAATCAGTTCTAGATTTTCATACTAAGAATCATCCCTGAAAATTTGAAATTGATCTACCAAACGGTTCACCTAAAAACGCGTAGACAAGACTTTACGGGCAAGATTTAAGACGGAAAATCCAAAATGGCTGCCTTGACATTTATCCAGAATGCCTTAAAAATAATCAGATCTAGATTTTCATATTGAGAATCATCCCTGAAAATTTGAAATTGATCTACCAAACGGTTCACCTGAAAATGCGTAGACAAGACTTTACAGACAAGATTTTAAGATGGAAAATCCAAAATGGCTGCCTTGACATTTACCCAGAATGCCCAAAAACTAATCAGATCTAGATTCTCATACTAAGAATCATCCCTGAAAATTTGAAATTGATCTACCAAACGGTTCACCTGAAAACGCGTAGACAAGACTTTACAGACAAGATTTTAGGACGGAAAAATCCAAAATGGCCGACAATAAAAAAGTGATTATGAGTTTTTGCTGAAATCTTTTTACAAAATTATCACATATAACTACTGTTAACAATAACATAAGCTTTTACAACAAAGTACACCTGAAATTATTTATAAAGGTACTAAAAAGTTAAAGTATGAAAACTGAAAAACACCATTCAATATGATACAAAGTATTATCGTGCGCTAACTTTTCTTAAAACATTCAAAATGGCTGACATGACTGAGCTAACAGGTCCAAAACCTAATCAGATCTAGAATGAAGTGAGCTGAACAAGATGTTAAAGTTTTAAAAGCAACTGTGAAGCCGTTTTTCTTAAAGTTTGCAGACAAGGATTTTAGCATTTGACTTCAAAATGGCCAACAGGAAGTAGGTATTGAGTAAATTTTTTTTCATCCACATCTGTATGCACTCGTAAGTTATCCCTGAAAATTTGAAGGTGATATCTGTAGCGGTTTTGGAGAAAACTGCCGGACGTACGGACGGACAGACAGACGGACAGACAGACAGACAGACGGACAGACAGATGGACAGACGGACGCGCCTAGGCCGACAATATGGCCCCACACTATGTGGTGGGGACATAAAAATGCTCTGGTTTCAAACCCTTTTTGGAGGCTGGCATTCAAGAGGTTAAGAAACCACATCTTATAGATGATAGCAAGATATTGAAATATTCAACCAGGGCATAATCCTGTATTACCATGGCAACATTGAGTCCGGTTAGTAGTAAAGGTTACGTTATCACTCTCAGAATATTTTTGCAACAAAAAATCCTGTTACACATGCAGATGTAGTAAGGACACAACAAACTTTTTATCTAGGATTCTTAATTTTAAAAGCTGTTCTGATTTCTGGTGATGAGCCCCAAGTTGACTAGCTAATGATATATTGATTATTCCCATCAGGTGTTTTGAGTCTTTCAAATATATTGAATACTGTCCATGTGTGATGTCTCTAGAATTCCCAGGAACTCTATACCCAAGATTTGACCATGCACCTCACCTGCATCACAAGTTCACGAGTTAAATACATCTCCATAGCGACAGAGTCCAAAATGTTCAATCAAAGCAAAGGAAGCAACAGAATCAAATCTCATAATCCAGTTCAGCAGGGATTGCTTCAATAGCTTCACATCACTCAATGAAAGCCTGGCCTCTTGATGTGAAACCTGAAAAAATATTTTAATTTTGTTTCATATCATTTAAAAGTTATATAGAAATACCGGTAGCTGGAATCAGCAAAGGACCAAGAGACTGATTTGGTAAAAGCTTTCAGAACAATGTCACCTGGTCTTAAAACAGATAGGCCTCCTAATAATATATTGCCACTTTGAAACCTAAGACCTTCATGGAGGGACATGATGTATTATATTATGACATATTTTCAATGTTCTAAACTGTTCAAGATTGCAGCACATAGAGGGAGGAAAGTGACCAATTTTGCTTTACTTTGCAACTTTCAGATCCCTTAAGGGCAAATTTAACTTGTAATCATAAACAGTATGAATGTTTATCTACTAGGCATATTGTACTGGAATTTTAGTCAGTAGTTACCTTTGGAGTATCCATCAATTGCATCACTACATGTCATCAACCAGAACATGTTTGGGGTTATGACTCTCCAGACATCTTGTTCTTCAGCCTCAGATACTAGAAAACACAAGTTCATATACTAAACTGCAGGTAAACAATGAACTGAAAAGTTGTACAAAATAGACGTAAATATACTGTATAGCGTTGGTCCCAATCTAGATGAAGGAATTTGTGTCATTCGTTTAATAGCCAGGTGGATTTCAGTAGAAGAATTTTTATCTTTCTCATTTACACTATCTAATAGGTTTGTCTTTTTCACAGTTTGAACTTGTTTATGAGGACGAGTGACCAGCCAATCTAGTTTTTTCAAGTAAAACTTCATTAAATTTAATTTTCTACATTACCTGTTTCCAACAGCTATTTTCAAGTGTAACTATACTTAAAATAGTGGATGGGTGAAATTTTTATTAGAGAAAATGTGACATCATGCATGATAACTTACATTTTTCCTGCTGCTAATGGCCTGTTGCACCCAGAGCAGTTCCATGGCAATGTTACTTCTGAGTTGCTCTAGTTGGACCTTGTCTTTTGGGTTTGTAGTTAGTGACATATCTAAAATAGATAAATATAGATATGCTTTTTTGATGTGATAATCGACTAGATTACTTTACATACTACATGTACTATGGTGAACTGTACTTCATAGTGTAACAGATACCCTTTAATTAAAAAGTGAAGACATACAACGGGGAAGTGTTGGCTACAGTGGGGTATCAGAACACACCTAATTTCTGTCACATTGTTCTCCGCAGAATTTTTTCTCTAGTGGGTGCAAAATTCTCATTTTCACAATGTAGACCAAAATTGGTCAAAATATGCCACAATTTCTCTCATTTTCAAGTGAGTGTAAATGAATTTTCAGGTGGGTGCAATCCTGTTTTCAAAATCTCAGGTGGGTGCTCTTCTTCGTCTATGGTTTAATGCTGGGGGAATCATCCGAATCACTGTCATTCGTTGTACATTACACATTCAAATGAAGTTGATTTAGATGATGAAGAAAACGTTTAACCCTTTAAGATTAAGACATAATACATTACATGTTCCAATCCTTACCTTCAAATGATGCAGAATCCCAAACTGATGTCCCATCAATGGCTGACTGTGATATTCTTCTGGGAGGATCCTTTGTCAGCTCTACTGAACTATGGGTAGATACAGCTTCCTTTGTGTTTGAATTTGAAGGGGGAACATGTTTGGGGGTACTTGATGCAAATGGTTGGACCTGGTTAATTGAGTCCTTTGAAATATCAACATTTGTGTCTTGCATCAGGGATGTATCATTAAATGTAACTTTCATTTGATCATTCTCAGTTTTTTCATTGTTTCTATGAGAGACAGAAGCATCACAATGCGGATGACAAGATGGTTTAAGTTCACTTCCAGCAATAATTTCTTTTGGCAGTGACTGTGGGCTATCATGAGTAGGAGGTTCAAACTGTTCAATATCACATTCAAATTTTCTCTGAAGATTTACTGTATCATGATGTTTATTAACATCCCTGTCCATTTCTGGTTCAAGTCTTATGTTATCACTCCTAGTAATTGGTTCATTTGAGTTTGTTTCACCCAAATCCAAATGTTGAGTTCCATCATTAGGTTGTTGTACAAGTTCTAATGAAGCGCCAGTCTGAATGCATACATCAGAAAAAACTCCCAGTTTACCATTGCTGCCAGGTAAGATTTCTGTATTGTCTTCTTTTCTTGAATTGTCTTGCTGATGTTGGTTTATTTTGGTATCTGGCTCTTCTCCATTGGTTTCTTTAGAGTGAAGATTATTTTCTGAAATTAAATTTAAATTGATTAAGATCTGAAATAAAGCCTAAGCCAGATTGATAATATGACCATCCTCCGACCAATTGAAATCCAAATTCGACTAATTTTACAAAATCTCACTTTTAAAATCAACTTTAATATTAAGAATGAAATCATTCACTTACTTCTTTTTTTTAATCGTTTTCTTCTAACAATAGGTGGAGCTAAGTGCTTAGTGGGCCATATGACTTCACATTGATCGGTCTCTTCGATGTCACACACGATTGATCTGTACTCCTTTTTTATATCATTAAACTGTTTCCTTACCAAAGCTCCCCTAAATATTGCCTGAAAATTTAAATTATTGAATATTTTCAGTCCACGTGATGTATTCGTAATGGTTTTGATCAGCATAGCATTTCAGTTACTACTAGTTTCTGTAAAAAAAGTGATTTATATTGCAGTATTACACTGGAAAGGTATCAACAATTTAATATTCTTTCCTAAATTCAAACACCAAATAAGTTTAGTGTATTTTATGCAGAATTCCTCAAATGGGTTTTGCGAGTAAACCATAAGGTTTACTTTTATTTGATAGCCCTTCCTAATTCAAACGCCAAATAAGTTTGGTGTGTTTTATGTAGAATTCCTAAATAGGAAAATATATATGGCAAAATTTCTTTTCTGTTTTGTAGGGATTTGAGGCCCAAAAGCTATGAAAAGGTATGATTTTCTTGTTCCCAAACCTTAATGTTGAATTTTTGTTTAATGTACCGAACCGAAAGCCAAACTCCAAATTTCCTTTCCAACTTAATCAGAAGATGTCAGATAAGAACTAAGGCCCCACTAAAGGATTTATTCACACATTTGAATATTTCAAGAAATCCAGCTTTTTGATAGACGAGGTATAGCCAGGTATAGCTACAGCGCTCACCAGATGACACCTGGATTTGCTGAAGTGAGGATTTCCCATGTTAAAAAGAAGAGAATTTTCAAGAGGCTATACATCAGTGGATGAGAGTATAAAAAATGTAAATTATACAAAACAAATGAAATGGTCATAGAAAATCCAGGTGTAATTTATTTATGGTGAGCACTTTAGACTATTTTGATAATATTGCAATAGATAGCATGTGGACTAGCCTTGGCTAAATTTGGAGGAAATGTAGAATGCCACTTTTTGGTGATTTTGAAGTCTGCACTTCACAGTTCAAAATCACTAAAAAGTGGCATTCTACATTTCCTCCAAATTTAGCCAAGGCTAGTCCACATGCTATCTATTGCAAGACTTATGCCTGGCACAACCGTCACCATGTTATTAAGTGTTTTTAAGTTTGGTAAGGATCCTGCCATGACCGTGGTAGTGTTATCGTGAAAGCCTGGTATAACCGTGACAATGCTTTATTACAAGGTCTGTCAAAGCTTTATATGACTGTGGCAATGATTGTAAGGCCTGTTATGACCATGGTAATGTTAAAGCTTGATATGACTGTGACGATGTTAGCGTTCTTGAATGAGATTAGAATTATAGTTTGTGAAAATGAATTATGAGTAAACTAGTAGTCTATAAAATCTTTCATTAATGTATTCTCATGTTACTAAATGTCATTTAATATAACCTTTGTCACAGTCATATCAGGCTTTAACATTATCACGGTCATGACGGGCCTTGCAATATATTATATAGCATTGTAATACTACTACGGTCATGGCAGGATCCTTGCGAAACTTGAAAACACTTAACAACATGGTGACGGTTGTGCCAGGCAAAAGTCTTGCAAAAGATAGGGTCTCGGCTAGTCAGTCTGGATCAATTTTGTATTTTATGTTTTTTTATTTTCATCAAATTGAAATTCAAATAATTTCGACAAATCTACTGAACTAGAACTAACTATAGCAAAGATGGGTACTTTCTTGAGGTAAAAGGGTATCCACCTCAACCAGTATATAATCACGCATACTTTCAACAAATAAAATCATTGTTACTCACTTGCAAATGTACGATTTCTTCGTAATTTAGCGAAAAATTTCTTTCTTCACTTGAATCTAGCGCCATTTTGTTTTGCTGATGTGAAACTATAATGTAAAATCTAAACGGAATTACTCGAATATATATTACGATAGTACATACAAAATACACACACTTTGCTATTAATTATAATTAGATTGATTTTCGTCATTTTTTGTTAATTGTCATTTAATAATTGCTCATAAAACAAATTCTAGACTTTTCGATGACTGTCAATATTTTACTCATTCCATGCTGAAATTTAGATCAATTCTTCAAAAATGTCTTGCTCTGAAAATGATCCGGAGTATTTGGCGACTGACGAGTGTAAATACGAATGTGAGTACCATAAAACAAGAAGTATATGTTCTTCAACTGGGGTTCTTCATGAATCCAATGTATTAAATTAATGTGTCAAGGAGAATTTCCAAAAACCTATAGTTAAAAGTAATTCCAGGCATTATCGCCCAGGCCAGAGTGTTTATTTCACAATGTTTTGGCAACATAAAGTGCTCACCATAAATAAATGACACTTGGGTATTCTATCACCATTTCCAGACCATGGCGATTTGAAACTTCATACTTTAAAGTCTGGATGTGTCATTTATTTATGGTGAGCACTGTGTATTTGGGTAATGATTCTGTTCGATCCTAGTCTATCTACATGTATGTAACTCCTCGTTCATCAATCAATCGACCTTTTTGTAGCATGCGTATATCTTAATTTTATAGTTTCTATGTTGTTCATCCAATCTGATTATTAAACAGAGCCTATGGCTATAGGAATTGGGTTTTGTCACCTAAGGGCCACCTAATCATGTCAGGTGCCAATAGCTTTTCACGTTGCATGTTCCAGATATCCCATTATAACAGGATGGTCATTGTAATACCCATATTGGCTAGCTATTGGTTTCCCATAGCCTACTTTAGATTGCCACTAAATGAATATTCTCGACCAATCAAAACTGAAAGAAACTAAAAGATAGAGATAGCCTGATGGTAGATCTAAACTTCTCTTTAAATCTTTTTTCATATTTATTATTAGTTTATTATTTCAACATGTCAGAAGTTTGATCATCCCAAAGTTAGAATTTGATTCCCATTCACAACTGACTTGCTGTTTTTTTGATATTTCAGATCTTGATCACACAGCTGATGTACAGTAAGTTTCTTATAGGCAATGTTCTGTATTTTGGTCCTATTTGATATGAAGGTTTTGCATATTTAAGAGATTGATGACTGGATGTAAAATCAATAATGGATCTTGCACAAGCCTTCAGATTGGAACATTATTGAAACAACAGCATTTACTATTATGAGTGTACATGTAATCATTTGAAAAATATCCCATACAAAAAGGTAGAAAAGAAATTAAATTGAAATATCTTAGAAATCGTTTCCTTATGTTCCAAGTTCTAAGTCTAAAGCAAAGTGTGTGGGTAACCATCCCATCCAATTTGTATATGATAAACATTATCAAATTGAAGATCGAACTAGAGGCAAACAAATAAAGGAAATATCAAGCTTCAGAAATTTCAAAATTTTTATTGCCAAATTGAACAAATTTATTTATACCTCAATTTTTGTTTTCATTTGATCTAATAAAAATTATTGATATTTTATGCTATTAGACTAATAATAAAGTAAAACGTGTAGGATTTGTTCAAAAACAAAAATATTCAACGATTTTGTATATTTTAGGCTGCATGCTTGGGGTGATGACTTAAAAGAAGCTTTTGAGCAGGTACATAAAATATATTTATAAAAATTCACAGTTGTGTTATAGAGCATATATATCCGACATTTTGGGATTTTACACTTGTGACATTTTTTATATTTTAGTAACAAAAATTACTACAAATACTTAGTTATATTACTATCCAATGAGGGAAAATAAAAATGCTGTTGCTCAGTTTTAGAGAAAAATACTGTATTAATCCCCAGCTCTACTATGCAACAACATGGGGGATCCTAATGTATCTAGCTGTAATGTAAAAATGAAGTTGGTAGCTACTTAAATTGCTTGTGCATAATGAAACAAAAATATGTAGTTACATTTTGATATTAAAATATAATATATGGTACACTTTACCGTAAATTAATTTTAAGCCTACGTGTGTGTTTACTCACGGTTATACTGCATTCTGATTGGTCAAATGTGCCAATGCATACCAGGTCCTGGCTATTTCTGGAAAATATTGTTAATTGTGGTTACCATGCATTGTACTTGTATTTGATATTTGATGAATATTTCTGAATTCCAGTGTGCAGTCTCAATGTTTGGTTATATGACAGAACTCAACACAGTCGACATGGTGGACAAAAAAGAAATCGAAGCTTCTTGTTAGTGTAATTATAACACTTTATATCATGGATGATTTTAGAATCTACAGTTTCTTTATAATTGAATTTCTCTTGTTCTTTTTATTGTTAAGTCCATTCATCCATTGACTGCATGGTTCCAAACTTCATCCACTTTGTTCCTTAATTCTTCCTTATGGTTTGAGTCCTGTATTGAGAAATCGAGAACAAGAGTCCTACTTGACTCACTTTTAATTTGAGAAAAGTGGTCATACATACTCGATTATAGACCAGTAAATCAATTGTTCTAATTAATTGTGATTCACATATGATATTAAGTCTTGTATATAAACCATTTAAATGTTTCATTTTAGCGGATGATATGGCAGGACTACTATTCCAATTCCTTGATGAATGTCTCTTTGTATTCAGCTGTGATCCATATTTTATAGTCAAAGTAAGTTTGTAAAGTATGGTTAAGTCCATGATGTTAAACATATTGCTATACTGTATGTACTAATGCAGCATTGCATAGGTGCCATTCAGTAATTGTTATATGTTTAAACATTTGTAGTTTTAAAAAAATTAAGAAGGCAAACTATATACACTGAGTGTTAATGCCAATTAGTACCAGTATCATGAAACTGATATCATTTGGCCCTTTCTAGGGATATATCTGATATCCTAGACCTCCCTAAACATTATATCCATATACATCTAAAGTTGCCATGCAGTATATCATTAAAGTTGATTGGTTTGACTGAGATATCTGTGAAAATTTTTAATTAATGTTTTTTGTTGTTGCAGAAAGTCAGAATAAATGAGTTTAATAAAGAGAACTTTACAATAAAAGCAACTTGGTAAGTTTTTGAATTCCATGGACACACGCTATATATATCGTTATTAACAATTTTATAATTTCTAAATTATCATTTACCATTTGTTAAACAACCACTTTAGACAAAAACATCACAATGATAAGAATTTATGTACATATAACTAAAAATGGCATGAAACCTTTATGCCTAGGATCTTTCTCTTATTAGATATGCATCTGTTATGCCCATATTAGGGATACATGTGGGAGAGATTCATCACAATTATCCTTTATTTGCTTATTTGCAGTTATGGAGAAGAATTTGATCTTGACAAGCACCCACAAGTAAGTGCCCTGTTCATATCTGTGCCCTGTTCATATCTGTGCCCTGTTCATTTCATTTACATTGTGTTGTGATTTATAAAGTGAGTTGAAATTTCCACAGGTTTCAGAACTTGAAGCTTGTATATTTATCTGCCTTTTGAGCTTTCGACTTTACTCTATATGAGTAGCCCTAACCATGTGTTGTGCATGATTTTAAGAAATAAGCCATTAGTCAAAAAAAAACTACGATGAATAAGTGGATTGAAAAATGATGAGAGCGTCAAGTCATTATTGCATGGGTTAACATAACAAATTCTAATGATGTCAGAAATAAGTGAAGATGTCAAATGTTAGAATCTATGTGAAAAACATTTTTTAAGTGAAAACTATCATATAACAATACACAACATTATTGATATTGTGTTGTTTCAGGGAACTGAAGTAAAAGCCATCACATACAGCAATATGCAGATTTATGATAAAGAAGACCAACATGAAGTATTCGTCATTATAGACATTTGACAAACATTAGGCAGTAGGCACTTGGGGGGGATTTATTTATGAGGTTATCATCTGTCGATTATGAACATATTGATAAAGTGAACAATCAAATCATGAATTTATTTTACATTTTTAATTCTAAAATTGTCAAACTCTGGGCAATAACATTATTAATTTCAATATTGTAAAATAATGTACAGTATTTATATTCTTGTTTTAATTATAAACAATGACCATGAATAAAATATGAGATTGTACTCTAAAACAATGAATTATTTGCGTTTGTTCATCAAAGAGGATCATGGGTCATTACACTGTACAGGTTTCCAGCAAAACTGTTATAGCAGTTCATCTGAAATTTTCAGGGATATTTCTACCTACGAAAGGTTAGAACTGATTAGACTATAACTATATCATTTGTACATCCTGGTTTGTGTATTTGAAAATTTGGTAATCTTCATTGCGGCGCCCTTAAACTTTTTCAAATATGACATGATGTCATTACGTAGAAATTATATTCTCAATGAATCAAAGAATGATTCACTTCATATATGGAAGGGACGATACCCAAATATTGACTCCAACATAGTGGTCCCAAATACATAAAATTTATGTACAGGTATAACCTGTGTATGGTGAACACCTATGGAGTCACAAAAATGTGTTCATTGTAGGTAGGTGTTCACTACAGAGAGGCAATTTTATACAGAAGTCAGTGGAGTATGTGCTAAGAAGGGGTGTTCACAAGACACACATGTTCACTAGAGAGAGGTTTAACTAAGACAAGTTTCACTGTATATTTAAAGGGGCACCAAGGACTGTAGAGAAAATTTTAATTTTTTCTGAGCTATCGGGTTAATATTAACACCTTCTTTGACAAACCTATTTTCTTAAATGTTTGTATAAACTATCAATTTCAGCATTAAGAAGTGTAAATTCAGTTCAAAGCTTCTATAAAGGGAATCCCACTTATAGATTTTTAAGATCCGCCGCGTTTCAAGAGGAATATCAGCTGAAATAATGTTCATCCAGGGGGTTTCTTTGTAGATTATGAAAATATATGTTAGTCTTGATGAAATGTCCAAACTTAAATATATTTTGACACTGATCGATGATCGTTGAATGGCCCCCTGCACTAATTGTTGCACCTTTAATTTGTATAACAAATACATGAACAGATAACACTAAATACTGTTTTATACATTTAAGGTCATTTTATTGCCATATACAACTACATCTGTTGAACATCAATTCAAAGCTTGCAAATTCAATTCTCTTTTAAGTGTTTTACAAAAAGATGTACACCCGTAAAATGAATAGAAATAAAGAGTTTTACAATGCTGCTATAATGATACACATGTATATCTTTAGAATGAATAAATTTGATGAACATTTTAAATAAGTTCAAGGATGTGTAAAATTAATTTTCAATATAAATGTAGCGCTTATTTTGTATAACAAATTATGTAAAGGCATTTGTAAATGTATATGAAGAATTGTTTTAATTTCAAATTGGGATTATCTCAATGGAATGATGCACATGAAAATTTACTGTATAAGCCTTAACATCAGTGTACAAAGACTGTTATGCAACAATTCAGAACATCGAGATACAGCCATATTACGCAAAATGGTAACCATAAAACAAAAACAGGTTTACAATAATCCATGAGCCTTCTGTATACAGAAACGACATTACCCTACCACAAAAAAACTAGTTCAGTATTTCAATAATATTTTGTCTTCTTTTATTACTTCCACATTTCTTGAAGGAACTAAGGCCACATCTTAAATGAATAAGTGTTGCAAACAGGTTGTAGCCTTAACCATCCAAGAAGTATAGCCATTAAACTGAACCTGCTAATAAAGTAGTCATATGTTAAAGCCAACGTATGAACCTGCTAACAAGGTAGTCATATGTCATAGCCAACAAATGAACCTGCTAAGAAAGAAGTCATATGTTATAGCCAACATATTAACCTGCTAACAAAGTAGTCATATGTTATAGCCAACATATCAACCTGCTAACAAAGTAGTCATATGTTATAGCCAACATATGAACCTGCTAATAAAGTAGTCATATGTTACAGCCAACATATGAATATGAACCTGCAAACAAGGTAGTCATGTCTTGGCCAACATATGAACCTGCTAACAAAGTAGTCATATGTCGTAGCCAACATACGAGCCTGCAAATAGAATAGTCATATCTCTTATTTACAAAATAAATGTAGCATCTCTTATTTACATTATTTGTACAGGAAAACCCCTAAAATAATGATAACATCACCATTTTGACAATAAAAAATTCAGAAACCGATTGGTTTCAAAGATTTATCCATAAAAGTGTGCTGACAGAATGTGTGATCATTATATGATGTTGTAAATGAGTGTACAGTATCCGCTATAAAAAATATTGAATTTTTTTAACTTTCAGTTTGAAGGTCAGCAGTAATCTATCTGAGGACTGAACTAAAATTACTGTAACTGGCTGGATATATACTGCATCTGGTTATAAACAATTTCAATATGGTACGCATGCCTGACACAATTTTGCTCATTTCTTCTTAGCCAATAGCCATCCATAATTTAAGAGGTGATGTATATGCAATGGTTTCCAACTTTCCACAAGTGTTGATGAGAATATCAATATGACTGGTGCACCTGATAATACACATAAAACACTGATCATTATTTAACATGCAAACCAAGCATAAAAGTATGACCAGTTCACTAATTATGCATGTGACAGTGATCTCTCCAGCAATAGTGCTACTGGATGCCAAGCCATGTTTGAAATCACATACCAACTTGTTGAAAATTTGTTTGCATCCTGTGACTGTCAAAAGGATGAAAAATTGAGAAGTTTGAGTCCAAATCAGGTAAAAATTAAGACTTAGCACCCTGTTTCGAAAAGATCCTGGGGAGATCATTGGAATCAATCCACGCTGAGGTCAAAATGTCTTGACTACAAGGATACCAGTCTATATGAACCTTTATACATTTCTATAAGTTATATGGACATTTGAGCAACTGACAAGAATACTGTGTTGTACCTTACACTAACCTAATGATTTTTAGATCAGGTTATTTCAAACTGTTGGACATAGTTGAAGTCTGGAACCTTTCAGGGGAAGGGGACACCTATCATATGCTATTTTTACAAGAACTCGTGCAAGTAAGCTTTTGTGAGCAATCAAAAATATGGGGAAAAGTGACAAATAAATGCATTTTAACAGCATTTTACAGTTCTGTTTCATACTTACAACATATTGTACGTACGTATCAACATTGTATTGTAATCAACATTGTATCAACAATGTATTGTAGTCAACATTGTATTGTAATCAACATTGTATTTCATAGTCTACATTGAATTCAAGTGCATTGTGTAAAACAATGTGGTAGTACTGTATATACCATATTCAAAAACAGCCAACTCAGAGTAGCAAATCCCACCAAATAAAATATATTTTTTCAAAATTCCTCATAATTTCTTTACATTTCATGATAGAATTACCAGGCAGTAAAGCATCCTTCTTGAAATTGTTCTTGAGTAGAGCCTATCAAATTTGGATCAAATTTCTGAACTGGTAATTGAGTTATCAGAAATTAAGCCCTAAAGCAAAGGCCCTAAAGGCTTCAGCATCTGATATATGAACCAAATGCATTGACAGAAGTTATCAACAATCACATTTATTATGACAAATAGCAACTCATTCAGTTTCTAAGCCAAGCACAGACAGATGAACAAACGCATAGATGGAAGGCTTTTCTGTATCCCACTGAAACTTCGTTCAGTGGGATAAAAATGCATTGTGCTCAACATTGCATTGTAATCAAAAAGGATTTTTACTCAATGCTGTATTGTATAACATTGAATTGTACTTTACACTGAATCATACTCAACCTGCATTGTACTCAGCATTAATTTGTGTATTGTACTCAAAAGTGTATTGTACTCATTAAATTGTAGTCAACAGTATATTGTACTCAACAGTGTATTGTACTCAACTTCTTCAATCCCTGCTTTATGTACAATATTGAGCTTCCTGAGGCATGATATTACATAGGATCACATTCTTCATGAGAAAAATTAGTCAAATACTAAATGTCACACTGAGCAGTAGTCAAGCCCTTAATAAGGATTTTCTCTCAAGATCAGAGCTAGAATTTCTACATGATATTTCATTTGCACTTAATTGTAAACAGTTTTTGCCATATTCTTGATTTTTCCTTTCATGGGAAGATTTAATAACACAGAATGACATTTTGTACATGGCTATCATCTCATATTAGTATATGTTTATGTATATATTGTCAGTGTTCTCCCCAGAATTCTTTTCAATATGACCTCTGAATCGGACTTAAACATGTCCCAAACATTTCATGGGTAGCTTCAACTGGGTGCTGGGTTATTAATAATCTCAACTGGGTACAGTGTCAGTTGTTTCAATGCTGGGAAGATCACTGAGTTACTACAGAGCAGTTTAAGTATGGGGTACAGTAAACCACAGCAAAGTACAGAACAGTACAGCACAGTGCAGTACAGTACAGTTCAGTACAGTACAGTACAGTACAGTACAGTACAGTACAGTACAGTACAGTACAGTACAGTACAGTACAGTACAGTTACTACAATACAGTTCAGTACAGCACAGCACAGTACAGTTCAGTACAGTTTACTACAGTACAGTTCAGTACAGTACAGCACAGTACAGTTCAGTACAGTACAGTTCAGTACAGTACAGCACAGTACAGCACAGTACAGTTCAGTACAGTTTACTACAGTACAGTTCAGTACAGCACAGTACAGTTCAGTACAGTACAGTACAGCACAGTACAGTTCAGTACAGTTCAGGTGTATGAATCTACTGCCAGTTCCAAAAAAAAAGGGAAACACCACAGAGAATGAACAGCACAAAATTATAATAAAATGCAAATTATCCAACCATTCAAAAATAAAGTGATTCCATAAATCTATTATATCTTTCTGTCATTTAGAATTTGCTTCTCTCCAACAAAGATTGTTTAATTCATTTTTATCTACATAATACTTTTAAAGTTAAATTCTGTAGATCAACAATATACCTTTATGCTTTCATTTGTTACAAGTTTGTTTATATGTGTCAAAGGTGAACTCTAATAGATTGCTTGAAGCTATATATCTCAATGTACAAGTGTTCCGCAAATGATTTCAAAATCAAAATGACCATTGTATCGCCAAACCCACAGATAATCACAGTTCTTTCTAAGATAGTAACTATGTGATATAGCACATGTGTAGGGTACACATTAGTAGCGCTATACTAAAACATTTATGAAATCATTTACAAAGTGTACACCTTATAAAGGTTTCTTACAATATGTCATTTCACCTATATGTACTGTACATATATCTGTATACATTTATATTTATTTATAATATAACTGGATCAACAATAAAAATAAATCATTATCTCTGCTCTCGTTTGACTTAAATATCATTTTTGTGCCGAGGAACTTCGTCTATTTACAAAATATACAATATACACAATCGGGTACACAGTCCATATTTCTCTATCATACACTTCACGCTCTACTTTTATCCCATAATTTCTCCCAACTTCCAGCTGGAATCCTATGATATTTTCAATAAACTTTGACAATCTGGAGTCTAGTTTTTCACTCTGATACCAGCGGTGTACATGATTTCACTTTGTCGTCAATGAATGTGTGTGTTGCTTGAAATGGAGCACATATTATATCACTCGCAGTCACACGCTTCTCTTATGTTAAACATACTAAACAAGCAAAACTGAAAAAATCTCCTGTTATTCCTTTCATAAAATGGCAAGTTTGAAGAATATTTTCCAATGATGGCTTTCTAAAATCAACATAACACCATACTGAATGTAATCTTCACTGCAATTCCTTAAAATTTGTAATTCCTACGAATTCCAGGTATAGAATTAGTCTGTTATTTGTTAATCCATTACATTGAGCGTATCCAGGTTGAAATACATATTTAGTCATATGTATTCCGATATCTACTCACACCAACCTTTCATCATCATATAAATATATAGATTTTACAGCTATATATCCTCAATCACGCCTCCATTTTATCTATTTCATATTTCCTAATGTTTTGTCCTACATTAATCAGACAATAACTGCTGAAGTAAACTATTTTTCTGATCAGCTGGTTTAATGGCCTCAATTGGAGTCTAAAAATGAAAGAAAATCTTATGATACAAGTTTATCATTTCTAAAGGACTAAACAAATTATAGTATTTTACAAACTGACAAACAATATGAGTTTTTCATTACATATTGTTAAATGTAGTCCCCCTGATGAAAATTACATAATTTTCATAAACAAAGAACCAATAATCCATAAAATTAAATTTTTAGTAGACATTTCCATATTGTGGAAGATTGAAGTTTACAGTTCAAAATCAACGGATTAGAAAAATGCCAGCCACAAAAAAATGGTGGCTTCAGCAATATGTAACCACTTCTTAATGATAACCTAGAAATGTTGCATTAGACAATAGACATACCCTGGGTTCAGTTTGCACTACATTCACGTTATCAGGAGGTTTGGCCACAAGGGACACATTCTGACTGCCTGAGGCACCCTCCCCACCACTCATCAGTTGGTTCCTGAATAAGTTGGTCGCTATAGCTCCACCAGAGTCGGGTGCAGCTTGAGGCTGGTTTGCTGCAATTAAATAAATGTTCTCAATTATCAACATATCATTTTTTGAATTATGTAAATACATGTTATGAGATTCAACAGAGATCATACAAATGCTTGGGTCATGGCAATAACTACCCTGCTAGCCTACTAATACGGAATTTTCATTTAGCAAGTATTCATTCTAATCATAAAAGTTTAAACATGTCTTTGTGTAATTGTGTCTTCAGTCTCATCAAATGAAGGAATCTCAGTGTCTGTTATAGCCTAACTGTTGAATTCAATTCTTCCACTGTTCATTTCTATAATAATTTATGTATACAACATTTTCCTGATTTCTATACATGTACTTGGACAATATACTTACGTTCTCCAGCTAATTTCTGGAATTTTTTAAATGTTCTATGAGCCTCTTCCCGCTTTTGTTTGACAACCTTGGACTCCTCTAACGTAACAGTTGCCCCGGCAGCCCCCATCAGAGGATTGTTCTGCTGTTGCTGTTGTTGCTGAGTCAACTCAGTTACTATGGAGATAAAAAAAACATTTTTATAAAAATCTGAATGATGAATATTTTAAAAGTAAATAAATATCAATTGAAAAATAATTTTCAAGTGAGGCTATTTCATTCATTTTCATTTATCTGGAATGTGTTTTTAATTGTCTTTCATGCTTCTTTATTCATTTGTTATTTTGCAAAACTTTTTTATTTATTTCATTTTTATACCATTTATAGCTTAGGCCATAGAAGTAGATTTTGTTTTGCGTCCCCTTGCTTGCACGATTTTGAGTAAATCAGGAAAAACAAACACATCCAAATAGCAATCAAAAGGGACTGAAAGTACCATTGCATTCCGTTCAATCAGAACCAGACGAAATGGCAGATAATTTTATGTGCTTCAAAATTACTGATTACATACTCATACATTGAGTATTTTCTTTTTTTACCCTTTAATAATGGCTATGTTTAAATATATTGTATAAAATGTATAGATATGTGTTTGCAATCACTGCAAATTGTATGTCATCTCTTTATATGCCCATAAAATGTATACATTTCTCAGCAAACAAGTTTGTGTTTTTTCTTGAGTTTGTGTTTGTTTTCCTTGTACCCTTGCATGATTTGGATTTTGCCAGGACGCAAAACAAAGAATCTACTTCTTATGGCCTTATGATGTAAAACAAACTCTATGATATGAACTGATTCAAAGACAGATCAGTATACAGTATGCTTAATCATATTACGTCTTTCAGAGTTTTAGGTTAGATACTACCTCATAGTCTTGTATCAAGCTTGTCTTACCTCTCCTCATTCTCTTTCTAAAAACATATATAGATATTATGGAGAGAACAGAGGCTTGCTGCAAGACTTTGTGTTCCAACTTATTTCTTAACATCTCACTTACTTTGGTCAATGATATCCTGGGGGATTTCATCATCCATTGCACTTATAGCACTCATGGAGGGGGCACTGCTACTGGGGGGTAGGCTCATATGTTGTTGGCTCTGGTTGCAGCGGGCAGTCAGCGCCTTCTGCAGCTCCTGTTTCACCAACTGTGATGATGTGAGAGCCGTCTGGCCCATACCTCCTACACCCATACTGCGATTACTGAAAAAATCGACATGTCTGAATGTAATATGTGAAAATATGAAAACCAATAAAATTGTAAACTTTATCCATAAAGGCAAAATTTTAAAATACATCTATGCATTGTGCAAAGCTGCTATTTGAACAAATGAGTTCCACATCAGCTCTCATCTAAGAAGTACATTAATTATTACTTTACTTCATTGAGATATCATACCAAAAAGTTTCTTACCTTTGTTGGCCAACATTGTTTCCGGCGAACATCTGCTGGTCAAATCTGCCTTGTAGCCCAAAATTATTCATATTCCTCCCACTCATTCCTATAAAAAGACAAGCATCAATATGTTTATGACAAGCATCATAATTCATACATGTTCATAACACACATCATAATACTTATTTATGGAAAATATGACAAGCATCTGATGTGACAGAAAACAATGTATACCTATATATGTAGATGCTACAAACCAGAGTTCTAAAGTTAACGGTTAACTGTTATTTCTCCTTTAAAATATTCAATGTTACATCAGAGGGTCAATAAATTAATACAGCAAAACAATCACAGACATATTTTCTAAGTTTTATGGTGCTTTATATTTCTGTATATGGAAACATTTACTTTTACCCATGATTCTCCATTCAGTAATGCCATCTATAAACGCATTGATTTTCTTATTAAACATACATTACAGTTGCTCCCATGTACTTTGATGAATGCAATAGAATAGTAGTGCAATAGCTTACCTGCAGCCAAGGGATCCATCAAGCCCTGGGGGCTGACCTGGGATCTGGGTGAGTGTTTTTGATGAGGGGAGGTCATCTGATTGTGAGGGGACATCAACATGGGATCGTGACCCTGGGACCCAAACTGGCTATTATTTTGAGGAGAATTCATTCGGGCTGAAAACAGAAACATATATTTTCATTAGTTTATTGTTTTAGTTACTAGTTTATTAGTTTTATCTATTTATTTTTTGATCTATGACAAAACATATTTTCATCACTATCATCTCATATTGCCAAATATATATTTCTTAACATAAATCATGAATCATTTGATTTTGAACCGACTGACAATATCTTTTGATTAACTATATGGTCTATATAATGCTGGAAATAATAAACAGGAAACTGAAATCAACATTTTATAAAGGAGTAGCCATATTATTTCTATTCAATATAAGTTGAAACCATGTGCACATCATGAATGAAATTAACAAATAAGTTGATGCATAATATACAAAACACATTTACTTGTATATGGCTATTCCCTTATTTTGTAAGCAACACAAGTTACATAAAACAAACAATTAATTATTTTATGGATGTACGGACACAGTGCATGTAATTCTTCAAAGCATCTGTTGTTGCTATGTTCAAATACTGGATCCATATTTTCTTGGTTATTGTGTACTGGAGGTGTTATATATGCATTGTGTTGGTTTATACCATCCATATGTGGTATACTCATGTAATAGCCGTTTGAATAAACTGCGTAAACCATTCCTCTTGTTATTATATACTCCTCTTGTACTAAAATTATTGGATTAATTTTAGTGTATCCATTTCAATTTAAAGTTTAGTTATGATATAAGAGACTGTATTCAGTTAGATTTTCAAATAGTTAAAGCTTTCTGCCCTTAAATGTTTTCTGGAATATTCATGGAATATTTGCACCAGATGTTGTTTATGGGCACCAGTTTATACATTGAAATAAAATTGAAGGGGATTGGGAATATTCTTCTAAAATCACAGAGTGAGATTCTAAAGAGATTCTGAACAATAAACTATGCAGACATGACATTAAGTAACATAGAAACAACAAAGACATGACATAAAGTTACAGATATGACAAAAAGTTACATAGAATCAATTCAGGCATGATATAAATGATAAGGTACCAACAAAGATTTGACATAAAGACATAACATAAAGTCGATATAAAACAAAATGACACTTACATTGCATGGACATTCTTTGTTGAGGCATGTCCCGATTTTGAGCAAACATTTGTTGAGGGGACTGTTGAGGGGAGAAGCCTCCCACATCCATTGGCTGCTGGCCCCCATTTCCAGGAAAGCTTGAGTCAGGGAACTGAAACCTACTATTGTCCTGACTGGTAGGGGTTGGCATGGACTGGCTGCGCATTATTCCAGGATTAAACTGACTGTTTCCCTAAAATCAAGAAGTTGGGAGGATTACATATAATCAAAAATTATTTTCGCTGATCAAGTATTGCATAAAGCGTATAACGAATGAACTTTGATTTCTAAGATATAACACACTGTTTCTAGAGCAAGAATACTTATTAAGGAGAAGTAGATTAATAGAAATACCATTTGGCCTGCAATGATCCCCTGTAACTGTGAGTTTGAGGATCGTTGGTTCCAAGATGGCTGCCCTGCCTGGCTGCGAGGAGTGAAGCTCGGCGATATTTGTGATTGGTTCATTTGTTGTGGACCTGGTGGACGTACCATTCCACCACCAGACAAGTTGTTTCGATACTGCGGAGACATGGGACCAGGAATTGAAGTGTTACGCTGCAACACAATTGACTAGTTAAACATGTTTATCATTTTTGTTGACAGACTTATATTTCTACATCTCAGTAGCACTAGTTTACTTATTCAACTAGTCAACAGCACTTATGCTTTTCATTTCACATGTTCATCAACATAATGATGTCAGTAAATATGAACAAGATGTCATATGTTATTAATTAAGATGCATGAGATGTCATATTTTCCTGGTAAATATGGACAAGATGTCAGATGTTACTGATTAGTACTAAGATAGATTAATTAGGTGTCATATTTTCCTGGTAAGTATTAACAAGATCCCATGTGTTCCTGGTAAAGATGATCTCACCTGTAGGCTTACATTGGGCACAACTGCAGAGTTCATTAGCTCATTGAAGTTCTCAGTAAATGTCATGTTCACATTGTCCCTCATACCACTCAGTGCATTACCCTAAAGTACATAAAGAGACATATAAGAGGTCCATTTGCCAAATCTGAACCCAATCAAACAACCAGTATTTGAGATATTGCCCAGACAAGCGAATGTACAAATGGATGGACAGCTTCTCTATTTGAACTTTAATTGATGAAATAATTAGCAATTGTGAGACTTGAAATTTTTCACCTATATCTTTGTTAATGCAAATTTATTACACTTCAAAATAATAGAAGATACAGATTCCTCATGGAAATGAAAGAAACGAGTGGGAGATTTTAGTTATTATAGCATTTAATCTCGAGATGAATTGTGCTATTGTATCAGTTCTGGATTTTAATCAAAGTAAAGATCTCCAAATCAAAATGTCAAGATAGTTACACATACCTGTGGGAAACTGCCAGGGCTGAACTGTGATTGTTGAGGTGAAGTGTGCTGAGGGGACAGGTGCTGCTGGGGGGTTTGGGGAGGGTGCGTCATCTGCCTTTGCATCATCATCCGATGGTGCAGATTCTTCTGGTGTTCCTTCAATTGCTTCTGCTTCTGTTGCATCAGCAGTGACGCCCGCACCTTACTCTGTAGACTCCCCATCATGAAGTCACGCGGGGGTCTACCACCACCTCCCCTTCCTGCAGCCACATTACCTAAACCTGAAAGATTTCCCGCTAAAGTTGGTTTACTTTTTTCTGGGAAATGAAGAAATAGAACAGTGGTGTAAAAAGGGTGCACAAACTACAAACAAACTAACAAACAACAAAAATATATATCTACTGCCTGATCATTACATTCTTCTAGTAAGAACTATTATTTCCAAATAAAATAACTTTGAACATTCTTTAAATTGATTTTTAAATGATCAAATAGCAAGATACGAAATCAGAAATTCATGTTTTGCAGATGAAACATACTGAAAACCTGAATTTTTGATTCATATGTGGTGCTGCTACACTCAAACTGTGGTGTTAATGCTAGTTTTATATAAACATGTACATTGCAACAAAAGCCTAGTCCTATAGCAATACAGGTACTGGGTATAACACTAATGAGCCAATAAATGTTCTTTTTAAGATGCATTTTAAGTGCAAAAGTAAAAGCAAATTTTCTGAAAAATATTATATTTAATGTGAACTGATTGCAATACAGGATTTCTTAACATTTTTTCTACAAAGGTGTTATAAGCACTTTCTTATAAGACCAACTTTTGGTAGGTTAAATATTCAAGATATCTCATTCGCTTGCATGTTATCTAACCTGTAATTCCAACAATGTGAACAATACACACAATGTGAACACTACAGACAATGTAAGCACTTCACACAAATGTGTAACATCAACCAACAAATCGATGTGTAAAAGCAAATGTATGTAACACTATATTTTTAGTTGACGAGACTTCAATACGTGCAGTTTTAACTCTAAGAACTATTCAAAACAATCAAACAATATTTACTGAAAGGAGTATGGTGAATCATGTCACAAATAACATACAAAATCGTGTGTGTGTGTCTGTGAAAACAATGAATCGTGTGCGTTTATGTGAATGAGAGAGGACCTGGATCTCAAGCGCTATGAAGAACGTATGGAGAGTTATACTTTGAGGGTAATAATTGGTATAAACATATTTCATATTAGCATACAAATTCTTATAAAATGACAAGTTCCACCAGTCTTCCTAGAGGCCAAGTAAACATTAAAATTCAAAACGAACATCGTAACAGTGACAAATAAATGGTGGTCTTCATTTTGGGAAGAATGGTCTTTGATACAGCATCATCTATCTGCACATCAAAGTGCAATTTTGTTACTTCAACAATTCTAATACAGAGATCTTATAACACATATCATCATTTTTGTTAAAGTAAATAAAAAATTCATAAAAAACTCACTATTCTGAGGTTGTGAGAATCTAAAGTTGTTGCCTTGTCCCCCTTGTTGATTCTGGCCCTGAACAAATCCCAACATGCTCGTGAGGCTACTATTCCCAGCATTCTGTTGTTGAAGATGGGCGCCTTGCTGTTGCTGCTGCTGTTGTCGCTGCTGACGCTGCTGTTCACGTCGTAACAGCTGAATATGTTGATTAACCTGTGAGCTTGTGAAATTGTTTTGTTTGATGCTCTGGGCCATAGCTCTATTCATGACATCCATGGGACTAGCTCCAGATGCTGGCATACTAGCTGCGACACCTGTAACAGAAAAATAAAACATAATTCTACCTTACTTTATATCAGGCTTCCAAGTTTTTTTATCTACTTTTACACAAAAAAAATTTTTGTATTCATTTTATCGTGGAATTTCAATTTATCGTGGAATTATATGAAACATAATGGCTTACTATGGAAGCATACTCTTGTCCAACTATAGAACTCCACACTGTCCTTATTTTAATGTTTATAACCTTAATTGACCAAAGGTAATCAAATCCGTCATAAAATTTCTTCAAAAACACGTTCACAATACCAGAATGCAGTTACTTACTTGGGTTTACCAGACTGTTGAGGATAGAGTTGGCTGCTGAATTAGAAGGCTCGGAGTTATCAGGCTGAGCAGACACAGGTTGATCAATACTCATTAGTTGTTTCTGGATGGCATCTATGGCTAACTGCTCCTGCAGGTCAGGCTGACTTTGAGGGGTGCTTCCCCCACCTCCTCCTAGACCTAACAAGTCGTCTATATCAGGGAAGGCTTGATCAAGTTGAGCCAACATATCATCCGTTGATGCGCCATTCACAGAGTTTGGGTTCGCGGTAGTCGTCAATGTTGGCTCTGTTCCTAAGATTGAGTTGAGTTGATTGAGCTGACCATTAGAGACATCATTCTGTAAGTCTGTCGCTTGTTGCAGAATCTGTTGAAACAGTTGGTCCTCTCCAGTTCCTACTTCATTATCTGGGTTAAAAGACGTGGACGTGGCAGATGCATTAGCGCCCCCTTGTGATTGCGATAACAACAGCTGAATCTGATCGAAGCCGTAACTCTGACTGCTTTGACTGATTAGATTGCTTGAGCTGTTCTGAGGCAGCTGTTGCTGTGGCAACTGTGGCTGTTGTTGTGGCAACTGTGGCTGTTGTTGTTGGGGGGTCTGGCTTGCCAGTTGGGGATTGCTAGAGTTGACCCTATTGGTGTTTCCTGGGAAAGGACTATTGGGATCAGTCCGAGGGCTGGTCCATTCGTTACCTAATTTACCCAACTCTGCCACTTTGGGGCCTTGGTTTATAGGAGCAGGGCGAATGTTTTCTTTTATATGCGAGCCGTTATCAGCAGACATTTGAATATCCACAATTTTCTCATGCAGATTTTTTGGTAGTTTATTCTGTGGCATTTCACTTGGACTCACGGGAGACTTAATCACATTTCTTTGGTTGTCTCTTGTTGGATTTTTAGTAAGCAGTCGAGTGAGAAGTGCATTTTTTTGAGCTATGTTATTGGTCCTATTTGTTGATGTCGAGGGACTTTCCAGCATAGAACCCAGGGACATCTGTCCACCAAAGTCGATCCCTGTACTGTCAACATCACTGGAAGCCTTTCGTTTCTGGGCACGCGTGGATGCAACATCAGCCTTCTGCTCAATACGCTGCTCTGTTGAACTCTCCCAAAGCTCGCTGAGTAAATTCTGTAAATTCTTATCCTGACTAATCACCGAGCGATCAAGGTTGACAGCGGGACCATCATTGGGAAACATCTGTCCCAAAAGTTCATCATCTGCCCCAATAGAGGACACTTGTTGAGCCTGTGGGGGAAGCTGGGAAGAGACCTGTGGTGTCTGAGAGTGCATTTGCGAAGAGACCTGCTGCCCTTGTGAAGCCTGCTGGGATGACACCTGCTGAGAGGGCATCTGGGAGGGGGCCTGATTTAGATTAAAGGGCAAGTGAGCAGAGACATTCTGCGCCTGTGAGGCGAACTGATGACCCTTGGCCTTGCTCAACTGCTGAGACTCCATGCTGTTTTGTCTGTGGGCCAAGCTGTTTTGTCTGTGGGCCAGGCTGTTTTGTCTCTGGGCCAGGCTGTTCTGTCTCTGGGTCAGGTTATCTTGTCTTGGAGTCATGCTGTTTTTGGCGGCAGGGCTCTCTTTAGATGACTTTGTAGTGGTAGCAGGCTCAGGGGTCTCCTGTAAAACAAGAGGCAACATACATGCATCAACAATAGCAAAAATCCTAAATTGATTGAAATACCTTTTAGAATTGATGGTTACATTCTTAACAATAAATATTGCTTGAACTGAATCTGAATTAGATGGCTACAATGACAAAAATAGTTCCACAAAGGAAACAATCAGAGTGTTTATGTAGCATGTTTGTGACTTACAGAGTCCGAATCTTCACCACTCTTCATAAGGAGCTCCTGAAGTAATGCATTCTGTGAGGCAGCTAATCCATTATCTTTCTTATCTGAACTCTGGTCATCATTCAGTAATTTCTGCAATCATAAATTACAAAAATAAGTTGCTTGAATCCTCTTTTCTTAAGCTAGCACATATACTTAGCTGTTAATATTCTTCGAGCTGAGAATAGAAGTGAGTTATATTGATATAAATTATTTGGTATAAGCTCGCATATATTTACTTGACTGCACATAGTTACCAAACCCTACGTTTTGTTATTTCTATAGAAACCAATTTTCAGAGCAGTAATTTTTTATTACTAAACCTCATTATCACGTAAACAATATATGAATTTTTCAAATTACTTGTATGTACCTTTTAATAACAATTGTATACGTAACTATTTTCATGTGTGTTTATATATATCCCACAGATAATGTTTGAATTTTCCAAATTAAGTACCACTTACTATCAATTGTAACTATGTTGTATATGTTGTTATATATTTAACAACACATTACTTATAGAATTCTTCAGTTTTTTACGAAAATTGGCCGCCATCTTGAAATTCAGCTGCCATCTTGAAAATTATTTCTTGAACAGAGCTACTGTGTCCCTAGGCATCATCATGTAAAATTTCAACCAAATCTGTTCACTGGTATTTCAGTTATCAAAGATTACGTTTTTTACGAAAAATTGCCGCCATTTTGAAATTAAGTGGCCATCTTGAAAATTTTTTGTCTAACATAGCAACTGTGTCCCCAAGCATCATCATATAAAATTTGAACCAAATTCGTTCACTGGTATTTGAGTTATCAAAGATTACATATTTTTACGAAAAATGGCCGCCATTTTAAAAAAAATAAGCGGCCATCTTGAAAATATCTTTTAGTGCAAAACTCCTTTGTCCCTAGGCATCAGCATATAAAATTTGAACCAAATCCGTCAACTTGTATTTGAGTTATCAACGATTACATTTTTTACGAAAAATGGCGGCCATTTTGAATTGAGCGGCCATATTGAAAATTCCTTCTCGAGCAGAGGTCTTACACTCATAAGGCATAAGCCTATAAAATTTGAACTAAATCCGTCAACCGGTATTGGAGTTATCGCCCGGACAGACGGACGGACGGACGGACGGACGGACAGACGGACGGCTTCTCTATATCCCCCTCGAACTTCGTTCGGTGGGATAACAAGCTGATCAGCGCAATAATGATTTTACACTATGTAGCAGTAATCAAAATAATTAGCAACTATTATCATAATTGATTTGCCTATATAGTTGTCTATATGACTTTTTAAGGTCAACATCACCAATTTCTTGAGAATCAAAAGAGCCGCGCAGATAGAAATGACAAGTGAAATAGAAACCCAATCCAACAATAGATTCATTGTAGTATCTAGTTATTAAAAAAACAAAATATCTAACCTTTAACAGTTCATTCTTGTTTGGTTTTGGCTCCGCCTCATTCTTATTCATGTCAATGTTATCCTCTTGTTTGCTGGTTGTCTCCATTTGGGTGTCTCCATCTTCTTCATCTTCATCTTCTTGGCTCAGCAGCTGCTTCAGAATGACATTATCCTCAGGGTTTGCTGCAACATGGAGGTAAACAGTGAAATTCAATATATTTTAAATATATGTAGCTATGTACAGGGTGTCCCAGAAGTAATGATAATTATGCTCTAAAATTTTTATTTGATATGGAAACAATATGAAATTCACACAAATTAAAGATCAAGATGTTAGCTTCATTTTACTATATTACATTTATTACTCGACACAAATATATTTAATGTATAGTTGCCATAGCAACATGTACGCGCGTTCTGCGGAGCAGCTGTGTGTTTTTCATACATTTTTGAAAAACATTTCATGTTCATATGTTTCCCTGCTGTTCACATCACTACTGTAATGCTGCTACTTCATTCCTGATATTCCTTAAGAGCATTGTACATTGTTGATTCACTTATCCACATACTGTTCTTTGCTGGAGACAATTTGTTATCCTGCTCTATCATTTCTTGTACAAACTGGCTGTGTCATCATGGAACTGTATACAATTACCATAACAATGATTTAAAAGCTTGAAACATTATCACAGAATAACTGCTTTTCTAAACTAAGTTTGAACATTTATAACATACGGAAACTGCTCCGCAGAACGCGCATACATGTTGCTATGGCAACTATACATGGAATATTTTTGTATAAATTCATAAATGTAATATAGCAAAATGAAGCTTATATCTTAAACTTTAATTTGTATGAATTTCATATTGTTTCCTTGTCAAATAAAAATTTAAGAGCATAATTATCATTACTTCTGGGACACCCTGTATTATTTGAGAATACTCTAAATGTCATACCTGTATTTTGTGAAAAATGTGATAATTTCATGACAAAAACCTGATTCTCTAAAACATGGCAAATTTTCATTTAATAAAAATTGTTTTACTTTTCACTATTCATCTCTAGATTTTCACTTTTCATCTCTAAATTTTCACTATTCATCACTTAAAAGTATTGGAAGGCATGCAGAATCTCAAATAATAATCATTTTTAATTTTTTAATGTTTAAAGTTTTTATTAGTTATATACAGATGTCATCACAAGCGTCACCAAATCTTACAGCTAACAATGATATTAGTAGGTTGGTTATACATTTCTTCACATCTATGGTATTATTTTCAAGGTTAACTTACATTTCTCCTTTGGAGAGTGCTTGGTCGAGTCAGGGGCATCATGGCTGGTAGTACTCTGGGGTTGCTCCTTGGGGCTCTGGCCTATTGCGAATGCAGGAGAGCTTCTATTGCTGCTCCTCTCTGAAATATACAGTGGCGAATCTTTTGTGCATTCTTTGAAATTAATCAAGAGTAATGTGTCTTCTACACAAGGTTGGATATGTAGATATATTTTTCTCATATGACTAACCAAGATACAGCCATCTTTACCCCATGCAAGATGTGACTCGATAAGGAAGAATTATCAAAGCGCATCAAGAATGGACGATCTTGAACAGGTACTCATATTAGAACCTCTATGTATCAATGGGCATCCTCCAAATGCAGGTCTCCAGACATCATCCACTCTGTTCCTTTCTTCTTACCTGGGATGTCTTGAACTCTGTGTTTGGAGGATGATCAATGAGTTAATACAAGTTGAAAGTGATTTCAAGAAGTTTTACAGCAATATCAATAGCAATCTGACATAATATATAAATAATCAATCATCTCTGATATATGACATTTTTAACTGTATGATATGAATGAATCATTACCATTACTGGCAATCCACTTGTATTACATTAACTTATATAATCACTGAAGACAAGATTTGCTTTACAGATTTTTCAAAAAACCCATTCATAAATGTCTTATTTCTTACTTGTATCCTTTTCTGACTGTGAGTCAGCATCTAAGATGTCTGTCGTCAGGAGCTGACGAAGCTTTCCAGCTCGTTTCACATTTGTGTCAATCGTCAATGGATCTCGGCTGCTACTTGCCTGGGCCATTACGGGTGATTTCATCTGCTCCATGGAACCCTGTTTATGAGATAGTGTATCATAGTTAAGTATTGCAATTTATTGAACATCACTCAAAGGTCCAGGGCTTGTCTAGTGAACAAATGTTAGTTATTGGGTGTCAATTCTAATTTTATTTTACCTAGTTTGGTCAAAATATTTCAATATTTTCACTATTTTGGTACAACACAATTTTCAAATTCAGCAGGGTGGCATGTAATTTTTAAAAGAATATCAAGTGAGCATGACCAGTTATAGATATGCTCTGTGTGTACATACCATAATTGGAAGATTCTGGAGAACTCCAGCCTGGGCTTCCATACTCTTTAATGCCTGGAGAGGGCTTTGGGGAACAGGGGATTGTCGAGGCATCATCTGAGGGGTCTGTGGGTTGCTACCCCCATTGCCCCAAGGACTCACATTGGGTTGAGGAGTCTGTGGATTGCTGTTTGTCCCGCTTGTGCTGCTGTTCCATCCACTGGACTGCTGCCCCATGTTCATTCCAGTTGGTGACATCATATTCATCCCAGATGTCATCATCCCACCATTCATTGCAGTATGATTTGCCAATGTTTGAGGCATAAACCCACTCATGGATGGGCTCCTACCACGACTGGGCCGTGGAAATGAAGCCGAGGGGCTTCTTTGGTTCTGATATATTGGGCTCTGAGCCCCTGCAAATCCTGGACTAGTGCGATCAAAACCTGAAGAACGGGGCCCAATATTTAAAGGAGCTGGCCGAGTGCTCTGTAAACCTCCCATAGAGGAGTTCAATATTTTATTCAAAGTTATGTTCATATTATTCTGTTGTCCTTTCTGTTTGCGCACACCACTCATAGAGTTCATATTGCTCCAAGACTGCGAAGTGGGGTTGTGCGCATTTGTCGTAACAGCTTGAGAAAAATTTCCTGCCATACTATACAAATTGGCATTTTGCTCAAGTGAATTTGCAGAGGAGGCATTGTCCATACTGCCCAAGTCCCATGGTCCACTTGTCGGTATCATCTCCAATACATTTGATAAACTCATATTGTCTGTGGCTATGCCATCTAAGAAGTTTAGGTTTGGCAGTGGGGAGACCATACCTGAGCCAGCCATACTAGGAGAGCCTAATAAGGGCAGTCCAGAGTTACTTGTAGATGGGTCTAAAGGTCCTAATAATTGCTTTGCAGCTTCAGAATCCCTGTAAATAAAGAAATATTGGGGTTTATTAACACCAACTGATCAAACTCAAAACAGAAATAATTGTACAGCACTCACTGTTTAATACAAGTAAATTATGACCATGCGGGTCTTTATAGGAAATTATACCTTTAAGGTAGTAGCTCACTGGCAAAAGGTGGCTCCATGCTATAGCATAAGAGCAATGATTTGATGAGTGTTCAGCTTTTGACAAGAACATTTTGAGATGTCACTCTTTGAGTATTTTTCTACTTAATATTGATACATAATTTTGATGGAGTTAATGAATTATACCCAGTATTAGCATTTTTAATGTTTCTCTGTTACACTATTTTCTTAAACTAACTATAATTTTCTTGTATTCAAACATTCAAAACTCCTGTCATTCAGCATCAACTTCTCTCTTATGGAGGATCAAGATGTTTTCTAACTTTAAGGAAAAAACTTGGTGGCACCAACCTTTTTTGATTTAATGCAGCAAAATTATGTCATGGTCATTTTGATATAATAATATATTCACTTCATCGTAAATTTATTTTTAGCCCTCAACGTGAACAACCACCTTAATCTCCTTAAGGAGAAACAGAAAATCCAGAAAATCAAACATACCCCCCTTTGACGAGACCTTGACCAATGATAGACTTCATTAAACTAGTAGACGCAGAACCTTTCAACTCAATGTCTGAGTCACATTCTCTGCAAATAAACAAGTATATAAGATATTATATGATATGTCAAGTATACATAAGGGTGATGTACTGGGAGGTTTGGGGTACAGGGTTTATCTCAAGGGAAATATGTGTACATATTTGTATTGCAGGGACAGAGGAAGATACATATATTTCACAAGGGATAAACCCTGTATCCGAAACTGACGATACATAGCAGATATATTCCATACCAGTCCAACTATGGTTTTACATACATCTTACCTTCAAAGGTTCAGAAATTTAAAAAAATGATTTTTTAAATTTTAATTCTAAAACTTTAAATATGAATATTTTGAAATTTAAAAATTCATTTTCATTGAATAAGAACAGATAAATTATAATTAACAAAAGAGGGATAGATACAGAAATATCCACCCAATCCCTAAATACACTATACATTCCCAAATGTTAAGTACCTAGAACCTCAGTAGATATGGAATACATTTAAATCTACAATAGTCGTGACATTGATTGACTGACCACTATACAAGGGGCGATCCATATATTCTGATAAAAATGCTCTCATTTTGTGATTTTTTCACATATCCCTCTCATGTTTTCAGAAGTTGAAGATTATGTAATTATACATACAACGCTAAATTATTAAAGCTATATCTTAAATTATTTTTGAGATAAGGTTGCCATGGTAACCTGTATTTAGGGTAGGCAGGTCAGTTAAATTATAACGTATACAATAGATAAATTTGTTAATTTAATCATTCCTCGGTACCTATTTCAATCAGATCAAACGCATATCCAGGTCATTGCCAACTATTCGTTGAACTGCTCCATACCCCTGTTGCCCTTGTTTGCTATTTCCACAGTGGAATAGTTCTTTTTTCATAAATTGCATCTCAAATTATCGTAGTGTTATTCTCTGTCCGCAAGCTATTCTTGCAACCAAATTGGGAATGATATTCAACAGTGACTAACCTCCCTCAAATTTACAATACTACCTAGAGATCCTTAGAGCAGATATAACACCTTGTCCATACACTATAAGAGTCCATGTATGTCTCTGGCAGTGTCCTCTAACTTATTCTTGGTAGTACATAAAATCTAATGGTACTCCTAATGTATCTGTTAATGTCACACTCTGCAACAGCCGCACTAACCTCATCTGATCTGTCATTTTGATATTTGGCGGTCTCATGACATGTAATTCCAATTTGCCCATCCTGTCATACATTGCTATTGTGAGTTGTTGTGATGTTATAGTGATCACAAATAAACATTTGTTTAGCAACAAACAACGAGAAACAATACCAAACTTTTTTTAGAAAAAATGTATGATTTCCGCATGCTTTAATATAATCAAAATAACAAGTTATTATGATATTTTATACGTTATAATTTAATTGACCTGCCTACCCTTAATACAGGTTACCATGGTACCCTATCTCTTAATTAATTTAAGATGTAGCTATAATATTTCAGCATTGTATGTGTAATTACATAATCTACATTTTCTGAAAATATGAGATGGATATGTGAAAAAATAGCAAAATGAGAGCATTTTTATCAGAATATATGTTTCGCCCCTTGTATATGTTATTCTTTATTAAGATTAGATGGAAAGAATGAATAAACTAGCAAAAAACTTATTTTACTCCCTAATGATTGAAAATGTTGACCAACTTATTAAATTGAATCTATTGACAAAGCTCATACTGTATGTACTTACCTAATAATTGAATGTGTAGACATGACAAACTCAGGCTCTGATGTGACAGGCTTACTGAATAAACGACTCTTAGTTTGAACAAAGACATATTTGTTATCTCGGAGTTTGAATCTATAAACACTGCTCGTGTGATTTGTAGGATTCTTGCCGCTCTTAGTCACTAGAATAGGTAAATGACAACGATCATATTAAAAAAATTAACACATATGTCTGTTCTAAGAACAATGGGATAATATCTATATGATACGTTGTACCTACATATTGAAATTATCACTTTTTTATGATTATCATTTCATTCAATCCACATTTATAGGGGAATCCATGGTGATGCAAGACAGAAATTAGTGATGTGTTTATCAGATAGCTCTACAGAAATTAAAAACTAGATGCCTTATGAATCAAAATACAGAGAGAGATAATATAAATGACTCTAAATTACCTTCTTGTAAATGTTTATTTAATAGCTGGACATCATTTGCGTGTGCAAAGTCAATAATATTATGGCCATCAAAGTCCGGGTATCTGTACTTCGAAGGTTTTATTCCACTGAAACAATTTGTAAAAAATACATTTTTCAACATCAATGGGAGAATGTGACATTGACATGTAGATTGTGATATTGAGACGGCCAACCCTGACATGTGTCTGTAGGATGTAATTTATTAACACACTCCCAAGGTTATTTCTAAATTCATCCTTGTTCCATGACCATAACCCATTTATGTATACTTTAAACAAGTCAATAGTAAGCAAGGTTTTCAAAAATTCTTTGAACCAAAACAATGACAAAATTCAAGATGACAGTGTCCTTGCATGACTGTCACATCATAATCACAAAATTTGTCGGATTAATTTGAATAAATTGTGATTATTTGTTCAGAGGACCAACAAGTCAGAGATAAACATTATATGTATAAATATCAATAAACTGAATAAAAAATGATTGGACAAGTGAAACAAAAGATGTACTAGCACACATATCTATATATTGTTACAAGTTGATTTTAGTTCAATACCTTGTATCACATCCAACAATTTGTCCGTTTATGTTCTGTTTAGTTGTGAACTGTTCAATACCAAGCATGCTATTTCTCTTCTCAGTGATAGCTAGTGTCCTGGCGATACAAACCAAGCATGATTGGCCATCTAGAAAACAATGAAGTACATTTAAGCCAAAGTTAACATATTACTCTACAATGCACTATTCGTAATAAAATGACACGTATATCTTCCTGACCTGTTCATTGAAATCAGAATTACCTGTATACCTGTTATATTACCTTATAACTAAAGGAGCCCACTACGGGATATGGATTTCTTCAGTTGTTTTTATTTAGGATAAGCTTTGTTTTATTCCAATCAGATTATGAGTATAGCTTATGCCTTATTATGTTATGTTACTGTTCATAAAAATCAGAACTAGATAACAGCAATGCCAAGGCTTAGCAAATCCGAACACATTGCCATGGCTGCTATTTTTATAAATGGCCACCAATTAGCAAAATTGTAACAAGAGAGTGTAATATTTCTCCTTAGTATTCACATGTAAAATTTCAACAAACTTTTCAGTGACAGCAAAAAACTAAAAATAACGTGACATAAACATGGCCACCATCGTTCCAAAAACATTTTAAGAAAGTGTAAAATGCTTCTAAGTAGTCAGATATAAAATTTAAACAAAGTCGCCCTATTTCTTTTCAAGTAATATTAAAAACTGTAAAATAACACGCATAAAAATGGTGGCCATTTTGAACATTTTTTAAATAATTAGATTTTCAACATTATCAATATCCGACATAAACTAAAATACCCCAAAAATTGAAACCAAAATGGCTGCAATTTTGAAACTGGCTGCCATTTTATCAACATGGTTCAATGGCATTTGAGTTATTGCCTAGATGGATGTTCATACAGAGCCGTTATATCCCCCCAAACTTTGTTCATTGGGATTATAACTTGTATATTACAAGTTCATATATGGATTCCTATAGTGTTATAATTTAGGATTACCTTTGTTTTATAAAAATCTGATTATGAATATATATTTATAGCTTATGCAAGCTTAGCTTTCTCAAAACCATACTGAGGAAAATGTAACTGATATTCTTTTTTAGAGATGTTAGGGGGATGTATATGAGGGTATTGTAAAGGGAGGTGTACATTAGGGTATATGAGGGGATTGTATATGAGGGTGTCTTAGAGGGGTAGTATATGAGCATACCTTAGGAGGGGGAGGGGGCAAAGTACACGAGGGTAATTAGAGGGATTGGGTGTATGAGCATACCTGAGGGAGGTGAAGTACATGAGGGTATCTTGGGGGAGGGGTGTATAAGCATAACTTAGTGAGTGACATATATGTACTTAGTGGGTGAAGTACATGTACATGAGGGTATCTTAGCAGAAGGGGTGTATCGGCATAACTCAGAGGGTGACATACATGAGGATATCTTAGGGGAGGAGTGTATAAGCATACCTTAGGGGTGAAGTACATGAGGGTATCTTAGGGGGAGGGGGTGTATTCGAGGAGGCTATCTATTGGAGGTTTTCAACCTACAGAGGTTCACTTTATATCAAGTTAATAGAAGAGAAAATGAAAAAATAATTTTCCATATATGGTCAATAAGTGAACATGCAAGATGCTAGAGGGGACATACCTGTGTCATCTGCTAAACCTAAATTGTCCCGGCTATTAGGGTAAGGAACTAGAACAGCAGATATCTGCATGCCTTCATACTGGGATACGTGGGTCTGCTTCACTTCAACATCATTTTCATCATCTAAAACAAAGGAGAATTATTCCCAGGTGCCCTAGCTCTGCATCTCAATAAACAAAAGATGTGTATAAGCAAGAAATGTGATCATACACATGATTTGGGTTCAGATTTGAACTTGCAGTCTTCTATGAAAAGAGGCGATTTCTACTTATAATAATATGTGAACTCTTATTTACACAATTTAAAAATAACTAGAAAATTTCTCGGAAAAATGAATGCTCAAATATTTTGAAAAGAAATAGAAACCTGATGGTTTGCTTGGATACCAGTTAAGATTGAGAAAAGGTCTAGGTTCATGTTTTAATGTCCCACTGACTCGCATGTTACTACAACTTCTTAATGTGAACACTTTTATAGTAAACACTCCTTACAGTAAACACTTCTTACAGTAAACACTCCTTACAGTAAACACTCCTTACAGTGAACACTCTCTGCCAGTCCCTGCAGTGTTCACTACAGACATGTTTAACTGTAAGATGAAACATTGACCGAGTATAAAAGTTGCTTTGAAAGCAATAATGGAAACCAATATTTTCCCAGTAGTTCTTGTGCTTGAAAATTTCAGTTGTAAGTGAATGGATAATAGGAGATGGTATGGATTTCCATTAACATTGTATGCATAGTACACTATGCTACTTTTTCAAAATACATGCCAGTTGGCCAAGCTGTCTTACACTCACAAGGTGATGTAGGGACATTCGCTATTGTATTGAAATATATAAGACGACTAACCTGGAAAAATTCCAGGGGTTTGTTCAAACACACCAAGTGGTTGATTAAAAATTGATAACAAAGAATTATAATCAAACTCATATACTGAATATATTTTCTTTGTAATATCTATAAAAAACAGTGTCAAGCGAGACTAACCCAAGAGGCAACTGTATCCTTTAAATAAACCAGTTTAGAGAGACTTACCCGGAAGATAAACGTGGCCCACTAAACCAATATAAAGCAGTGAGTAATAAACATGGCCCATCTAATGAGTATTAAGTGAAACTTACCTGGAGGTTTTATTAACATCCTACAGTTGAAAGTACGTCCTTTATAAGCAGCGCCATCTGGATTCCAGGGTATACTTCCTGGAAAATATAGGAACATCAACAAATGATTAACTTCAAACACGCTAAATTCATGGGATGGATTCTCTGCCTGACAAATAACAATAACAATTATACTAGAATAAAGGAAGTCCCATTTTTTACTCTATGACAATGTATCAAGTTTTTAACATCAGTTTTTATTATAATAATAATAAAAAGTATAGGTATGTATAGCTATAAAATCTTCAGAGGTTATTCACTAATTTCATTGACAGTTCTAGCAGTGTTAGTACTTAAACAAAATATGACTTTTTAAATTGATATCGCCAATTTCCTGAAAACTGAGAATACTCAGGAAAGACGTATGAGGCATTAATCTAGACCGTTGTTCAGTAAATTGTCATGTTGATATTCTGTCCAGGGCTTGAGCTGAGCTTCTTTTTACTGCTTGTCATACAGACTGGCAGTTTGAATTCATCAGGTGGTCAGTATAAAAACTTGCTGGTCAACAGCACTTCTCAAAAAGTAACTGGTCTATTTAGTCATACACAATATTGTTATGTCTAATCGAATGAAAAACATGAATTTTGATTTAACTCTGTATTGTAGTTGTATTCTTGATATATTTTTTGACTTTGTGAAAATGCAACAATTGTATGATTTTTATTAACTTGTTAATTGTGATGAGCATTTAAACTTACTGCAATTTAAAACATTCGGATATACAGTACTATGTGCAGTGAACACCTATGGAGCCACAAGAATGTATTCAATGTAAGTAGGTATTCACTACAGAGAGGGCAATCTATACAAAAGTCAGTAAAGTAGGTGTGTTGGAAGGGTGTTCATTAGAGACATGTGTTCACAAGAGAGAGGTGTTCATTAAGGCAGCTTTAACTATATATCATTCAAGTATATTTTCATATTCAGAGTATGTCATAAGGTAAGAGGGACTGCCTGCAATTGTATTTTCTCATATTACCGTATGTAATTATGTTGAATAAATAAATTCCTACAAAAAATGACTGCCTATTATATTAACAAGAAAGCATAGATACAATAAGACTTTACAATAGTCCAGCTAGACGTTTAGTTTATCTTTCAATTTGGAACATGTTCTGCATTGCCTACTATAGAAGCCTTATTTAACCTTTGTTTGAGAAAATGCTAGACTTAACATTAAAAATAATCAATGTCAGAGTAAAAGTCCAATTCAATTCACTTGAGGGAAAGTCTCCAATTATCAACACTTGTGAAATAAGTTTCATTTAGGGAAAGGAGGTAAATGATGCTTTATTTAGCAAATAGCGTTGATTTTTTAAAATTCAAGTGAAAGACAAATCAGCATTCTAAAATTCTATTAGATGAGGGGGGTCAAACAATAGCAAAATCAACTTCATTTTTCCATGACTGTTTACAATTGGACACCATCCCTTATGCACCTTGTATTGGCAGAACCCTCTTATAAATTAATATCATATAAATTGAATATACGAAGTGTAACATAACTTCCATAATTTTGTACTTTGTATCTATGCCAATTTACATGTGATATATAAATAAAATATATAGTACCACATATGGTTTCAGTAAAAAAGAACAGTTATTCACAAAGCAACTATGAACCATATCCTATGACAGGCCTAGAGCCTCAGATATTGTGTATCCTATTGGGACAACTCCAATGACTGTGGGTATATACTTAGGACTATACATTGATGAACAGCTGTATTTATGAACAAAATCTTGAGTTGAAAAAATCTCCACATTTCTACGTATATTGTATCAACATGTTTGTCCATATAAAACTTTGTGGATATTTCTAGTTATACAGCAGCTGCAGCTCTTATCATTACTGCAGTTGTTGCAGTTATAGCAGCTGTTGTTCCTGGAGATGAAGCAATAAGATACCATAATAAAGTAGCCCATTCATCTATACTACATTGTCTCTGGAAGAAGAGGCCTCTTAGCCAGGCTCTTTGAACTCTTGTCTTTTATCACACTGCTCGGGTCTCACATATAATAGATCCTGATAATATGCAGGTACTTTGAATGGTGCCCTGCATGTATAGTCTCTTTACAATAATGCAACTGCATATACACCATTGCATATTTATTACATTTTCATATATATGTATAACTCAAATTATAAATTAAAATGTGTATATCCCTAATACATCTACATGTTGTCCTTGTGATACAGCTGCATGTATGACCCTAATATATCTGCATGTATATCCCCTGTAATACAGCTGCATGTAAATCCCTAGTGATACAGCTGCATTTTATGTCCCTAGTATTCCATCCCCATTGTGTGTTCCTAGTATAACATCTGCATATATCCCAATGGTACAGCTGCATTTTATGTCCACAGTATTACATCTGCATTATGTTCCTAGTAAAAAAATCTGCATATATATTCTTAGTGATACAGCTGCAGTCTATGTCCACGGTATTCCATCCTCATCGTGAGTTCCTAACATTTCATCTGCATATTCCTAGTGATACAGCTGTATTTTATGTCCCCAGTATTCCATCCTCATTGTGTGTTCCTAGTATTATATCTGCATATATATTCCCAGTGATACAGCTGCATTTTATGTCCACAGCATTACATCCTCATCATGAGTTCCTAGTATAATATCTGTATATATCCCAATGGTACAGCTGCTTTTTTTTGTCCACAGTATTATATCAGCACTGTGTATTCCAAGTATTATATCTGCATATCCCTAGTGATACAGCTGCATTTTATGTCCACAGAATTATGTTTGCATTTTGTATCCTAGTATAACATCTGAATATATATCCCTAGTGATACAGCTGCATTATATATCCTTAGTATTACATCTGCATGTATATCCCTAGTGATACCGCTGCATTATATATCCTTAGTATTACATCTGCATATGTATCTCATACTTGAGTGGGTTTGGGGTAGATATCACCCGGGAATATATATCGTATCTGAGGAGCGGGCAAAGATATTGTATATGTCCCGCTCCAGGCCAAATGCGGGCAGATATAATATATCCATCCCGCTGCCGGGAATTTTTCAAAAGTTTAAAAAAGTTTAAATATCAAAAGTTTTAATTTTTTAATTTTAAAATTTAATTTTTTTAAGTTTAAATGTTACAATTTCATTGTATTGAACAAAAAGAATATTACGAAAATGTTAAATATAAATATCTTGTCATTTGAAAAAGTTGGAAAAGGTTATATCTACCCTAAACCCACTCACGTATGAGATACACCAGTTATGCACGGTCGGTTTGTATACATGGAATATCCCTTGGGATATACAATACATCTTCCCTCGGTCCCTTCAGTCCCTCGGGAAGATATATTGTATATCCCTCGGGATATTCCCTGTATCCAAAACCTCCCAGTGCATAACCCCTATATATCCTTCTGATACATCTGCACTGTATGTAACTAGTCTTCAACCTGCATATATTTAGAGGCATGGTTAACCACCATTTAAACATTTCTAAATTTTATCTGAACCAGTTTGCCATTATTCAATAAATAATTGCTCTTAAAACAAAATAAAAAAAAGTTGTATATTTGAGTTGGTGTTCAACCCTTGTACAAAAGCATTGTTTGCTCATAAATTTTATTAGTACAATTGCAAGTATGTCCGTAGTGATACATCTGCTCTTACAGGACATCACAATATGAACTGATATAATATATCTGTACTATTTCCTTATATTCTCAATATTCTTACACCAGACCTTTTAAATGATATATAAGTTTTGTATCTTTATAATGAAAATGATTTAATATCCTTTGACTTATCTATCACTTGAATAGCTCTTCAGGTCAGAAACAATACAGGATTGCACATCTATTTATAATACTTTTACCTGAATTTTCAGTTTCAGTATTTTCAGTAAAAGGGTTTCCAAAATTGTCAGTATTGCTTCAATTCTACCACTTTCATTCAATCTACCATTTTCATTCAATGTACCACTTTGCACATTGATTATAACTGTTGCTCAAGATGTCAATACCCAATTTTTAAAAAATAATTTTACATAATTTAGCTCGCTGTACACTTGGTAGTACTCTCTACAGATAAATACAACAAGGGATGTTACATTTGGTGCTAGTCAAGTCAATAAAAAATCAAAACTGCAGTCATCCCAGAATGATTAATAATTTAACAATAGATATTTGTGATGTTTAATATTTGTTTGGTATTTCCAAATGGTTCACCCTAGTAGCCCGTGTTTGAACCGAGGTTACATAATGTATAACCCAACTGGTGTGTTGCGGTCAATTTCACTCTATCCTCTGTTTGTATGTGAGGCCTTGGCATAACAGTACATGATGGTAAATAATAGTGACCTGAACTACACGAGACACTAAGGCAATAATTGTGGAAACAGATATATTAAATATAGTTATGTATACATATATATATTGCACATACATATCAATAATCAAATTAATAGTTATTTTTCAATATGTGCTGCATGTTTATTAGGACTCCTATAATACATGTTTTTCAATATCCTTTTGAGCAATGCATATTTACCTTGTAAAGTGGCTGTTACATTAGGCTGTTTTGGCTAGTCATTGGCCACCATGTGAATACGTTTGGGCATTCATTTTTTATCAACAAGTGTGAGGGGTATCTTGCTATAAAACTATTTGTTTTGAAATTGTGTGTCTATCCCAGTCCCGTCTACCACTGTCTACCCAAAAGTATTCACATTCGCAAGGTGCCAAGTGGTGAGCCAACATGGTCTTGTGTGAAAGCTTCATAGGGGGCTTCATGTTCATGAACAAAGTTCTCAATTCATTTTTACTGCTTAACCTGCTTCTTTTCCATGTCGAAATTATACGATTTCCAAAAACTTTGTTGTGGGAATACTTTTTGAGTCATGATCACATAGATACTATGAACAGGGGTTTCACTAGGATTTCTCACAACAGGCTCAATGAATGAAAACAACTGGCAAAATTAATGGAAATAATAAATTTAACATGAAAAAGTTGAAAAGACCCTTTTTTTATATAAATGAACACCAAAAATAACTTAAGACTGGAATCATATAAACAGAGGTCTCAAAACATACCATAATTGTTGAAAGATGGACAGCCAGACAAATGGACAGACAATAGACAGACAGATGAACAGACAAGTAAGTAATGCAATATCTCCATGTAAATTGACTCCTGAGGGATGATGGAACCGTGGATAAATTGAGGGTTCAATATTCATATGGCTCAGGTCAGCATTAATTAATGTAATTATTCTATAATAGTATGACCACGTTACATGCAAATACCAAATATATATTTTGACCACATAATCAAGAAAACATGTGCCACAACCTCCTGAATACAAATTGGAAGGAGATATTACATCCTTACAAGTATATCTCCGATATTATTTGAAATATATATAAACAGTCGCAACCAGATCAATATTCATGGAACAACTGATAAAATAGAACAAATTAGATTGATTCTCATATTTCAATGTATAAGTAATTTTAGGAAGGTGCTAAACTATGAACTGCTATTCCTCCGATTATTTACCACCAGGCAAGGTCATTCAAGGTTTAGAGGGTTTCCTGAGGACACGTGTAAATGCAGTATTATCAAACATATAGATATACACCCCTTACAGCACCTAATGTTAGAGAACACTTCTTTGATAGACATTAGATAAGTTTCTTTTCCATTCCATTCAATTCTATCTTATTCTGTTTAATATTCGGATATTTACAAGTATTTGATACATGTAAAATAACAGCATCATACATGTTTCAAAGACAAATCTGTAAATTATTCAAAAATAACTTTTTAGTGAGGTTTAATTTTGTGATTATTACAGGCAGTTATGAATCATGTGCTAGGTTTACAACTGTGGTTACAACTACATTTCATCTATTTGTAGTATGCAAACATGAAGATACAATAGTGATATAACAATACATGTACCCCGTTACAATATATCTTAATTCTGTATCTTCACCACCCAAGCATAATAGATTTACATTGCATGACGTAGATGGTATAATATATTTAAGTGTCGTTATAATTGTTATTTAAAATTCAAACTGAAACGGACAAAGCTTGGTCACTGGTAAACAAAAATAAATTTTACAACTTGAATATATTCAAGAGAGATGAGATTTCCAAGTAAATACATTGTGTATCTCCAATCAGAGTATATTCTGATCAAGTACACAAACATTTATAAAATACACATGAATGCAACTAAAGTAACTTGAGATTGTGGACTATTGTGAATAGAAAAATGAAGCGACAGGAAATGAAAGTAAGTCGTCATTATTATATATGCAACCCGACTTCCATAAAACAAGTATATAGTGTTACAAATCCATTATGGTTTACGCAGCAGGATAATTTGAGTTAGATCTAATATTCCAGACCGGTAGACAGGGGGAGGGGGAGATTGGGGTTTTAAAGCAAAACCCCCCGGGTGAAAATTCTTTCAAAATCACATCATTTTCATCATTCTGAACACTTTTCAAATGTTGGTCAAAGTTATCAAATGTGAACCCTCAACGAATTATTTGAAAAGTGAACCCCCCTTGGCAAAAGCTGGCTACGGGCCTGTACTCCTACACAATACTGAAAACGTCTCATCTCTGTCTTCTTGGCTTCATAATCTTTGTGCTTTATTTCATTGAAATGGGCCCTTCCAAGAGATGATTAAACAGTAATACTGTACAATAACACTTCACATACACCAGACATTCCATGTATCAGGTTATTCCCAAGTTTCTTTTGTTTTTGTTGTTGTTGTTACAACAAACAATAAATTGGAAGGAAATGTTGCATAAAACTTCTTGTGGACACTTTTGGGTTTGAGTTTTGTGACACTCCCTCCCCCTGTTTACTTATGCAAGTCAAAGGACAAAAAAATTCTTGGGATTTTAGCTTTCTTAGAGAAGTGGTTCACTTTCGTAAGACATATAGGTACCACAGATTAATTCACCAACATACGCCTGCCTAAAGTTCCAATAAAATAACATTCACTCACCAACTGAAAGCGGCACTAGACCTTTACTGAATATGGCGTGGTCTCCAACGTGTATTATGTTATATATGCTCTTATTCACTAGGTCGTCTTGTTGATATTTCAAATATTGTGAGATGTTATCCGATACAAATTCCACTTTTCCTTGACAGTTTACAACAAATAGGAATCCATCTAGTGCCTACAAATACAAACATAAAAATTGTAAAACCACAGAATTATGTAAATATTAGGTAAGCAAGATATTACATTACTATAAATTAAATGGCTAATTTGTGATTGTTACTGTATGTTTTTAAGCATGATGGGAAAGTCCTAAGTACTTGGATAAAAAGCCACTCTTTAATTTCACTTATGTCTACTATAGATGATTTAACAGTGAAGAAAATAAGAAGTTAACGATTGCATCAATCATAATCAATGATCTTAAGTATTTAAAGCCTTATATAAGTTTGGATGTGAAATAAATGTTCGATTTTGACTTCAAAAGCTGTTTGGATTCAACTAAATTTAAGAATTATTTCCAATTTAACGAATGCAGGTGAACTTGAGCTGTTGTATCTATGGTAACAAGACTGAGATATTTCATTGATATGCTTAGAAGCAAATGAGTATAAGCGTAATAGAAACAAGCTGACATTTATTAGCATCTTAATTCAAGGACACACTTTGAATTGTCATTTTTATTTCATTCTGTATGTTTCGTTATTTCTCTAAGCATCTTCTATACAAATTGAACTAATTACTGAGCACTGAGCAGATTACCAAATAAATATCATTTAAAACATGTTTTTGCTGTTAGTAATATTACTATATGTATGCAAGCTTTATGTTTTGAGTTACCAATGTCAATGGTAGTATCTAAAGAGTTCTTAATATCTTATGCTACACCTCTTCTATATCCACAAAATCTTGTTTAATTTTACTGGGTATAGCACAGGATTCCAGGGACTATTTTTTTGGAGATACTACACATGTTTGTGGGTCTTAGCTGCTGCCAATAAGGAAATTTACCTCTAATAAAAGGGGTCCGAGAACATCATTTGCCAGAATGGTAGGTTTACTTGAGGAGACGTGACTTTGTTGAACTGCATCTGATGTGCAACTCTCTGGAAATACATCGTACAATAACATAATATAGTGTTCAGTTAACATTGACAATATTCACATTCTGATGAGTTCACTTTAAACAAATGTTCATATAAGGTAGGTTTAAGTGTATAGTATGCATGTACTATAAAGAGCATGTATTCTACATAAGTCCATAATAACACATGCTGTATTTTCATCTGGCATATTTTCATTTAAAGTACAGACCACTCTACATCAACAAAACAACAGACACAGCAAGCTTCGGCTGTTGCCGGTTTGTTATGACAACACCCCCTAAGAAATGCCTTCTTAAGGTCTCATAGTGTGTTCAATACTGGATTTTTCCTGAAATTAGTGATCTGGTCGAAATATCCTAATTTTCCATGATTTTCCAGACATTCTACTTGGTACATTGGTAGTTTTGAAATCTTGCACCAGGATACTACAATGATAGAGATCAGTGATTTAATTATTAGCTAAATACACAGCTCTGTGTCACAGGGGTAATAAGCGCTTCACCCAGTAATTACCAGCAACCAACATTTAGCAATCAGAAAATATCCATTCCTCCATCTTGGACATTCAACTCTGTTCTGTTCAATGTAAAATGAAATAAACAAACTTGGCTGCACTTGACATTCCTCCAACTCAGGACTAAGTACTGACTTATGAATGATTGTAGACTTCTCTAATGAATAGTATCTTATGTTACTCTATGATACATATGTTAATACAAAATCTTCATGTCTACCCTTCATCTCCATCAGATAGCCAAATACTATCCTCTAACTAATACAGGTGATTTTAATTCTGACGCTGCCAACAAGATCTAAATAATAATATGAAACGTAGCTTTCATCAAATGAATGCTTTCTACTATGCTGAAATAAAAAGGAGAGTCATCATTATCTGATTATATATTCTGATTGGTATGGGTTATAGCAAAGAATACATTTATTTTATGAAGAATTATATATGTATCACCCTGGATCTGTTAATAATGTGTTATTATCATTGTTTAAGTTTCAAATAGCTACCAATTGTATGTAGCTAAGTAAGACAAAATGTTGCATAGTAATGGTTTATTGATTCAAGGCATTACAGTAAAAGATGTTTAAAAGTTAAATCTTTAAGAACTTCATAATTACCAAAAATAATCTTGGGGATGCAATTCTGTTTTTTATATTAATGTCTAAATAATAATTAGTCAACAATCAACAAAAATTCATCACTCTGCAAAATTATCAATCTTCCATCTATTCCATATTAAAATATTTCTCAGTATACCGCTTGGCACAAAAAATGACATCCACCCACATTATGTTTCATAACTTTTTTGTCTGAAGAAATTCTGACAAATTTTTGGGCAAATTAAAACTACACTCCATTTTGCAATTCAACAAGAAGTTTCAAATGACTAGCTCATCTAGATGCACATTAAATGACCATTACAAAATGTGTCATCTATTCCTTTGCTGGCACAACTGGATCTTACACAAAAAATGACACCCAGCTTTTATATCATGATTTTGGAAATAAGTTATAATGATTCTATCAATGACAACTACATTATTTTGTGTTTAATTGAATGGACATCATTTCCCTGAAAGTACAAGCCAAGTGACATTTCTCATGTAAAATCCATGTGTGTCTACAATAAAATAGACTACTCATAAAATTTGAACAACTTGAGCTACACATCTGAAATTTTTGGAACAAGTCTATATGTCAATAGACAAATAAGTTATGCAACGTAAGGTGGCTGTCATTTTTTGTGTCTCCCTGTATTATCTGGCAATGCCAACACAATCAAGCTGAGTTAGTTTATGGAATATAGGGGACAATAACACTATAGAATCCTAAATTGTTGAGATGTTTATTCTATATTATTATCATATGCAGTAGACATTGAATACAATCCACTTACAGCTGGTATTACCATTGCCAATATAGACTAATAGTTCTTTAAGATTTTTAAAGAGCACTTTATGATTCAATGCTATAACATACTAGGCTTTTACACTCAGGAGAGCTACTAAGTATACAATTACAATGTAGTCATAGAACAGAGTATATTGACCAGGTATGTACTTAACAATTTCAATTACTTTTCAATCACGCATGCGTTTAAGCTATATAAAAATAAGTCGCATATTAGCTCTAAAAATGTGCAACTATCACATCTTGACGTGCATTTTTTCAGTGAAACACATCACCTGTTATTATTGAAAAATCATTTGATATGGTTCATATAAATTGATTATTTTGTATCCTAATATCGGCACTCTTTAATAGTATTTACATCTTGAACGTAATTAGTAAACAGTGAGATTAAAGATCACACAATTGATACAACATAACAAAGTCCTCTCTCTTACCTTCATTTTTGATTCTACGAATTTGACTGACAGTTTCCTGTAAGATGGCACACTTGTCTGGTTTAACAGAGAATGTGTTCATCTCAGTGATGCTAGCCGAGATCAATTCTGCTAGCTCCTCTATATAGATGTTCTCCTGTTCTCTCCTCCGCTTCTCATTGAGGCATTTGTTTCTGAAAACACAAGAATGACAAGAATTAACGCTAATCTATTTTTTAATATCCTCTGATCACAGGGCTTCAAAATCCAGAATATATTCTTTCTTTTTACCCCCTGCGATAAGCAGTCAGTATTTCCTCGATTAAGAACTCGCAATCTGATTGGCTGCGACAGAAATCATGTATAAGTCATTGCGCATAATTAGATCACGTGATTCAGTTTAATCGGGCGCTTCCAAATTGGTTATGGCAGGGGGAAGAAGGAGGTATGGATTCAGAATACCTGCTTAAGAGGATGGTCCTGGATGGATATAGCTTTATGTCCCAGACTTTGTGACGATAATTAGATAGATATAGAGATTATCCTATATGAGGTTCAGGATACTGGGATTATCCCGAGGCAAATATAATATATTTGCCCGAGGGCCGCAGGTCCCGAGGGAAAATATATCATATTGGCCAAGGGATAATCCCAATATCCTGAACCGACTATAGGATAATATGTTTATCCTATACCAATCTTGGTCATCTGGTTCACATTGTTCAATCGTGGAAATATTTTAGAATATTCATGTCCAGTTTCGTTTCTTGGCTGTGGTCGGATTTTCCTGTTCTCTCAAATATTCCGACATTTATTTTCTGGAATTTTTTGATTGATTAAGTGGATGTTCCTTCCCTTTTTTAAACCATCAAACAGATCCCGATTGTCTGTGTTTTCCCCATTGTCGTTTACAGTCATTACGCGAACGTTACAAATTATGAACAAATATGCGAGCGTAGATTATGACGTAGCGGGCAGATATACTATATCTGCCCGCTCGGAGCGGGACGTAAAGCTATATCTGCCCGCTGATGAAAATATAAGTTTTTACAAACCGGCTTTATGTACCTGTAACACGTCCAAGTATGGGATAAACATATATATCCATCCCCTCACTCTATATACCTAGAGCCCTGGAGTAAGTATACATGTACATGTATTTCTTTTATTTGACTGCAAAAGTCACTCTCAGTACCTTTGATAAACAGTGTATAACACAAATATATTTATACAGTCTATTAGACATATCTCTGAAAATCAATTAAATTGTTGAAACATGAAAGTATGGTAAATTGGTAAGTTCATTCCTACTCATTGCAAAGGTACTTACATTTAATAACAAGAATTCAAAGTGTTTATGCTTCATACAGAATATGTCAAAATATGTAAGTATTATTTCCTTTTAGCATGAACTAAACATTTCCTACTTATATTGATTTTTTATCACAACTACTATAGCTTTGTTTACATTATATTTTGAATTCTACCTACCGTACAAAACAAATTTCAAGGTTATTACTTAATAAAGTCAATGAATTAATTTGTCATTTTTACAATTTTAATAATCTTACCCATGAATAGCTTTACTAGGAACTTATGTCTATAGAATAGAGCAGCTGCTATGTATTCTATTACTTTCTATATTGTATTGACTAAATTGGATAGAAATTGTACAGCACATAAACTGCTATATTATGGTTTATATGTGGCTGTCTCGGATAAGATTAATACTCTAATAAATACAGACAAGTTTGTTATATTTTTTCTTAGATATCCTCTCTCTCTCATGTAGTTCCTGGTTGATTAGTCTTGTTTCAAGCCCTTGCCAACCCCTCCTCAAAACCTCTGGAGTTAGGGGGTCCAAATATTTGATGCAAGACTTCTATCGGTTGATCTATCCTCTTGTTTCTTTGATAAATCCCCCTCATTTATTTTCAAAATATTTTGAATAGATGATATATGTCCTTCCTTTTCATCTATTGAAAATAAATCATTTTTATCTCAGTTTGACATTTCCTGATAATATTTTTCAAATGGCTTGTCTTGAAATGTTCCATGCACTAATATATCTATCTTATGTTTTGAAAATATTTCAAATATTTATGTCTATTGAAGTATAATAGACTATACACACATTAGGCCATATATGAGCTCAGTTTAATTATATGTTTCACTGATTTTTTGATTTTTGGACCACATCAAAATGTTTCATACCATTTTATTATTATAAAAAAATACATACTGGGAGATTCTTGGATGACCTTAGTAAGCTCCTCTAAACAAACATTTATTTAATAACAGTTTTCTGAGGGTGGACAAAACCACCATTATTTAGTTAGCCTGAGAGCCAAGCTAATAGGCATCAACTCTGTTGACAAACAGTTTCACCTTATAACTAAATACCAGAATATTTCACAAATGTAGAGATGTGTATTAAGGAATCTATGTGTAACTATTTAACTCATGGTTATTAAGAGTGAGTTATTGATATCAAGGGGTCCAATTATCTCGTTTATCATATTCTAGTGACGTCTTTAAAAGTAAAAAATATTAAAATATCTACGTATATATAATATATATCTTTTAATTTCATATATTATGATGACGGTATTTACATTTCATAATTCACAAACATCATAAGTATACTAATTGCTTAGCTCGATACTACTCCTTTATAATTTTCTCTCAGCTGTCTTAGTTACTGGCATATTAGTTATTGCATGAAATACATTCCTGTGTCTGTGTTCAGGTACCCCTTTCAACAGTTTGATTTTACATCTTTTGAAAAGAGCTTATGTTATATGTCTACTCTCTGGAATCCCCCCCCCCCCATCTAATGCATGCACTAATTTCTATTAGCCTCTGGGACCTACACAGTCATGCTCAGGATGTTTATGTGGAGAAATAAATTACATGTAAAGTAAATCAAGTACGTTTTGTCTGAAAATCTGGATAATGCCAGTATAATGTCCCGCATCTGTAATATTCCCATCTGTTATAACTGTCCAAAGCATGTTTCCTTTGTGTTATTATGCTCTGTATATATTTTACTTATACAATATATCATAAAGTACCTCTTATGTCAAGAGATGGTGACATGAATCAATACTCATTGTCTCCTGCCAGTACAGTATAAAACCTGTCTAACATTCTAAGTGAACACTCCTCTCTCCTCTCGTGAACACTTGTGCCTAGTAGACACTCTTTCTCCATACATACTCAAATAACATTTTTGTAAATTATACTCTCTGTAGTGAACACCAACCAAATCTGAATTTTTTGCCAATATACTAAGTCTTACAATATTCAGTCATATGAAGAGATGACCCCTGAGACCAGCAGTAATAAGATGATGCTCTCAAAGAAAGGGTAATGAAACACCATAATAAAACATGATGCATATTCAATCAAAAAAGCTATTTGTAAGGCAGCTAACAAATTACAATATCTGCAATGTTTGCTTTTTATTTGGCAATATCGATGGAATGCGGAGCAGATATAAATTAGCTGGTACAGTTGGATTAATCTTGCATGTCAGCCTGCATACTGACATTGAGTGCAGAGAGGGGGAAGAGTAATTGTAATACGCTGACGTTAAATCTAAGACAATATTCTTGATAGGCTTGCCTAATAACACTGATCACAGACACTGTCTCCCTACACACTCATCTCTACCTTTCACCATCATTCTTGGATTTTCCAAATATGAATTTTTCATGAATATCAAACCACAATTCCATAAACCTTTATTTCAATCTCCTAAGATTGTTAGTATTATTGTTTTCATTGTTTATAATGCTAGTAACCTTGATGGTAACAGTGAAATAAATCAATAGGCATAGACTACAACAGTGTTAAATATAACTCAATTATATCAGATATGATTCTTTATGGACAAGAGGTTTAAATATCAACCAGAAAACCATTAACTAGACATAAACAGTTCACATAAAATATCCTATAAAAAAAAGAAGAAGTACTCACCGATTATTACGGGTTACCATTTTGAATGATCTTTTAAAATCTTGTAACAAATGTACGATTGTCGTACAATTGTCTTATTCAACTGATTTCCAACACAATCCTAACAGCAGCTGTACATAGAATAGGCAACCATGCTGAACATTTGGTATTCAAAGTCTGCACGCCCAGAGAAAAAATCTTTGAGTTCATTTATATTTCATTCACTTTCCCAGAGTATTTTGATTACTGAATCAAATATCATATAGAATGAGATAACAAACAATTGCATTGTTTTGTTTATTCTATGAAAATTCCTCCCTGGCTATTTGAGTTGTGAAAATGCAAGACTTTGTTGTATTGTGTTTCATGTGAGGGTGGTTCACAGTCTGAATGTATGCTGGAACTGAATAGTCTTTATGCCACAATACAAAACAATGGCTACTGTTGGTCGGCAAAATGCATCCAAGACAAGGCAGGTGCCCTAACGAATTCTAACGTTAGTCCATTCTCCGAATCAATTCTTCAATATCAGCATTTGTAATCCAATGAATCTATCAGCCATGAGGAAATCTACTTCAGACTCACAATCCCAAAAAAACGTGAACTATTCATCTGAATATATATCCCCATGCTAGAATTGTGTAAGTTCTCTTCACGCCTGGTAAACCCGCCTAGAACCTTTGTACATCTCCAATGCTATTCAGTCCAATGTCTTCACATATTCAACTCTATAAACTTGATCAAGATTTTCCAAGGATGTACCATACAACTTTTTTTTCCAAATGCTCTTTCATTGCCAGAAACTTAATACAGTAAAGTAACCATGGTAACATGACCTCTACATGCTACATTCACTAATCATTCTCCTTAACTAATTACCCTAATAAATTGTAACTAAAATCAGACATAAATTTGTCAACAATTAACAACTAAAAAATATGTTATATACATGTACGTATATTTCTTCATTAATCCAAAATATGAATCATTTTGCTTTAATTTTTTGGGGGTAAACACAGAGAAAAATTAAAACAACAAACAGAAATGAAGTGTTTATACAAAGGTATGCTTACTAAGTGCTAAGTGAAGAGGGTTGCACCAAATAGTCATTCAAATGCCTATTGTGAAGTATGTATACACAGGATTGTTAAATGTTGCAGCCCTAATGCAAGTTGTTTGATAAACTTGATAAGAGTTGGCCTAAGTTTGACCCCATACATAATGTATTTAC